TTAAAAATAATATATAAAAAGCTGTTACAAGTGGATCCGGCGAATTTCGAAATAGGCTAACTTTAAAACTATGGTCCGTTAGCAGACGAAATTTAGGCAATAAATACTTAAATTCTCCAGACAGTGTCAGGTGAAGACCGGTTGAGTTCATTTTCGAAGAAATTAGTTCATAAAGGAAAAACCCTTTAGTCTTAAAATTTAACGCTCACTGATCCCGCGAAGCTCACAGTGCTAAAAAAATTTATCGAAAAGTAGTGAAAATATTAGACAAGGAAGCCCTGGACGAAAGCACAGTACATACATTCTTCAAAAATTTTAAGAACAGACTGGAGCGTTTAAAACCAGCATCGAAGTGACTAGGCCACGGATTGATCCCGCGACTGGGCTACGGGTGTCGGAATTTGCAAGACAAGACCGCATTGTCACAGTCGAGGAGGCTTATCACGAAAAAAGCCTAGAAGTTTAAAAAATCTGTCACCCAAAACTTGCATATCATGTATAAAGTGTCATAAGCATAAGCCAAACGTTAAACCGCATCAAAATGTATCCTCCGTAAATACATGTAGTGCATTTCGACATGTAACTTACGAAACTCTCATATGTACAGCTGCTATAGACGAAGCATTGGCTCGATCTTTATGACTGGTCGAAGAGAGGGATTAAGCGAGAAAATGGCGGAGAATGATCCGGAGAGGAATCGAGATTAGTGCTAATGCCGAATAAATTCAGACGTAAGGCCTTACTAATACTTGCAACGGATATCTGTTACTGAGAGATACTTGCCGAAAATGAACGTAGCTCAAATGTTTTATTATCGATTTACTTCAACAAGTCATAGATATAAAAATTACACATGGGAACGCAAATTGTAGGTAGATGGCTCTCGAAAACCTACCGAAACGTGCGAACAAGTAAAAAAAATTAAGATAGTGCTCCAAATACATTGAGAATTAGCATTCTAGCCAAGCCAGTTTAAAAAAAAAACATTATTTGTTTACGAAGGGCTTTGAGTATCAATAAGCGACATCAGTTATTACCGTTTTCTCACCTTTTTGCAGCACCGAGGGTCGACACTGATGCTAACGACCCATTCGATACACACGCATTTTACTGGTCCTCAACATCAAAATATCTCTCTCTCACCCTGAGGTTCCGAGCCTATAGGACGAGGTGTACGCAGTACGGGCATTATCAAGACAACAAATTTAATTCTTATACGAAGCTTGAATTCGTGACGAATAATTATGACAGAGGCTACGCAAGAGCAGAGGGAAACTGGTATTATAAACTAGTCTTCAAGCATTTTGATGAACAGAGGTTATTTATAATTAAAGTGTTATTTGGTTTTACGTGTCCAGGGTACCCGGAACGTTCTTACTACAGGAAGTTCAACTTTTCTGTGAGCAAAAAATAACTGTAGCACGCTGACTCACGCCTCATCACTCAGCTTGCCTGGGACACTGATTAATGAGTAATAGATTTCGGTTGAATGTGCCTATGGGCTTATGTTTTCAATATGTTTCAGTTACATGTTCCATCTCGCCTGCCTGGTTCTATTATACATAATAGATGCCCATCCTAAAACAAAATGAGCGAATATAGATGAAATCGATTGCGATACAATAGGTATAGCGTTTTCTTTTGGTACAGTTAAATAAATTATGGAATTAATCCCGCGGTAAATTAGTGTTTTTGTCGTAGTTCTACGGTACGGAACGAAGAGCTCCACCCAACGTTTCAAATCATTGATAGAGTGGAAATTATAAATAGTCCAATGTATCTTAAGCTTGTTCTCCACTAACTAAGCGCTAAAAATGGGAAACGCCGGGGGAAAAGAAATATAGACGTTATATTACGTATTAGCTACGCGCGAATGTGGCACCTCGTCTTCTTCATCATTTACCCATCGTACTTACATATTATTTTTACGAATAAGTTAATAATAAGTAACTCATCTTTATAGGCGGAATAGCTGACGGGAATGTTGGGCAATTGCGGTAGAGTTCTTGCTCTGGATTATCTTCACCCAATCGATTAATTAGACGAGGCTGGTCAATTTGATTACAAAGAATAACGCGCTTACTGATATACTGGCACCGACACGTAGTTATTACCTAGCTTGGACGATTTGATAAGCAGCTACGACTAGCGACACGCTTGGTGATTCTTCCCTTAATTTTGACCGGCAGAAGATCTTTTTCGGCACATAATTTCAACTGCTGGGCCATCGAGTAGGTGTGTCGGGCACCTTTAACGGTCAAAGTAGGCGACGGTCTGGGAAGAGTCCTGAACTTTTCGGGCACATGGACCGCGAAAACATTCTGCGCACTTTATATATAACAATTAAGTTAGAAACAAAGTGATAGTTCGATTACTTCTCTCCGTAGTTTAGTTTCGGGCAGTTTGGTCGTGAAGTCGCTGACGCTCACTGCGAAGGTGGCACTCAAGCGGGTCTAGTAAATTAATTTGTGTTAGGGATCTAAACACACCGGTGTGAAATAGCGATTTCGATATCGTAATAAATATCGTTGGCGGCAACTATAACTGACGGGGTTTAGGATCGAAATCGATTAGGAAAGGTCTTATACCTTAGACTTTTCATTTCATCAAGCGAGTTTTCACATGATCATAGGAACCTTTCTTTTCCATGATAACTTACCAAGAACTGCGTGGATTTATCTCATACTCTTGACAAAACTGAATAATAGGTTCATATGTAATATGATAATATTACATAGGTTGTTATGCTTAGTAAGGAGCTTAATTATTACTAAAAACGATATTTTCGTTTTACTTGTGAACTTTAAGTCAACTCTGCCTTTTCTGCATGATTTCTAGATGCGAGATTGCTAGTAGATAGCTAATAAGTTTTGTCACATAAATTTCTCAGGCTTAAACGTTAACCTAAACCCTTAGATTCAATAGTAAAGATGATATTTATTCAAAGGCTCGTAACCAATGTAATAGTTTTTTTAGTTTTATTTTTTCAATATTGTTTATTTATATATTTATTATTAAGTTTAAATATGCTAATATTCCTATCAATGGACGTACCACAAATCGTTATCTCCTAAAATCCGCGGTGTAACTTTGGTGGTAATAGAAAGTCCACGATACTGATTATACGTCAGAGATATTCATAATTGCTTTAATTCTTCGTCTACCTCAATTTGTAGGTAAGCTTCGGAAAAATCTTACACGAAAGACAGCTGTGCTCCATGCATTGATAATAATAATTTTCTGAAATACTTTCCTCAGATTAGTGAGAAAATCTTCGATCTAGCTTATTTCAAAGACTCTATCCGAATTGAAGTTCCGCACACACAATAGTCTCAGTTTCTCAGAGACTTGACGGGCGTTCAAAAATGTCTCCTCTACGTTCGCGTTTATCCTCAACTGACATTTGTACATTTTTTGAGCCCTACTGAATTTCTTCGTATTTTTTTTTCAGTTGTTTAGTTCAATTGTATTTCTGTTCTTTGATTCTAGAAATTACGAATCTTTTGTAGAACGCTCCGCTAATGCTTGCTATAATTTTCAAACCTTATTTACCCATTTGTTCCCTATGGAGGGCTAGGGGGGGAGTATTTCACAACGCAACACTTGCCCACGTATTGATAAAAAGATGATATTGCGTTGAAATCAATTAGGCAATTCAATTTTAGCATATTTGCTCTGCATAACGAATAATTACTAAATTCGAAAAGGGTTTTCACAGTGTCTTCCGGTTCCATCCACTCATGCTGCATCTCTTGCCTTCTCTTCCTTAAGAGTTTCTCTTCCTTAAGAGAGTTCCTTAAGAGAGATTACGATTAAGGAAGTGATATCAACGACTGTTCTGCGTCGGTGCCGTTCGGTATCGTCTTCCGCGTCGAGCTTTGCGTCCAGTATCGCTCGTAGGCCTAGCTCCATCAGACAGATGGCTGGCTTGCTGGCTCCCACCAGTAAATGAACCGTGTATCTATATCGTATGGGTTCGAATCTAGGCCACGATGTGCCTCTATAATCAGCAGGCATGGTATAATCCAAACAGAGACTATTGACTCGACTTTGTTGTCCTTTGTATTGACAAAGCGTGAACCGTGGTTTACGCTTCGACCGTTCGAAGTCGGTTACAAGCCAGAAAACGATATTTCTTACTTAAGTTCTGTTGATATTTTATGGGCCGTTGTTTTGATTGGGCGGTCAGTGTTCCAGGCAGGTTTTGGTTTAGTAGACGTATATTATTTTGTGTGTTCTCGTTCCATAGACGTGTGTATGAGTTTAATAAATTTGCATGTCTATTTTACTGACAGCTAGAATCGGAAATATATTGGGCTAGGTGTCACCTATATGAAGTAACGTATCCTTTGACTGCATTGTTTAATGTGAGTACGAGCGGTTAGTAGCGTAGCGTCTGCTCTTTTGTCACACTTGTTCCTAGATGTTCGACGGCCTCTTTCAGGCTAAACACAGCCAAAACAAAGTATATGCGAACTGAATTAATTAAAGCGTTTAATCAAGCTTCCGTAAACAAGTAAAGTTTGCTTTTTTGCCATCCGTTATTATGTCGCCTTTCGTTTGAAGTGCGAATCATATATAGAAATAGATATGTTTCCGGTTTGGGATAAGGTAAGGTTTGCTAAACGATTGTGCAAACTTTATAGAATGCTGCTTTTTTCGAGGGCGGTTATGCTTGTATGTGGTAGGAGTCAAAAACTTAGCAATTCTTATAGCAGCTCTGCTATCTATTGTGGCAAATCCTCTGTACTTCGCCACGAAGTTTACCCTTCGTACACAACTGTATCGTCCCTTACCTACAGGAAGCTATACCTTCTTCAGTTCTACTAAAGAAGCTGTTTGTACTTTCAGATCTTGATTACCTAGGAAATATAGCAAAAAAGTGGCGGAAGCATAAAGAACATGTGGCTAGGACAAGACGTGACCTTATGCTTGGTTCTATCGATGACTTCTGTGACGCTTGGTCAAAACGCCACCACGCCCGACATCGGTGAGCGAAAGTCTAACTTATTGCACACAGTGAAGCTCCAATTCACTAGGTTGTTGAATACGATTCATGTGATAACACTCGTAGTACAGGAATGAGGACACGATAGATGCAGGTAAATGTGGGAAAATATTGATATCGTTGCTCTTGATCTGAATGTTCATTAAATGACGTTTCATTGAATCGACGGTGTAATTCACTAATACTTGTTTCGTGTTCGTGTTTGTGTTTCACGTCTTTACATCAGCGCGTCTCACGCAAGAATCCTTGGGTAAGCTGTTTTCGATCACTCATTTGTCCTATCAGTCAAGTCCGAATACCGTTACTACACGATAACCCGAACCGCTTCGACACTAGAACAAACCCTTTAACGGCGCTTGTCAATTGCGGAAAATTTCAGCATGGCTAAAACGAACTCACTATAATACTTCAGGAAGTGTGATCGATTTTCGCGTTCGTAGTTCTTTTTCTAAACTCACATCTGTTCGAATTTCTACACCGTTCATAAGACGGCGCACGAATGTCACCTACACCTTCAGCTACGAATCGATCCAAGGCAATCTAACTACGCAATTGCAAAAAATCAATGTTGCAATGGCGAAACGTAGCATGTACACGGTAAGCCTAGGTCTAAATTAGTTAGTCATGGTGCTCTATATTCAGCAATTTTCCTCTTTAGAGTAACCCTTCAATGTAACGAAAGTGCATCCCTTAAAGACCAAAAAACTCCTGTTCAAGGAGGTATCTTTCCCCCAGATCAACCTTTACCTGACCAATATAGCTTTTTTTCTGCTGATTTTTATACAGATATTTAATTTAAACTCTGAATTTTTCTGAATTCAGCCATCTGCTCGATCATTCAGTATTTACACAGTAAATTCCGAGCCTCCCGGCAACCATGACGTCGTAGCGAAGATATCGAAACGTTGTATACGGTACTTATAAGTAATAGCAAGTAATAAATGCTTGTTTACTCACACAACTGAATGTAATGTTTGCTATTCCTGCAGATGATAGAGTGGGCGTCAGCCCAATCTACATACAATGTATCCGTGTTGCCAGAATACAAAATTCGCGACGTATTATTAAACGCATCAGAACTGATAGCTCCAAAAGTCAAGACGTCGCTATGCTCGTCTCATTGCTTGGACTACGAGTACGGTGAGCCTGATCTGTATTCGGCCTTTGCTGTTCCTCTGCATTTCACTCATGTATTGTTTCTGCCGAACCCAATTTACGAGTGGGAATCCCAATGAAGAACTGTTTCTGATTTGCACACATAGCATTTACGATTTTTGCGTAGCGCTTTGTTTTCAGAATGGTCGTAGACTTAACAAATGTGGGTTGTTAAAGAAAAAAAAGTCATAGCCCTTTGTTCTCTCTGAGTCAGTACAAAATATACACGAAGAATAACTCGATCGATTTATCATAAATGCGTGCGTTCGTTAGCGTTCTTCCTAGAACTCATGCTAATCGATTAAACTGTAACCGATCAATGGTCCCTTATTTGCAGAGGGTGCACCAAGGACGTTAAGATTGTGGGTCATAAGCCGAAGATATGGGTTTGCTTCGGTCGGTGTAAAAGTATTGTCACTTCCAAAATTATGCCTTTCTCAAACGGTCATCAGTGCCGAAGTACGGTACGCTACCACCAGCGGACAGCGGGGCTATGTGTTGTTTACGGACACCGATTTAACAAAGTTTGCGTTAAGTAACATCGAACACCAATCTTGGATGAAGTTACAAGTTCGATTTTCCTGTAATACTAAATCAGGAGTCAGACAATCTCCTTATTTGGCTGGATTAATACACATTGCTGGTAAGTCATGCGATATGTTCATACATGTCTTTTGGAAAATAGGGTTTTATCTAGCAATCAAATGTAGGCTTTTTGATTAACAAACGTAGGTAATTATTCGCTTCGGTCCATCTCGTTGGGCTCTTCGGAGAAGTCCCACGTTTGGAGGCATCCGTCTATTCGTTTCTACATAACCGTCGCGCAAAAATTATTGCGATAGCTTATGGTTGCGTGACGAAAGCAGCGTGATGTTACCGATTCAAGCTCTATCGTACCGATTATGAGTAGATGCTGCATGATCTTCGTGAAGCACGGCTAGCAAACGCCAGTGCAGAACACTGAATCGCTCGATTCATCAAAGCCTAGTGGTGTATCCTACAATGTCCTAAAATGGCTTCTTTATCTACTTAGCGTATTTACAGGGTTATACATAGTATGCTCTATGCTCAAAGTTCCAAGTTTGTACACTCGTTCGTTGCGCTTGGTCATAGGCAAAAATCAGTTCTTTGGAAAATTCGTAACGACAAACAATATTGTGTCATTTCCACAAGGGTCAACGTGACCCAATTTTTGTTTCGCCCGAAATCGAGGGTCGACGTTATTGTCAATGCTGCTTTTTTACCTTTTGCATTTCTGCTATGTCTAATCTATCTGAATAATGGCGGGCTACTTCATGTTGTTATGGTTCGGGGTTTTGTGTAAATTTTAGATACGGGTATACATAAAACCACTAGCAATGCAGTAGAAGTTATGTACGACGACAACAGTTTGAAGATCCAAATCGCAATGCCATTACTAAACCGTTTCGACATGGTTTGGTATGAGATCCGAATTTGCCCAACGAATACTACTGACCGCAAGATACCTTGTCGACGGAAGCTGCTGCGTCGAGAAGGAATTGCGCGTGTTACGGTGAGAATTTACTATTTAATATAGAAGAAAAGACGAAAATTCCACTACATCAATAGTACTACTACGTAAGTCGTTTGGCCGAGGTTTAGCTACTATTCAGAGGTTCTACCCAGTCGAAGGGATAGCCGCTATCAAATTTAACTACAAATTTATCACTCGTATAAAAAAAAAAACTGAGGTTTTTCTTTCTATGCACCGTATCATTAATGTTATGCTTCGTGCTGGGAGCAATCGGCTACAGCAAACAATCTCTAACGGCCTAAACATGGTTGCAGAGCGGGCGTTCCTATTTGTATTTTGCAGTCGTAAATAATCGCAACAGAAGTAGACTACTGCTTGGGTATTGGCCAAGGACCTCTACTAGTGACAAAAGTAGTACTACAGGTCAGCTCCTGATATGTGGCGGCAGTGCATAGCAAAAAAGCAAAAATGGATGTCTCGCTAACCTAATTTTAAATTGTTTTCATTGTCTCCTAGGTTTGCTTAGGGAGGGGTTAACAAAACTGCTGCTGTACACTCTTGAAATGTATCCACTGAAAAAAAAACAAGACCCAAAAAAAGTCTCAGCGTAAGCGTGCGAGGAGACCAAGCTGACACTGCTGAAAGCTATACACAAGAGTATTTCTGGCTAGTAAATATCAATATACGCTATTCTCTTATTGCCATCTATGACAGTTCGAAAGCTGTAGCGTTTAGGCGTTCCCATGGTTTTCTGCTCCCATTGACGTCTATTTTTTTTTTCAGTCTTTCGTAAATAAGGTGACTCCAGGGGTGTATGACATTCACATACGCCCAGAATACTTGATAGGTACGAACGCGATCACCGCGAACAACATCTCTTTTACATCTGTCCCGCTTAGCACGTGCGATCAAGCCTGTTTGTACAAATTGGGTATGTAAAATTGGGGTTCTCCTTCCAGTATCTACTTATTTTGGCTAGGTGTTTGTAGAAATCTATATTTAGTATAGCAGACCAACAAGCAGTGGACCGGCCAATGAAAGGGAAACCAAAGCGCGAATTCCCATGTGGGTCGTTATCATCGTTAGCTACGTGCAATGAAATATCATTCATTGGCGAAGTATAATACCAACAATTCATATGCATCGTTTGTCAGCATTATTACTGCTGACAAGGCACTACCAGTTGAACGTTCTCCTGTGCCACTGATGTGCATAGTCTTCTTGTTGTTCAATACATCAATCGAATTTCGGTCACTAATTGGGTCAGCCTTGAAAAGGAGTCTCCTGTGAGATGGAATATGTGAATTCGTTCGTACTCTAAGACATTTTGCTTATGATGGTAATAGTAATAGTGATGAGGCTTGGATTATCACGGAGGCCTTAAAATCCAAGGGGTCTAACCTTGTGTGCTTACAGTTAGTACCAGACCAAAAGAGATATATGTAGGAAAAATCTCGTTAAGCCTGACTGCGCAGAAGAATCTTGTCATCATTGCTCCATTCGCCTTTTGGAACTGTGCATTGGAAAAAACAAGGAGTATTGTTCAATACGGTAACCATAATGGACAATATGGTGAAATCTATTTGAATCCCTTACCTAGGAAGTTCGAAATGCCCACCATCCAGTTGGCGACCACTTATTTCGTGAGAATAACGTCAATCTGCGAATCGAACGGGCCAATCATATATGGCACTGGTGTAATCAACTTACGAGGTAAGCACACGCTTTTCAAAAGAAAGCATTCGTTCGAATAACTGCTCTCTTCTCGTACGGTACAGGTACATCTACGATGTAGTGACGTCCTACCGAACCACTCTGGCGTTTTTTGAGTAATTTACTGAATTTTGTTTCTGGATTAGACAGGAGCATTTATATAATTGTATTCCGATCATCGATCTTATTAAGAATGATTCTAAACTCGTAGCCTGCTCGTCAACAGCAAATGTCTTCGGACGTCGAGCATTGATTGGGATCACAATATGATATTGCCGCCGCCAGAGTTTCTACATTTCTGCTATTACATTGTCATTGTTACTATAATGGTTTCTTATCTTCTCTGAAACATAATTTTGTTACCTAGAATTTTTAAGAAAGTTATGGATGCAGTTCAAACTTGTTTATGTTTAGTTAAATCAATGTACTCAATATTCTTACAATACGCTTTTTACATAGCTACCAAACAAGGGAAAAATTACTCGACCCCGATGTCCTCGATGCCGATGTCTTCGACGCCGATGTCCTCGATGCCGATGTCCTCGATGCCGATGTCCTCGATGCCGATGTCCTCGATGCCGATGTCCTCGATGCCGATGTCCTCGACGCCGCTGCCCTCGACGTCGAAGGCTGCACGCTAAGGTAATAAGCAATTTGATTATAATAATAATAATTATAATTTAGTGGTTTGACAGCTGTAGGAATCTGTGCTAACGTCATTTATCAGAGCTTCAGATACATTACATGATGCTGATAATAATTATACTTTGTCGTCTAGTGCAGGAACCTGTGCTACTATCCTTGACCAGAGCTTCAAACCCAAATCCAGACTGGTGGTAACATCAACTTTCTTGTACACGAAGGAAAGTATTCTATTGAATCTGTTGCTAATTGTTAACGACGAAACGGTTCTAATGTATTTCAAGCGCAACTATGGCGAAAACAAGTCTCCATTAATATAAAGATGAATACGATAGATAGAGCAGTTATGCATATGCTATCACGTCTTTTGCTCTACTGAAGAATCTACTATTATTTATTTTTTATCAACAAAAACATTGCACGTGTCTAGTACTACCGACAGAATAATCAGTGACTCCTTGGGGGGTGCTTCGGGATTTGATCTTAGATGGAACAGCCTTTGACTATTAAACAAAACGTTAGAATCGCGTAGGCGGATGTTTTTCAATGTACAATAGCGTGATCGAACATTCGGATTGATTATTATTCTAATGTCTCTCCAGTGATTATATATTATAGGTGTTACCAGCAGGCTCTTAACCGATTGCCACTTAAAAAAAACAGGACGAGTATAAAGGGTCACTCCCAGGTAACCCAGCAGTACCAAATCGTATTTTGTTAGCTTAGATATTGAGGCATTCTTAACAATGACCTTCATTAGGATGGAATAAAGGCACCGTCGTCTTCAATAAAGATGATTTGCTGGAAATAAATCCATAGTGAGTTTTCGTTTCTAAAATGAAATTGAAGAATACTCTACGTTTGCAGAGCTTGTCTTGTCGATTGCAGATATCAGTCTCATAGAAATGCTATCACAAGCAGGCCTTCCGAATCAAGTCTCGAAGTTAAGTATCCTTAGAGGAAATACGAATTAACGGAATTTTTTTTGGTATTCATTTGTCGAGAGTTGAAAATAGCGGGACATTGAAAATAGAACCTGTAACCAAGTATTCTATACCTGTATGTTTCAAGGCATCGCTGTTAAACGTTCTAGATCTAGATCAGAATTATAGGTCACTGAACTTCGCAAGATTTTGCATGTAGAGATTTTCGTGCGATCTCAAAATCTCAACTTTTTTTTCTACCTACGATGAATGAACCCATGGGTAACTTATTCCTTGAAGGAGAATAAATCTAAAAAGTAATGAAGTGATAACCACCTAGAGGAATAATGAATAATACTCCATATCCAAACTATTATAATTGGCGACGAAGCAAAGATCGACCTAAATTAGGATAACAAATGGCAAGAGCTTAAAAGCTGAAAATCCATAGAGTTGCAGTTGGCGATTTAAGCTAGTAAATCGCTAGTGTTCGAACACGTAGATTATAATGAACAGTGTAGTCTCTGAATATAAATATACAAAAATCGTTTTTCATGTTGACAGGCGACGACAAAGCCTAATTGATTACGTAGAAACCTGACCATGTATCTCGCATTAGCAAAAGAAAACGGTCGACGATTGTATATTTATGCGTTGTAGAAAACATTACAGGTGAGAAATATAACTGCTTCATGTGGAAGTTGTTCACTGACGGCAATCAAATACGCGTACTTCATCACAATTATACTTTGATGAAAAAGCAAATGCTAGACTACCAGCCGTATACACCCATAATTAATTCTGACGTCAAATGTATCTCTCCCAAACATTATCACCCTGAGTTGTCGATATAATAGATACCCAGATTCGGTACAACAAGTCACTCTTACATCCAGAACACAAGGACACACTGGAAAAGTACACGTTTGATAAAGCAAAAACTGCACGGGACATCCACTACCCAGTTCAAACAAATCTTTATATAACGTGAAAAATTCACATTTTTTCTACTTCTATTGTTGTCAAATCAGACTAATATAAAGACCTATTTATATAAATCTGTGTATAGTAAATCTGTGTAACGTATCCAAAAGGATCCGAAGGTTCACAGCTATCTCATGTAATGTTACTCTACCGTTAAGCTAAATTTACAGAATTGTAAAAAGGCTAGTACGTTCAACGAAGACACTCGTATAGGCGCGATTATCGTAAATTACTTGTTGATAAAAAGTTGAAACTCTCAAATAGTCTATTCTACCAAAACTGAAAAAGAAATTGTGCAGAACTTCTGCAATAGTAGTCTGTGATGAAACTGTTTCGATTGTTACTAAAAGCCTGAGACAACTGTCCTAGAAAATCATCGCCATCCATTACCTACGCCTGTACCTTCATTGCAGTTACTCATAGCAAGCGTCCTATGGCAATTGACATCTGTTACTTAAGCCGCGAAGACTGTTTTAAACGGCTAGCCTGTGGCGTAAAGCGAATGATGTCAAAGGGAGTGGCAAGCGCCTTACTCTTGCGCGATGACGGTCTGCCTGTCCCACCAATACAAGAATATATGAATTGCAGGATAGATGTTAACGGAACTCGTACGCTGTCGTTATCTAGAGCAAAGCTCGGAACTCGTACGCTGTCGTTATCTAGAGCAAAGCTATATACAAATACAAACAGCCGTATATAAACAAACAAAAGATACAAACAAATCATCTCTAAACGTGTAAATGTATAGGGCTGAAACACGCGAATCTGGCGGGGGGAAAATCACCCATGAAGTAGTTGAGCTGGTAAGACAAGCGATCATTCCAGCTCTTGTTTTTTACATACTTCCCCCAATGCTTTGGCCATATATCTACCACTCGCATTTCCACGTGTTTCTCTTCGAATGGCTTCTTGAACTACAACAGAACAGAGAGATCAGTCACGCTTTTCAGGGCACCGGAGGCTCCGAAATCACAGCAAGTTAGGTTGGGAGAATGCAATTTCTGAATTTCGATTCGAGTTACCACTTAGTTTCCCAGCGAAAGAATCCGCAGATCTGGCTATAGTCGCTCAAATACATTTCGAGTAATATGATAACTCACATATCGACGGCTATGCGAGCTCTTACGGGGCAGACGCTTAGTAGGTAGCTTATAGATGTTACCTTGATGCAGAACTTATCACATCGCTGACTAATACATGTATTGCACATCATTATAATCACACAGCCTATGTATGCAAGCTTTATTTTGGAACTAAATTTAAGTTCTATTATGTAAACTGTTAATATAAACATTGCTAAAACGAATGTGAACTTTGTGCAACACTGTAGTGAAGCCAGCATACGTGATTGATTATCTATCATAACTTACCTTCGAAATTTTCGTTATGTCAATATTGTAAAGTAAAGAGACAAACCGCCACAACGAACTGCGTACGAACAACACGAATAATACTAATACACAGTATCGACATCTTTGGGGCCGCGTGGCGGATAACTTCAACGTTTCCGTTAACGTTCGAAAAATTTAAGCATCATATCAGCTTTACTTACCAGTTTCTAGAGTATTCATAATTCACCTAATTAATTCATTTTTGTTCGTATTTTTTTTTTATTTTTGTCGCTGTTCTTCTTCCGTTAGGCAATCTAGGTTCCAATAGGTTATCTGTAATCTACAATTCATCCGGAATAGATTTTTGGTCTCAAAAAGGTGAATAAAGCATATTATATAGTTTGATTGTTACATCGCATTGGTCGGCAAGAAACGCCTTTGAACTATTGGTATCCAAAAAGCTATAATTGACTGCGAAGCGACCGATGGCGGTGCTTCTCTTACCTTTTTTTGGCCATATTTAAGGCCAAATTCTCCCCATTGAACACAATTCTTTCACCTCATTAAGTGAATACATTTAGGCTAGCCTAAGAGGGGTCATGCAACGTAGTGCTTTCTTCGGCAGTTTACCTGTCGACACTTTCCTGCAGACGTTTTAGTATTTACACGGACTGAGGAGTTCGGGATAGCGTAAAATTTAGGACATCTAGAAAATCTGAAATTGTTGCACACAATATTTCAGGCTGGCCCTACGGACTTGTTCCCTTGCAAGGTTTTGTTGTCGCATGGTACACATAAATTTACATAGGTTCTCCGTGCCATCCATCATTTTCCTGTTTTTCGATTAACTTTTAGAAAGTTTGTCAAGCAAAACTACTCCGTTGCTGAGTCATGCATAAGATCGCAGTCTACTAAATAATGATTGATTTACGTTGTAAACATGCACAGGCAATGGCTGACGTACCGCGCTTCACTTGCCAGACTGTCTCATCAGGGTTACCAAGTGCGGAAATGGGCTATTGTGCCATGCGCTTCCTTCCGATAACTGCAACATATCCGCTGGTGTTTTTTTACTTGCATATTGATCACGGTTCCGGTCGTATTTAGGAATGAAAACGCTCAGAGTATGCGTTTGTTTTATGCTCTTCTGACCCCTGTCGGTCAGCAGGTATCTCGTCAAAGCCAATTTTTAAGCGGACAAAGCTCGCACTACACCGCACGCTAGACGAGGCTATTGTTTACCACAGACGTCACAATAGGATGTCGGTAGCCGTCAGGATAAACGTACGTTGCAAAGAATCTAAACAGTGATACGTATGAAATGGCGATTCGTTAAAACCATATTCCGTCACCATAATACGAACCCTACATATAGAAATAAACAATTCTTTAACAGTATTGAAAGCTGAAGACTTTCCGGACGGTGATAATTACTTCGATCATATGTAACCGTGTCTATTACAACATACTTCGTTGAAAAAAAGTTCTCTAAAATGATATATTGTTTATGGAAGTCATATGATACAGTGAACTTCGTTTCAACTTTCCGATACCTTCGAGTACCCAACATCAATGCGTAATTCCGTATGACCTCGTAGGGAAATCTGATTATAATTGCAACAACGCAAAATCATTACTTCGGAGGGGTGCTCAATATATACATTATACATTTTCGTTTGTTAAGTAGTCTCCACTTCGAAGAATAGTGACATGTTACCATATTCTCTCATGGGACGATTGGCTTCAGTTAAGTGCACCTCAGGTGTATGTATTAATTCATGTAATGCCGAAGTTTGCACAACATGCGGACGTTAGGTTTCATAGTTGAAGCACTGAAAAGACATCGGCCGGACCCTAAAAACTAGGACATATGAAAATAACTAGATATTATATGAAGATTTGCGTGGAACGACTTCACTGTCAGCCGTCACGGATGATTTCGCATTTCTCAGAAAAATAACAGGTCATATCGGAACGGCCATTGCTTGAGATGGCGGGCTATGGTGGGTTGGTGATATGCTTTTACACATGCTACACACCGTAAGGGGCATCACTTTTGATGATAGCAGATGACAGAACAATGGCTACTGATTCACTGCGTGGTTACACATTGGAGGAAGAATTAATATGAAGTTTTACTGTATTTTTTGAGAACGTATGAAAGTCGCATCTTACAAGAATCTAGAGGAGCTCATTGGTCAGCCAATGTAATTAATTGATAAAATGTAGATAAGTGTTCGATCAGTTCATCGACTTCAGGAGTCGTTTCTGGGTTGAAGAAAGTTTCCATGTTTTTTTAGCCTCATTAATGATGCTTCCGATATTCTAAACAGTAACAGCTAATCTAGAATAAGCTGGTCATTTACAGCGTATCTAAAAGCGACAATGATACACAAGTTTTCGCATATTTCTGTTGAGTTTCTTCGGTAAGTGGGCTCACAACGGTTTATTGGGACCCTGGTTATCTTTTATGAGAAATAAGAATTTACTTTCATTTGTATCGACGGGCCTTTATTTCTTCTAAGCGGTCACCGGTCACGGAATGTCGCGTAATTAGTGTAAATATTTCACATATGTGTATGAGGTTTGCCTCTCCGAAAATCTCCGCAGCCCTTAACCTCTTCGACTCAATCTGTTGGTCTTCCGATAGGATAGTTAATAATGCGTTTGTCTGTTAATCTTGCAGACACATCCTGATACAGGTTTGAATCAGAACAAGACACAGTTCATTCCGTGCAGGAAGCCGTTCGTTCTCATGGGGTATCTAAGAGTTATGCTGGACGTAAAACTTGAAATTTCAAAGCCCGAACTGGTACATCGCCTCGTGGGGAGGTTTGGCTACAAACCTACAGGTTGGTTCGGTGCAACTAAAATATGAATTTGTTAGAAATTGAGGTAAGCTATGCAGACAATGTAACGAGGAGGACACAACAGCACACATTGTACAAAGCATACCTTGTGATAATTAAACCAAACTATCAATATCTGCCTTCTTTGCGCGTTGCCTAACAAGTTTGTTTACGCAACGATCAATGTATTTGTTCGTGCCAACACTGTGTAGTCGCTGTTCTTATTTTCACGCGCCCCGCCAATGACCAGTTGGTACTAACTACTCTGTGTTTCTGTACTCTGCCTGGTACGATTCGCTGATTGACTCGTGCGCCAAGTACGACAATAGCGTTACTTGCATGTCAAACGGCCGCCCTATATCGGCCAGGTTTGCTGTGGCTACGAGCTATTCAGTAAACCCAGCAGTAATCGAGTGATTGTCGGTAAACGTTGGAGCCATCCAAACGTAACTCGTCACTACTGGCCTCCAAAACGACCAAAAGTAGGCTGCTGCAGCGACAGTCGTCGCACCGCTGACGAAAGCATCTTCTTTACGGCACTTGAATGACAGGGCTATTTCCAGCGCTCTCTGACAAGCATCCCGGCGACATGTTTCACATACGATCTCTCCACATTCGTGCTCGTTCTGCCGAGCGAAGCATGACATCGAACGTTAGAGAAATCGGAAACGGTGCCCGCGGCCTGAGGCTGCGGAGAAACAGCAGCATGGATGAGTTCGGTGAGGCGGTTGTTTGTAGCTACTGCGATGTCGGAAAAGAAGAGACCTGCCATAGCAGACGACGCGCTGCCATAAATATCTAGCATATACCCGGTCCACTGCTAAACGAACATAAACATCGCCCAATGCGCAAGATATGTAAAACGCGTACAGCATGGCAGTATGTCAGTACAAGCCTGACTGACGTACATTGAATTAGAGCTTTTAATTACCCTAAACTTGTTAAGAATAACTAAATATAGGTGAAGTTTAATTAATAATTTTTTTATTTCAATCAACACATATAAAGTATGGGCAAGGCTTGTGTGAAACACTGTGAAGACTTAAAATATATAAAGTTTATTAGGTTTATCATAGAAATGAAAACCAGACTTCCACAGCAATAAACCAATAATTGTTATTTACACACTAAGAAATATTTTCGTATTAGGCTTCAGCAGAGGGAAACTTTGTCAAGAAGCTTCACCCCCAAGACCAGGGGCTCGATTCCAGGGCCTAGCTGGGAAAGTAACCTGTTGCGGTATGCAATTAATGTCGTTCAGGTTACGACATTAATATTTTACTGTGAACTTTAATTAATGACCGTTTAAATTAACAATCAACACACATAAAATATGAGCATGACTTGTATGAGACATATTTTGGCGATTACTGATAGGAAACTTATTACGTTCGTGCGGTTCGTAAGATGTATCACAAGCCGGAAGCTCAAACTTAATCAGTAATCGTTGTTTAAAACTAAGAAATACTACGTTAGTAAGATACGTTGAACAGCTATTCAAAAAACATTGCCTAGAATTATTATGAAATGTACTTAAGTCTCAATAAACAATTAACAGCAGTTATAAACAGCATACGTTGGGGATTATTCCAACCGATATACGTTAGGGGCATCGTAAGAGTTCGTATTTGTCATAATCCTGTAACTCATTTAAATAGCAAAAAAACTAAGGATTGTCATTTACAAACCGAGAAGTGCTGTTAGTAAAACACGTTCTGTAGAACTTGCAACCAATCGGTAACTGGCTTTGGAAACGCGAAGATCGAATCTAACACGTACGGAAAAAATCACAATGGAATCATGCTAACAGATACCAGCCGGAGGATGTTGACATCCCCAGGGAAATAGGCGTGGCCAAACGATCACGCAGAGTAATGTCAGTAGTAATATCTAGGCGCAGTGTAAATAGTTTCAGGCCACTCGTTGCTTCCAATCAACGACAAAGCCAAACGACTTTGTTTCATTGGTATTTGTATTGTGAAGCCTAACACTGAGCTTCGTACTTGAGTCTTTAGGACAAAAGAAAGACAACATAAGAGGCCAGTAGAAACTGTACGAGAGAACTGGTGGTGGTAACAAGACAAGCCGAATGTGGCTGAAGCCGACTATTTTTCAGCTACTGGTGTCCAGCATAATTTCCGTGGTACTCGGCAGAGGTACCACACCCCGCAGTGGTGGTAAGCCGCATTTGTTCTAAATAATAATCGCTTAATCGTAATCAGTATCGCCACAGGATTAAAGTATTGACACTACAGAATGCAACGCTTGTTTAGTTGAGACCCACTAGTATTCATATCGATCCGTCGTGAGTTGCTCCTTGAGCTCCCAATATACAATACCTCTCAAACGCATCTAAATGAGCCAATCATTTTAAGGCGACAAATGTTCAAATACATTCCTCGATGCAAACTAGAATACGGGAAACGTATTTGAGATATTTAACAAAAAAAATTAAACAAATTTAATTTTTTATACAAATGGAAAACGAATATAGCAGAACGTCGGTTTTTTGGCACCATGGTGAAATGAATGCGACCTGTTCTTGCCCAAAATTAAGACTAATACATTCGTCTCGCAGAATATACGCATATGTATATGGTGAATATATATATAATAAATAAAGTAAATGGATATATGACGAAAATGGTGCTATGCACGCTAATGAAAAATTGACGCAAACGGATGTATAATGAAATACAAACTGGAAGTATATTTACTAATGCTAGGTGTCCTTTTTTTTTTCTGTAATATGTTCCCATCAGCAGGAAATGTTCATCTTACTGCAAGAAAATTAGGTGAGAGCTTCTGTAGTTTAATTGTCACTATTTCTACAATTGCATATGTTCCATTGGTGTAGTTATGTAGCGGTGAGAATAAGCATATAACGAAATTCAGTTACTAAGAGAGAGGCATGCTTAATATAACAAAAAGTAATAACGTTTTAGAAGCAATACCGGACAATCATTATGGCACGAATGGGTACGTCATAGACCTTAGACCCCATACAGCCGTACCAGTAATAACAGCCGTCAGGATCTCTATGCCAAACTTAACCCGACACACCGAAGTCATTTGCAATATCCTCTATCAGATAATCGGCGAAGAGCAGAAATCTGTGGAAGTGCCATTGAACAAACATGTGATCCCAACAGTAAGTTGATCCTAGTGAAGACAACTTCCACTTTTTTGACAATAGAATTCACATATCTAAGATTATAAAAATCTTCGATAAAATTATAAAAGAAAAACATATAAAATTATATTTAGTTTTATATTTTCTATATATATATATATATATATATATATATATATATATATAATATTTAAAAAATGATCTAACTGAATTGTTATATTGATGTGGCGTTTGCCGAACTTGAAGCCGCGACACTGGTAATTGCTTGAATCGAAAAATGTATAGGAAATTTCGGAAGTGCACTACTTAGTCGGTTATATTTATTGAGCGAGCTACTTAACGTCAGTATGGTTCATCATCGAGTTATTAAATACTCGTGACGCGTCGTGCTGGCGTCAGAGCAGTCTAACACAAGCGGTTGCAGTTAAGAGACAAAATGGAGCTACCCAAAATAAAAATCCATTCTACAGATTTATTGTTCCCGGCACTTTTTTATTGTTTGCGTCTTTCCGTCAGTGTTTCATGTTTTATATAGGTAAAAAAAGTTTTCTAAAATGAAATACTTATTCCTTTACATACAGACTGCTGAAATTGATCTGCCTGGAGAGTATGATGAATTAAACCCGCCTGAGTGTAACGTATCTATCACGGCCAAATACCCGATTGGCAAACACAAAGTCCATACGGCGAGTATGGATATAGGCCCAATCAACCTGACACGATGCGATACAGTGTGCTACGAAAATTTGGGTAAAAATCTACGTTTATTTAATCTGTCCATTTTACATCTACGCCCGGTTCTAGGGTACGCGTTATTTTTTTGGTGTTACGCTATAGTTATTGTGCTACATTATATCCCTCCGATTACATGTACGTGCGCCATAACGTGGTCAATCTTGAACGTATCCAATGTAATGCTGATATGAAGCGTGTTTAGTGCTTCATTGATAAGCCTTTAGTAGCTTGAACGGGCTCATTTCAAAAAAACCGGCAGGCTAATTTTTTTTTTACTTTTAAATATTCATAAACTTAATTTTTCGTGAAATTTCGCAGATAACGTAAATTCCACTAAATTGATGGAGTTAACGATCGTTGAAAAATTAGATGGATTTGTGAACATCGAAGCTGCCATGCCAGAAAAAATTAAGTATTGTTATAACAGTGAATTGGATTATGCCTTTGTTGAGTACGGTACCAACAAAGGGCAAAGGGGATATATCTTATTTAAAGATACTACACTTGAGCAGTTTACGTTGATTGATATCAAAGAAAGATCTTCGTTGAGACTGCGTGTCCGCTACGCCTGTGAGGCCTATGGCTCGTATGACATCAGAGGCGAAATCGACACTACACGTGAGTGCTATTATTAATATCCTATATGTTATTGCGATATCCCAATGACAGACCGACTATCCCGTTCGCAAAGCCGGAGGTTATTTACAAGGTACGGATTTACGTACGGACGCGCAACCTTGATTCACTCATTGTACAAAAAAAAATTGCTTCACTTTATTATACTCGTAATGCGACGTCTCGTGAATCCCAACACCTGCTACTTTTTAAGGTTTCTCACTATTGGTTTTTTTTTTTTCTCTATAAAAATTGCGCACAAAACTGGGCATAATGTTTCGTACGATAACGATCCGGATCCATTTGTGCATTTTCAAACGAGACTCACAGCGTGTTTCCGACGCCAATGTATGTATGTATGTATTCCTTGTTGCTTGGTCAGAGCTAGCACGTACGTTGTGGGATTAGTTATTTGACTCTTTATCAATTCCAGCGATAAGTGAGTACGGAATCAGTACAGACTGTTTCGAATTTACATACGAACACTGGTCTGGCCTTCAAGTTGGCTATATTACCATGCCATCGCTGAATAAATACAGAAACGTCACTTATATTATCACGTGTAGTACGCCCAAATCAGGATCACGATCAGAGTGCCCACTGACCTTGGACAGGACCGACGAAACAACGGTGAGAACATTTGAAGTAGTCTGAAAAATGATTACGACTCGCATCATTGTCTTCGTTGATACTAAATCATGTCAAAACACATTTGATTTATGCCTACCTTGGGCGAATTGACTTGTCTCATAGGTGTACCGCCATTGAGCTTGCCTACGCGGATTTGACTCGCTGTGGAGCTAGTTTTGGTAGATTTCTTATTGGAGCAGTGTGTAGAACAGTGTTCGCTTGCTTTTTTTCATTTACATGCTGTTTGCTTTCTGCAGCCTGTTTATTTGAGACTAGGGAAAGGTTCGAATTTCCTGAACGTTACTCCATCATACAGGATTGGCATGAAGATGTTCCAAATGCAAACATTTGTTGGGCCTTGGATGAACCTTTCGAGATGCGATTCAAGATGCATGGACGAACTGGGTAAGTATGATACGGAGTGGTTCGTATTATGGTAGTCCATGTATTGTTCTCGATATGCATGAAATAGTAATGCATGCAAAGAGGTTTATGCTCGGCAACCCATCCGTTACCTAACATAACCTCGCTCTGAAATGGAAGCGCTGTAGTGAACGATAAAATCGCCTCCTTCCGAAACCATGCTGATAGAGGTACACCACTGGCCTAGAATAAGCGTATTTAAGCAGCAAAGAGGAAACAAATTAGTCAGATCCACGTGAGGAGGTTCATAGGTCTTCATGTACTTCACGGCGATTGACAGTAGCATCAAATACATATCAACAATGAAATATATAGGCACAACACTATTAAACAGTGTACTGTAAAAGGTGCTGGCAGATCCTTACAAACGTTCTCAGGACATATCATCCAAAGCTCTCGCACCCCCTAATCGATTTCGAACTATTGGTAGTTAGATTAGATTTTTTATTATGTATATATATATATATATATATATTAGATATTTGAATTGAAGATATTTGAAATAAGTCGAAAATATTGATGGTCAGTTGTTTCGTACTCGAAACATTTTGGTAATTGTTTCCTCTCGTACGAAAGTGACCACAACTATACGTAAATCAACTTTGTTTCTTTGAATTGTTATAGAGGGAAATGCATCCGATTTGCAGTTGGAAAGGATCAAAGTTGAGGGCCAGAGATCGTATATTAACGTAACGATAGACAGATGCGTTAATACTCCGAAAAACGTAGAGGCATCGTATGGTGTAATTGAGGGCCAACGAGGTTATCTTTCGATTTTAAATATGATGGAAAACAGCTTTATATTTCCTTCGATCCACACCTTTCGACGCCTCCATGTACGTGTAGACATCTACTGCCCACAAAGTAACTTATCATACACATTCAAGAATAAACTGCAGTTCGGTAAGTGAAAAAGCCTTTGGAAAAGCTCTTCGACTTGAATGTATTACTATATGTAGCAATACATTCACAAATATGCTAATTTACAAATTCACTAGCTCGTACGATGTCTTAATCTCTCAATTTAAAAATCAATTAAAAAGAAACTAAAAAATAATTCCTGCAAACAATGTGCAAGGATCGCGTTCCTGTCAATATCGAAGATAGATATAAATAAGACTAATTTTTTTAGTAATTACATAATTATATTAAAAAAATTAGTAGTTTGGCATTTGTTGTCGGAGTAATCATTGCTTTGGTCGCTTAAAATTTTCAGACAAACGAGCCGGTAACTTACTCCGAAGAAAACACAGACTAAATAAATCGCATCGTAGATTTCGCAAGCATTCAGTATCTTCCCGAAGAAGGGTACCCCACAGAAACGGTTAGTAACTTTTTGAGGTCTACTTTGGCGCAAGATACTTGTAGATAGTATCATATTTTCTCTTTGAATAAACAAGTTATGACAAAGTCAAAAGACAATGCTAGATAGCATGAAGCAAATGAGGCGCCGTATTGGTCATCTAGTGATTAAGTGAGAGAAATCTTGAATTCATGACAGCCTTCACGCAATGGGAACGAGTTTTGCTCAAAATGTCAACTGAAGAAACTGTGAACACGACTTTTAAACCAGTATGAAGCCAGGCGCGAGCAGCTTTCTGAAAGATTTGTTTCTTAGCTTCGTTTAATGTCGTGATTTAGTATTTAACTAACTCATTTGTATTTTAGGGCGGACCATACGCTACGGATTTCGGATCCTAAACTGAATGAAATTCAGGAAAGGATAGACATAATGAGACTGTTGGCTCGTATTTCGCTGTAGTTTGTACTGATAACTTGCGGAATAGGAACGATCAACAATGGTCGATTTCTAACTTCAGCTCCTTTGCATCCTCAGGTCAAAGATGGCCTTCGTCACCGGGACGTATTTAATTAATCTAGAGGAACCGAGTGATCATAATTACAAAACGACGAAGTACGAACTCGTAGCCATAGCGTAATACGGAACCTGAGTAATGGTATAACTGAGCTCGATCAGATGATGCAGGAACACATCTATCTACGTATCGCTATTCAGCAATTTCACGTTATCAACTCATTTCATTTTAACGCAGAGTACGGATGTTAAGCCCTGTGTGTTTTTAGCAATGAAGTCTCTAATTTATATACCAGTTTGAACACACGGATGTCGACTTTGCGCACGATTTACAACAGCTTTTTTTGAAACCTTCGAACGAATAGACCTCTTAAGAAGCGCAGCGCACCCTCGTCTGTTGAAGTGGGGGTAGTTTCGTCCGTTCTAATATATAAAAATATTTTTTCACGAATATATTCTTGTAGTTAATATATATTATCGTGTATATGATCTACGAGTACATTTCGATATTAGCGCTCGAATAAAGCTAGGTAGTCAATTTATCGAGGTGGATTGCCGTAGCTTTTCGCGTGAAGCATACGATGATACTACTGAATATCGCCGCGCCGAACAGTTCAATGTGAAACATAGTAGTTCGTGTAACGTCTCGTTTCAATATGCACATTTGTCGCAACAAATATGTTGTGATGTAATTTACTCATAATTGCTGGTGCTAATTTAAGTAAGAAATTAAAAAAAAAAAAAAAAAATAGAGAGAACAGAAACGATGGGTGCTAATTTAAGTAAGAAATTAAAAAAAAAAAAAAATAGAGAGAACAGAAACGATGCAGATTGGAACGATAAATTATTTTGACAAGTATTTCGATCGAGAGAGAAAAAGCATTTTAATTTTTGGTTCAGATCAGTTGGTCACCTAGTAACGAATTTTCCACTGAAGTACTCTTTTCGATATCGCGTTAATTCATTGCAAAATTCATTGTAATTCATTGCATAAAATTCATTGCATATCCAAAACTGATACATTGAAATTAGTATGCATTTACATAAGTGTCACCGGACTGAGACAATCCTTACGAAGTACATCGAAGGAATAAACAGCCCTTTAATCATTGATCTCAATAGGGGATTCCATTTTTTTTTCTTCATATTATAGTTTTCCATGAAAACTATAATATGAAGATAATAAGGATTGGTTCCAACATTCCATATAAATGTTTAAAGCAATTTTTGTACAACGATGCAGTTAGTCGAATAAATATAAATAGAGATTATCAGCTTAATTCTCGAACGACGACAGCGGAATAACTGGTCACTTACCAACCGCCGCGAATGTGAAAATGAGTTGGGTAGAACCAGATTGCGCCTGTGTACAAAGTAAACTTTGTTCCTTTTGGAAGTCTTTGTTAGTTTTTAGGACTAAAGCGTTTTTTGTTTGTAATTGGCGTACTTAATAGCGGTAGTACTGTGATAAGTAAAGAACTATACACTGATTATAAGCTCTAAAAATATCTTCGAAATGCACAACGTGGGATGGTTGTAAGCCAGTAATACGCCAATTAATGTTTGACCAGTAACCAAAGGTCTGAAATACCATTTACCACGCCGGAATCGTCCGTAAAGTCAATGAACAAAACTCGACAAATGCATCTAAAATTGTTATTAAACACGATTTCATGTGGTGTATTTCATACCATTTATTTCATTCGTGGTGCAGCTAACTTATGCTATCTCAAAAGTATAATTGCCAGGCTCTTCATAAACTGTCTCAAAGCTCGGGATTTCGTGCCTTATTTTTGTGTAAATAGTATGGACTACATCTTCATTAATTTCAAATATATATAATTCGCGAATGTGCCTGATTATTACCAGGCACATTCGCGAATTATATATTTTTCTCAGCAGCACTGTCGATTAATATAGCACTACACCAATTACTGTTCTCTGCGTTATCTCGTTTATCACTATCGATAATCATGCTTTTGGATTTTGGAGCTTCAGATTTTCCTGCTTTAATTGTGTTGCTTCCTCTTCTCTGGCTAATAATTTTCGAACTCCAGCTTCAAGAGTAAAGAGATGCTCGTCCTTAACCTCGGGCACAAGCTCTCTCATAGATTTGCAAAGATTGAACAAATACTCAACATTGGTGCCGGAGGGCCCACGAGAAAAGGCGATGGTACGGGCGATTTCGTCCAGTGGGGCCGGGCCTAAAAATAAATCATTCTTATACGAACGAGACGAAATACGCACAACAGGTACTATACAAGTTCTCCCTATTCATAACAAAAAGCCTAGGCTAACAGAGGATCCCATTAAGTGGAAGTCAATGGCCGAAAAGGATCTATTTTAACTGAATATTTAAGATCGTGAATTTCATTGAGTCAGAAGGCAACCGGTTATAAATGTTGTTGTCGCGTTCGAATAGACACATATGACTCAATTTTTCTCCCAAAGATATGGTGCGCACGAATCGAAATAAAATTCCGTGTGAAAAGACTGGAAAAATTATCTGACGTGCAGTTTCTATTCTGAACCTAACAAACCTCAAAATAGGCTGAATGAACCCTTCCCGCAAAAGCGTTATCTTACCAAGATAATTGACATTTCCTTCGACTGCTACGTAGACAATAATTTCAAAGGGTTCTACCTTTGAATCTTTAGGAAAGAACAACGTCTTCGATCGAGTGAAACCTCCTTTCTCCCTATAGTCCAAATGTGATATCACGCTCTCCACCTATCATGAAAGATCACGACAACAATGTGTGTATATAATGTTATTCACGAAACCAACGACAAATTTCACGTACCATTGATCATTACTATTGGTCATGTATTGTAGGTATTCAAGTACATGGGTCTATTATCTCTACGCACCAACAGCTCTTCTATCGGAAGGAATAATAGCTGCTACCGTATCACAGTTTTGACCAAAAATGTATTGGAGGATGCAACAAGAAACATTTTGCTGCCGAGTAAAACATTAAAACAGAACAGCTGTAAAACCAGTGAAAATATACATTATACAAATGGTATATTGATTCTTGGAAATGATTCTTATTCAAGATCCAGAAGGTCTACTTCGATCCACATTGAAACATTAGGTTATGCCTAAGTAGTCGGCTTGCTCTAATCCTGCATGCGGATTTCTACTATTGCCGAAAAATGCTGGTTTCGAAATAGAATGCATGAGCAGACTCCGAGGCAAAGTGTGTTAAACAGGAGACAAAAGTTTACCCCAAATTCTCGAATGACACTGGTTAATTTACCTCCTCATCGGGAATCCGATACGCAACTCCCCAGACTTTGTCTTCTTCGATACCCGTAGGTAATAAGGTGACCACTCTTCCAGGACTTTCCGGCGTTCCCCTAAAAGGATCAAAGTTGTTAGCTTCTGTAAATACAAGATTCAACGTACGATTATGTCGCTTTGATTTCGGAAATTATATTCAAGCGAAATACTTCAAATACAGCATTTTTACATACAGAAATGCACGAAATCGTGGGCTGAGAAATAATTACTTGAGCTTCTGGAATATATTGATTAGGATCTACATATATCTATGCTGAGTATTCTTGTAATAGTGCAAAATCATTACGTATTATAAAGCTTCCAGCGTTTTTAATTAGCAATGATTTTCCACAGTTTTGATCAGGCAGCATAAAGAACAAAGAAAAGTATGTAGTACACGATACAAGTAGTATTGATTGTCAACTATGTAAAATTAATCTCAATTTATGCGTAAAAGTTATTTATGATGATGATCATTATCATTTCGAATAATCTTTATTATTTTATTAACCTGACAAATTCAACGGCATAATATGCGGTACTTGATAAAGTAAAGTTTGCGTTATGTAAACCTGAAAATGTAATACTTGGTAAATTTTGGTCAGACGCAGAAGAGAGCGCTGGGGACGTTCATATTGAAGACACTTAAAGACTTTGCATTATTATAAGCTTCTTTCAGCGAAAACAGATTCAAGCTATTACTATTATTGGTATTCTTACCTATGATCCGTAGACCCTTGGTAGAACCTCCGCACAAAACCGCGAACATACCCGACACACGACTCGGTAGTCGGAAAGTCTACCTTCCAAATGATAGACCCATAACCAAATGCCCAGACGGAGCATTCTTTCATTTTTTTCCCTGACACTCTTGATTTGTTCTCCAGGTCGCCTGCACAATAGACTGTGTCTAAGCATTTGCATAAGTGAATGGACGTGAATTTTGATGTTGATTTTACATTATCCCAAAAAAATACAAAAAGTAATTTCTTGTACTTAAAGGACGCATGATGGAACATAAAAGTGTAGCAAATGTAATATTAAGCTGTAGAATTATACATCATTATTTAACGCATTATACGTAATGGGAAATTTGATCACCGTGCGCATGGTTTCATCATTCAGCTTTATTTGAATTATGCAGTAAACTAGATTTACATTTTTCTCTAACATATCAGATAAAATGAAATTTACGAAATGTGTCTTTCGTCAGTGAGTAAATCATTATCATAATCACCACGTAGAATTTAAAAAATGATAAGCACTTAAGAAAAAAAATCATAATTTTTAGCGCCAAATACAACACTGCATTTCCACGAATTGTAGACTATGTTGGATAACTTCATGCTCATAACTGGTAGCTAAGATCAGAATATCTACGCTTGCTGCTGTCGTTCCTCCTTTTGCTGAACATTTATCCGACGCCTACACTCCCACGTACTCGTCTAACGCGTAGCATCCGCTTGACATCGCCTATCGAAACAGCTTCTCCATTCTTTCAGAACATATTCTCCTTTACCATAGAGATAATAATAATAATAATACGTTGTCAACGAGGATCTATATGAACCACACTACGCAACGTTGATAAGCATCGATGTCATATAAAATAAAAAGCGTTCATCATAAAAACTCATTTTGAACATTTAGCCGTATTTAAACGATTTTGCAAATACAGTTGAAAACCGAAACAAAAAACTCAGAAGGGTGTTCGAGTGATTCGTTTCTTCCATAGATCAACCTATGATATAATTTGAATTAGGCGCCGCAACGCATGCTGCGCACAGTTATGTGGTACATTTTATTGTGTCATTGTGGCATTATTTTGGCGGGATGTGATACCGCTGTGGAGGGTAGAGCTGAGCGGTTTCGAACTCACGGCAAATCTTTCCTTTTGGTGTCGAGGCTTCGTCCCGGACGTGTGTGTGATTAAAAGGTATACCTTTTTTCACTAAAAATCGTGTTGGAAATGGAATTTATGTTGGTTCTAAATTTAATTAATTGTCGTACGGGATGCGTGCCCAGTCAAAGTGCCAATAGTATACCGGAAACTGTGCGGTGTCTTAGCACGCATACAAAAGTAACACATGCCAGCACAGTGTAACTGACATTGATAATTTTTCTTCTGAGGACTGTTTAGAACGCCATTGCTGCGATTGTCCTGCTGTTGTATTGACGACGTTGACTAGGCTACCAACTAACATTTTGTTGGCAGAATCAAGGTTAATTCGAAACATGAGATATAAGCTAAAGACATACACGATTTAGGCCGTGGTTCTTCCACGGTAAACTTCCATTGGTTTTGAGCAACCACGTGTACGAGCAAGCAAGTCTTACTTACTGTGCCGATAGGCCGGTTGGATCGAATAATGATCAGCAGAGTTTGGCATGGCCGTCGTTGTTTTATGCTAACTATTAAAAAGACGACTTTCGTGTATCTACCTATTAGCGAATATCTGTTAGAAAAGCAATTGTGCGCTATTAGTCTGAAGCCCATAAAAGCCCTTAATTAAAATAAAGCAGAAAATAAAATAAAATATCGTACCGGTAATATAATAGACGGTGTATAGGGATCGCTTACAGGTTCACATATAAATTTTTGAGCAGGCATAGAATGTGAGTTGGTTTCCAGTTGAACCTGTCTACAGCCTCGAGAAAAAGTCTGATCGCGGGCACTGACCTTGCCTGGATTTTTGATATCTTGATAGCGGCCACTGACCTTGCATGGATTTTTTATATCTTTAGTGCTATCATTGATTGCCAATTAGATTGCGGATAGAAGTGAAAATAAAGTGTTATGCTAATTTCTAACTGTTTTGTTTTACTTGCGTCCGGTCCGTTACTCTATATTGGTTATCGTATAATGTCTAGATGTCTACAGCAAAGGAGCCTAGCAAGTCGGTGCAGGTGTTTGGCCGTAAGAAAACAGCCATCGCCGTTGCGCACTGCAAAGCTGGAAATGGGGTTCTCCGTGTTAATGGAAAACCCCTTGACATGATCGAGCCCGCGACTCTTCGGTAGGAATTCACAAAATGAATCTGTAAAATTCTTCTTTTTATCAACCATGAGGAGCAATACGTACTTCTCTAGACAGCGCTGATAATGAAACAGTATTTTGATAATCTATAGTTTTCTATTTTTATTCATGTTTTTTTCATTCTTATTCCTCATCCTACCCATATGGTCAAGCTTATCTGACGGATTTTCTCTGACGAAGCTTCGGCGCATTTTCTATTGGAATTAATACAATAGGATGACTTGAGATCCAAGAATCGTATATTGCTCGTGTATTATAAAACTTTTAATTCACCCTGAAGTACACGGTACGTCCTCAGGCTTTCTGTGACTTGCCCTTTTTGAATATTTCTCTCCCATAGCCTGAGTTGCATTTCTAACTTGTGTGATCTTGGGCTTCGCGTGATCTCGGTTACGTTTCAAACTTTGTGAACAGGTACAAATTAATGGAGCCGATTTTGCTTTTGGGTCGCGATCGCTTCCAACAGTTAGACATCCGTGTTCGCGTCAAGGGTGGTGGCGATGTGTCTCGTCTGTACGCCGTGCGTCAGTGCGTGTCTAAGGCGATCGTAGCCTTCTATCAGAAGTACGTCGACGAGGCGACGAAGAAAGAGCTCAAGGACACACTCACCTCGTACGATAAGACACTTCTAGTTGCTGATCCCCGTCGTTGTGAGCCGAAGAAATTCGGCGGTCCCGGAGCCCGCGCTCGCTACCAGAAATCTTACCGTTAAGTCATGCCTTAATCGACGGCGGCGTGAGGGAACGACGACGTGTAACAGTCAAGCTGGCGAAGTTGGCAATTAAGTCAATAAAGAACGCCCAGACCGTTTATGTAAAAAATAAAACGGGGTTTTGTATCATAGAGAAATACTTAATACTGCATGTCGGTGGGTATGTATAAGAGAATAATGCGCGATTCTTTAAAGCTAGGGAATATGCGGTTCGTATGCCGTAGCGTGGCACCTCGTGTACGGAGGATGTTGAAGTTACTTTTGTGGTACGCAAAGGGCTGGTTAATTCAGTGCAGCGGCGACTCAAACAGCTGGGTGACGGTACGCGCACGCGAGTATTAGGCTTTCTGGCATGCGCATGTATACACAACAAGTTCATCTATTGACTGAGTAAAGGGTATCCTTGTCACATTAGCTACTATATGGGATTGTGAAAAAAAATTCGGGGACAGGCAATGCACTGAACCTCATGAGGATTATAGCTATCTCAGGAAATATTTTACCAGAAAAAGAAAAATGGTGTTCTCTGGAATACGACTTACAAGATAAATTGTTTGTCAGAAAGATGAAAAATATCTTTCTGAAATTGGCATACTAAGGGATGCATTGAAGGCCTATTCGGTTAATCATTTTTCAGTTAAAGTAGAACGAGAATGATTAGGTATTCATTTAAGCTGACAAGGGTTGCTCTGCCTCGCATAGTCAATATTATTCAAACCAGTCGCTTTACATCGGTTTATCACACAGTCTTGTATCACTGAGCCTCAAGCTTCTCATATATCCATACTTTATAAAGAAGTGGAATTTTTAATATTAAAACCTCTGTACGTTTTGTTTTGTAGACCGTAAGGATATAATATTGTACTTTTTTGGCGATCGATTATTACAGCCGCTTTAAAAGGTACGAAGTCGATTTTTATAACTGTATCAGTTGCGTAGTCTAAATCGCTTGCGTATTATTAAAAAAAAAACTAAGTGTAAAGCATATTTTTAGTTTTCTATCATTCACGGGATCATGAGACGAGCAGCAGCATTATCAAAGCCACACTCCATTATCAATAGTCACACTAATAACCGATACGGTCCAAGAGCAAGTCGTGTGTAACAGTAAGAAAATTATGGTTAATTTTACCAGATATGCCAAAAAGTGTGTACTCTTTGATGGATCATAACTTTCTGATTGTTTCTTTTTCTTAAAGCATAGAGTTAATTGAAAATAGTAATTATTGAAATTTAGGAATAACAGCTCATCATTATTAGCAGTCTTTTGGCTAGAAAAATGGTAATTTTGGACACCTACGATGGGAGTTCAGCTGTTTGTATTATAATAATATATAATATTATAGCACATAAATGAAAAGTGATGTTACCGTAATCTAAGTTGCGTAAAACTATTTAGCAAACAGGTCTGACAAGCAGCCTACTAATCTCGTGCAGGCTTAGGCGTTCTAAGATATGTCATACATTCTTGATTTCTTCGAACCTAAGGCACGAAAAGCATGCTCGCAAAGTTATCTAAAGCAGCACCTTTACACTTTGCTTTTTTATCGCGTTTATTTTAGCCTGCAAATGAGTGAAAGTAGTATTCGAAATTGTTTCGTTTGTGTCATCGAATATAAGTTGCACCACGGTGTTATTAGCCTTAAAAGGTTTCAATCGCAGCAAAAATTTCTAGGCATTCGTTTTTTTCAGAATCGCTCTTATCATTACATGTATGTAGCTAATGAGCTGACACGGATGATATCATTATACATAGGTGACACTCACTCATTATGAGTCCAAGCGGTTTGTCGACATAGGCTTGCAGCAGCGGTAGCGAATGGATAACGAGGCGCTTGCTTTACTGCACTTTAAGATTTCACATACATTTCATTCAAGTTTATTGGAGTTGCCAGACGCGTTTACCTTTCTTAGATCTAATAATGGGCTCACCGGCTACGATCTCTTCACCTGTAGTCCCTCCATCGGCAGAAGAACTGTCGTCATCAGTTGCGAAGTCTGCGCAAAGCATACGGCCTTTGCCAGCTGCTAAGAATCCATTTAACACAGAGGCGCTTTCGCCTTACCCTCTACTATTGGCGAAGGATGTCAACTCTTTACGTGACTTTAAAGCAGATCAACTTCCTGAAGAAAAAAAGTTTTCTCAGAGGTTAGCGATTGGTATAGATCTTGGCACGACCTATTCGTGTGTGGCCGTTTTCCGCTATGGCAAGGTTGAAATCATCGCTAACGAGCACGGAAACCGAACAACGGCATCGTACGTTGGCTTTACGGATGCTGAAAGGATTATTGGTGATACGGCGAAGAATCAAGTAGCCCTGAATCCGGAGAACACGGTTTTCGACGCGAAGCGACTCATTGGCCGACGAATCGACGATCCATCAGTTCAACATGACATGAAGCACTGGCCTTTCGAAGTTGCCAACGGGGATGGGCGTCTTTTAATCAAAGTGCAATATAAGGGCGAGGTGAGAACCTTCTTTCCTGAGCAAATTTCGTCCATGATACTCCAGAAGATGAAGGAGATTGCGGAGGCCTATTTGGGGACCACGATAGAAAGTGCCGTTATAACTGTGCCGGCTTACTTCAACGATTCACAGAGGCAAGCAACAAAAGATGCTGGAACCATTGCTGGACTAAACGTACTTAGAATCATTAATGAACCTACGGCTGCAGCGATCGCGTATGGACTCGATAGAGACGCTTCTGGAAACATTAAGAAGGAATGCAATGTGCTAATTTTCGATTTAGGTGGAGGCACTTTCGATGTGTCGATTCTATCAATCGAAGATGGCCTTTTCGAAGTCAAGTCGACAGCAGGTGATACTCATTTAGGAGGCGAAGATTTCGACAGCCGATTGATCAGCCACTTTGTCAACGAATTCCAGCAAAGATTCCAGAAAGATCTTACTACAAATAAGCGAGCTATGCGACGCCTGCGTACGGTTTGTGAACGCGCAAAACGAACGCTCTCATCGGCGACACAGGCATCGATTGAACTCGATTCGCTGCACGATAGAATCGACTTCTATTCGGCTATTACCAGGACCCGCTTTGAGGAGCTTTGTGGCGACTTGTTCGGTAAAACGATCACATTAGTAGAGAAGGCTCTAAATGATGCAAACATGAAAAAGACGGATATTCATGATGTCGTTGTTGTGGGTGGATCGACTCGAATTCCTCGTGTTCAGAAGCTTCTCGAAGAATTCTTTAGCGGTAAGAAGTTAAATAGGTCTATTAATCCCGACGAAGCTATCGCTTATGGGGCAGCTGTACAGGCGGCAATTCTCAATGGCGACCACTCGGACGTCTTGAAAGACATGCTGCTGCTAGATGTTGTGCCGTTATCACTTGGCCTAGAAGTGGATGGTGGTGAAATGGCGACGCTTATCAAACGTAACTCCTCCATTCCAACGCGACGGACCGAGGTATTTACTACATGTGACGACAATCAGACAGAGGTTAATATTAGGGTGTTTGAGGGGGAACGTGCGATGGTCGAAGACAACAATCTGCTGGGTGAGTTCGACCTCGTTGGCCTTCCGCCTGTCCCAGCTGAGATGGTCAAAGTAGAAGTGACCTTCGATATCGACGCTGATGGAATCCTCAACGTCTCAGCTGTCGACAAGTCCACCGGAACAGAAAATAAGATTACCATCACTAACGAAAAGGGACGTTTGTCATTAGAAGAAATAGAACGTATGGTAGAAGAAAGCGCTCAGTTCAAAAATGAGGACCGAAAAAGGAAAGCTTGTATTGCTGCAAAAAACGACCTTAAGAGCTATTGCTCGGCTGTACGGGGAGTGCTTGGGGGCTCTTACGCTCATAGGATACCTGAAACGGATCGAAAGCTGCTGGAAGAGAAGCTGTTTGATGTATCCGAATGGCTCGAGCACAGCCGATCAACTGAAAAGGAGGAGTATGATGAATATCGAAGAGACTTTGAGCACGTTGCTAAACCGATTATGACAAAGCTTGTCCAAGATGAAAGTGAAAATCCTGAAGGCGGTGCCGCCAATGACGGTGCAGATGAGTTTTCGGACGACGATGAATTTGATCTTCCAGAACCTTCCATGAGTCCATTGCTACTGCGTGCATGCTGTACGCATACGGTATTAGACGTGAATCAAATTGATAGAACAAATGAGGTAATAGGCGATGCTGACGGACCCAGTGTAGAGGAACCCCAGACGAGTGATCGTGAGTTTCCCGTTCATTTGGATGTCGTAAGCAAATTCGATTCACAACACGACCTACAGCAAGCGGGAATAACAACTGTTACCACAGAGGGAACTCCGAGCAGCTCCGGAATTATAGAATAAATTTTTCTTCATACCACTTTAAAGCAGGATAATAAAAAGCGAATATAGGTTGTCAATAGCTTTTTTGCGATTTGTCATGTTTTTGTGAATAAATTATTTTTGCACAGTACGTCGAGAGTCGTTGTCAATCGTTGCTTCTGGTTGAGTTATCTTGCGTGGTTGAGTTATCTTGCGTTGCTTCTGAGTTATCTTTCATTGCTTTGCGTTGCTTCTGAGTTATCTTTCATTGCTTCTGGTTGAGGTATCTTTCACATTTAATAGGTATGTTTCTGCTGCCTAACGATTAACTGTTACTCCACCAGAAACAATTGTTTCTCCACCAGAATGATTACTCGAGAGAATTTTTTTCCGCTTCCTCACTGTACTCCATTATTAATTCATCATTTTTTCCGCCTCCTCAGTCGGCTTCATCAATTCATTATTATTAATAGAGTTAAATCATGCAAGGCATGCGACCAGATGCAAAGGTATTGCGCCACTCGAATCGTCATACGACGTTGATTCGTACAAAAAACGATTCTCTACAAACAAAAGGGGAGATTATTATCTAAGATAATTTCGCCAAGACGCCTTTCTTCAGACGCTTTTTGCTGCCCTATTTAAGCCGACTTCACATCTCGTCTTGCTATAGCTGCTTTCATTTATCGAATTAATTTTAGACAAATGAAAACATCGTGCACTGCATCGAATCTTGCAGGAACTAGAAGCTGTTCACGAACAACGCAAGAGAGCTCCGTTGTACTTGTCAGCCATCTTTTGTCAATCCTTTCGTCGATTGCGTTTGTTTCTTGGCTCCACCTATAAACTTCATTGTTCCATATATAATCTGTTTTAGTTGCAATAGTAAGATATTTTTTTGATGATCCTTTTCTCCGAATCTTGCTCGCAGCTAAATGCTGTATGCATCATAATGAAAATTATGTTCCTCTCTTTTGCGCAACCCATTTGACACACCGAAAAATATATACATATTCTTTTACATGCCGCTTCGATGATTTAGTGAAGATAAATATTAAATAAGATAAATGCATGCACAGTATTCCATGGCCTCTACTGTACTATGACTAACATGTTCCCATGGAACCGCTGAAAGGCTTCCACATTTACAAACAAAGCAATAATCATTTATTTCTTAGCACTGTTTGTAACGAGATCGCTAATAAATAACAGTTACCAATTTACAATTTTTCCTCACGCTCTCCCGTACACTGCCGGATTCGTTAAGCAGTAATACTAGTCGATATGTTCATCGTATTTTTTCTCTCGCCCTTCTTCTGTCGCCGCCTTCTTCAAAGCCTCACTTTCAGAACTTCGTGCGCGGTACGAACCAATGGTAATCGCCCTGACCGGCGTCGGCCGCGAGTGCCAAGTACAAGCAGGCCGACTTCACCATTTCGAACAACATCCCAGAGCAACCCGGCTTAAAGAAGAAAGGCGAACGTACTCACACCAGTGGCAGTGGACTGCTGGCGTAGAGCAATGGTAGTCACTCTCACGTAAAGCGAAACGGCCTAGTATCTAGATACGTGCCAGTAAAACGGCAGCGACTGGGTCACAACACGAGTCAGTGGATGCAGAACAGGCAGTGCCGACTGGGGCAGAGGAGATGTAAAATAAGGTTCCATGTATTAGCTGGTATTCATGGTAGTGTCGTTTGCGATTAGCCGCTGTCATCCTGATCATTCAGCTACTGCCGTTATTAATAACAAATGTGTACATAGCTGAGGTGACAACCACAGCATTAGACATGATAACGAAAAAGCTATAACAACGCACCGTTCTTCACTTGCTTGCCAGTTAAACTTCACAGTTTGCCTAATGAATCAGAAAATGTGTTTTTTAATACCGAATGTGTTCGATGTGTTTTCCTAGAGTTGAACTCTCGTGTTTCGTGTTTTAATTCCCACATTTATGCCAGCATCTAAACTGCGAACGAATCTGAGGCGGTGCCATCTGCGAGCTGTGCGCGCAATGTGCTCTTAACACATTGTTACACTTGTACCGAACGCGCACCGTAATACATGAGCACTGTAGAATATTGGCAAGATAAACTTGAGAAGAGAACTTCGGCTGAGAACGCATCGGGCGCGGCTTGAAACATTGTTGTATATTCTGTGCGGGCCGAGCAGTACTTTGAAGTAAAAGGCGATTGTAAAAATGTATCGTGGATTTTCTCGGCATGGCAGCCCGTTATGGTTGAAGTTCTCGTCTCTGTTAGTGATTTTATGTTCGATAAACTGGTTTGCATGCATCCCGTATTGCCAAACTCTGGAAATCTCTGATGGACTACAAACCGCAAGTTTGACCTCAACAGCGCGAGAAGCGTCTGGACGAGAGAATTCACTAGCACAGGATTTCAAAGACTTCATCGGAGTCTTGTCGGCTCTCCGAGAACAATTCTGGGAGGCTATCTTCTCACCCACGGTGCTTGCAAAAGCGATGCCGAATGTATGTATATTTTTCCAGTGTTTTTTCAGATTTTCTGGTGGTGCATCAATTGCAAAATGGTTAATGATATTTTATGAAAATATAACTACTAAGTCACAGGTCGGATGATCGTTTCTTCTACATGGCTAATACGGTTGTAGAGAATTTTCTTTTTTTTTTTTCGTTCCTGGACGCTAGGGCTGCTGCTAAGTAACTAGGTTTGACTATTTTGATTGGCCATTGAATTGAAAATGGAACTTTTGTTTGCTTGCTCGAAAGAGGGTTCGTACCGTTGTAAAAAAAGTCGCTGAATTTCCAGAAAAGAAGAATATGCTCCCTGCCATCGAGGAACAGCCTGACGCGCCATCCATGTCAAGGAATAATATGCGCCAGTTGATTCTTTTCACCTCTCCGATGGGTCGTTCACCCATTTCGATAACACGTCTCTGTCTACGTTATTTCGTTTCATGGAAAAGTCCCGTTAAGCCGAAACATTTTCTGATATATATTAGCTGTTTTATGTATATATAACAAAGATTCTAAACCGATGGAAATGTCTGTATACGAAACATTTCGTACATATTAAAACAAGAAAGAATTTAAAAACAGAAGATTCTTATAAATATTGTATCTCATCGCCAACGTCTAGAAAATTCCTACAAATGGGGGTTCATACTCTTCAGCTTAACATGTTTCCACTCTATTTTCAACTAAATCATATTGTTGGTGAAGCAGTGGATCTTATCTATACAAAATGTACGTAACACGGAATGCTTCGATTTGTAAATTTGATCAAGCAATTCGTATGTGAACGATTGTCAGAAGTAGCTAAGTAGATCAGATGTGCTAGGTAAAACTTTTAATGCATTAAACAAATCCCGTATATCAGCTATCAGGAAAATATTTAAGCTAGTTTTTGCGTTTGGAAAATTCAAATTGATTGCGTGGATGCTAGCTATGTCGTTCTTTTCCTTCTTTTCCTGTAGGCGTATTGAATAATTTGTTTGGTCAGTAATTCGAAATCGAGTAATTTCTTGAGTCCCTAAAGATCGTTTTGTCGTGATTCTTTCGAACATGTGCTATTGCAACACAGATGGTGAGCTTCCTACCAAACCTAGTGGGTGGTGTTTTAACGAATATCCTGGAATTGGTTATCGACTACGGGCTGCGACTACTCAAGTGGATGGAACCATCCACTGAAACAATCGAAGTAAGTGCCGAAATGTTGTCGACCTTATACGATTTGCTTTTCTTAGCACGATTGTCATTTAATGTGCTCTTTTTCTCAAAACAAATATTAAATCAATAAGCAATTTACAAGTATTTGTGATAAGGAAGCGTTTGACTCGCATTAATCAGGTCTGAAAGGCGTGTGCGTATAGTAGAATTCGGCTTGCTTCACATATCGAAAAATAGTAAGTAATGATTTTTTAGAATAGGACTAAGAACTCCAAAAATGTGTAAGATAATCACACAATATTGCGATATTATCAATATTTAACCATACAGATGACCGGACGTTATTTAAGCGAAAGTGTCCTCGGTAACCTATTTCAATGGGACGTCCTGGGTAGCGGTCTCCGTTTAATGCGCGTTCGAAGAAGCTGCCGCCCGAAGGCTGCTTGTGAATGCGGTGCTTACGTATTAAACCAAAATTATCGAGTTGCACGTAAGTTAGACAACACTTATATGTAAAAAAAAAGATCTTCATTGAGGCGTTCACAAACAAAGAAAAAGCTCTCTTTATTTTATCACAGAACTAAATCAAACACCATGCGAAAAATTCAGTCGACAAAGCCGTCTTGTCGACATATTATTAATTTAAATTTGTCATTTATTATGATTTTACGACAAGCTTATAGGATATTCACATAAGCTAGCTTTTTTTAAATTAAAAAAATTCCTAATTCTAAAACCGTTTTCCTCGGTGCATTCACAAAATTATGTAAATAATTACGACGTATTTAACACATTAATATGTTGTTCTACAGTGTGAATGCATGCTGTTGCATTAAACGTTTTTAGCGTTGAAAGAAACCATTCAAACACGCCCCAAAAAGCAGGGGCAGCTAAATAAGAAATTAACTTCGTATTTTGAGAACGCCTTCGACAGTCTGTATGGATATATTATCACCGAGCCTTCGGTCAAAACACGAGTCCATCTGAGCTCTGACTGCTACTAGTGAAGGCACGAATGGGAGTGTTCTAGCTATAAGATAGTCAGGTGATCCACTGGCCTACTTACTGAAAGATCCGCCTTCTGTATAGCTGAAGTATTGTAGGAGACGTCGATGTGGGAAGAGACAGCGATCCGAGGCTAAGTCAACTGGCCGTAGCACCTCTCACATCTTGAGCTGGTCGCCCTGTAACATAATCGTTGCGCACGTCAGGCACGACGTTTATAAAAAACATCAGAATCTCTATAGCTGACTGCTTTCTGAGCAACAAAGGGAATCTAGCAGAATTTAGAATGTATAAGAAGCAAATATCTGCTCCTTTGACAAGGTCGGATTGTAGCCGGCACCAATTTAGATGGCGCCGAGAGGGGCATCATCGAAGCAAAACATTTTCGCCATTTTGGCTGCCAGGATTAAGATACCGTTGATTATTTGGTGCCCTTAAGTTCTGAGTTTTAGCATGCGGCGCTCTTGAATCCCCAGATATCAATAGAAAAGTTAGCTGTTAAGAAATGCATCGACAGAGGGACCGCTACTTTCTTCGCTAGTGCGACTGAAATTAGAGATGAGTCTAACCGCAGCGCATATATTGTCAGAAGTGGCGTTGAAAAAGTAACATTGTGAAAATATAATACCCAGCAAAATATCGCTGGATTTTAGGGCGAAAAAGTGTTGGTAGGGTATTAAAGAATAGCAAAATTTGTTGTATTTCAAACTAGTCCTATAGAATACAGAAAGAATAACTTAAAAATAGAGTTATTATTAGCTCACAGGTACTGCTTGCTAGTTACTAATTAATAAGTTGTCATAACTCATAGCTGTCCTTAGTCACAATAATTATCGTTACTGGAGATCGCAAATGTATTAGTTGCATTTTTGTTTTCGCTTCTCAACACAGGCTTTCTAAATGCCATGCGTTCGCATTTAGCCAATGTATCCTTTCACTGGCCAGCTATGATGAACGGATTACGAGGAGAGCCTTGCGAAAAAATATACTCCAGCTGCCAGGAGAACTTCATTGGTGCTCAACATCCATTGTCGGTATAGCGAAGATAACAAGTTGAACTGGACCAAACAGGGCAACAGCAGTGCCAATTGCTATATAAACGACAGCAGTATACAACACGAAGCGATAATACTACTGTATCCGACTAGCACCTCAGCATTTGGCGCCGCAAACGGCTCGGGCAGAAGAAGCTAGCTTCTCGCACGTATACTTAATATAATAAATAACCTTGAAAATGCTTGTTCATTTTATTAAACTGTGGCAGTGTTGCGATTTTTTAAATAATAGTTTACAAAATCTCCTTATAGTAAAAAAGAAAGCACTGAAAAAGGTAAATAAAATATGGGGACGATGCGAAAGAATCGATCGGGAATCCATAATGATTAAAGATATAACTACTAAGATAGTTATTTTATTTATTTGATTTTGCTAATGAACTATATTGGAGATGAGACTAAGTCAGCGGAGCTTCTAGATGTTCATTCGTTGTAAGAAATTGGCAATAGAAAACGCTTCTTCCACTATCTCTTGCGCTCTAGTAACGCAAGTCCAGTGTTTATAATTTGCTTACAAATAGTAACTGTATAGGATCGCTACGCAGAGCCCATAGAGAAGGCGTTCACCGATTAATACTGATTTTAGGCGGTGAATTTTCGATATTGATTATCCGCAATTCCGTTCCGTGTGAAGGACCTATAATTGCCGTACATCAGCTCAGCGTGGGATTGACATTGGCTAGACTAGTAAATAGGGTCACAGTTAATAACTAATACTACACTCTCCAATTTTGCTTACTCAAGTAGAAAAGCACCTCAGCGTACAGATCGAACTAAGTACGTGGTTTTGTATATATGGCTAAGATAATATATTTATCTGTAAACACGTAAGGAAAAGTATGACATGCGGCTAAGTAGCCTTATTATCATGGTACTGTTTCAAGCGACGTTAAACACGGTATTTAGACACGTTTGTGCTATCAGTCATACCTATTTTCACATAGTTCGTCTAAATATATTCCATGTAACCTTTTTAAATACATGGTCCTCGACTGTTTTGTGGTAGGGGTATAGTTAACTAATCCTAGCGATAATGACAACCGCACTTCGAAGACGAAGGCGACAGCAACCACCGATTAAGAAGCAAAGTAACAGAATTTCCTGATTCTTTTGTCTAAGATGGCTATCGAGCAGCTGTTCAGAGATATGCAGGCGACCTCAGTCAATGGTGGAGTCAGTCAGATGGAAGCATGACAAAACTGATTGGCCAGGCTAATTAACCCAACGAGCCAAACTTTCATGATCAACTTGTATATACATATATATTATGTGAAAGGCGTAGATAATAAAAGTTATATAAAATCCAAAATGATATGCTAAAAATATTTTTTTATTCAGCTATAACTATACATATAATTTTAAACGTACATATAGTATCTCTGGTTTCACACTTACTTTCCAACATTGAAAATTCACTACTTTGATTTTTAAATAATCATACGATTCCAAGTATATTAAAATTATGCATACAAATTAAAAGAATTTGCCTGGTAAAGCAATCTTTGGTTCCGTGAAGCATTTCCAAATTGCAATATGCGACTTGTGAGCAGGTGGCATGAACAAAAGAACTGATAAATTTCTTGAGTCTGCGAACCCCGCTTCAACTTTTGAAATGGGTTGTGCGAAAGCAAGCCTCTTAAATTTCCCAGTACTAGGCCTAACCGTAGCAGTTTCAGGGCCTCCCTTTCTTTGTTTGAACCAGCGCAACTTATTCTGGTTACTGAGTAACATTATTATCAACCCCCTTGTTCACCAACAAATTTAAGTAGGTATAGATTTGGCGAAAGTAACCCTCAGTTAGAATCAAAGATTAAATGTCTATTGCTCGACAATGCGATGTAAATCTCATACCGCTAAGCAGAAACCAAAGAGGCAAAAACCCTATAGCTCCAATGGTGTCCTTAGTGTTGCACGGGCGACTCTCCGGCTGAGTTAAAAAAGGTTCGGATGAAACCCTAACTCCGGTCGTATCCAGGGGCTCAAGAGTCGCAGGGCGGTGATTAATCATCTTCAAACAATGCAATTCTTCTTCTTCGTCTGATTGTGAGCGCTCAATGTAGATTTGACCCAAATTGTACGCTGGTAGAACACCTCAGTCCTTCTCGTCTCTTACTACGAATTCAAGCATCTGAACAAGGCTCTGTAAGAATGGGCGCGGGGTGTGGTAAACTCCACTTGCCAAGTGACTAGCATCGCTGAAACAAGCCAATTCATTTTTGACCCAGGCTTGGAAGTTGGGGAGGCGCTTCGACTTGTGTTTCAATTTAAGTTACGATAGCAGTTGTCCGTTGAGCGCTGGCCAAGCACTCTGCATTTAGCTAGCGTCTATGCAAAAGGTTCTATTGACCATGAAGTTTTATTACTGTTTAGTTGTGTTGATATCGCTCAATCTTGTAACGGTGGTACCGACGTCCAAAGCGGACCCTACGACTTCGGAAGTTTACGAATCGATGCTACAACGGACAACCGAAACATTTGATATGATGAAAGTGCTAGTGACGTACATAGGAAAAATCGTGATGCATCCGCTGGTCGTTTCCAGAGCTATGCCGACTGTAAGTTGCATAATCGAATCATTATGTTTAAATGAATATAGTGACTACTTATACCTAAAGTGGGTCCTTTTAGGATAAATTATACTTCCGAGTGAGGATACATCAAAAGTGTGAACTATATTATAATATACTGTAATAAAAAGCTATGAAGAACCACAGGAATTAGCGGACTTAATGACTCGTATTTTGAAGTCAACAATTTTGTGCCCATATTTTTAGCAATCATAACTTTCTTTTATAACGCCCCGTTATATTTAATGTTTTTGATTGATTTAACGAGGTCCTAGTATGCGAGAGGGCCTGCTGGGCGAAATAAGTGTCACTTATTTGGCAAACAATCTCGTTTAAAGAAAAAATTTTCATGTTTATTTTACATAGATAGATTCTTTGTTGTTTTCGTTTGAGTGCACTGTAATCAGAATTACGGCGGTAAATATGTTTTTAACAGTGGGATTTTTATGCAAAATTTAGATCAATTTATACCGAAGCGTTTTGGTTTACAGCTGAAGGATTACCTTCCAAATCTTGTCGGCACCGTGTTAGCTAGCGTTATTGAAACCCTCATCGAGTTCGGGAACCACTTAGTAAAATGGATTGGACCATTTATGAGCAGTGTCGAGGTGAGGATGCTGACAGATTCTTTTCTTTAAGAACAGATAATCATATAATCATTACTTCGGAGCAATTAAACATTTGCCGCAGTTTATAAAAGAAAAATTGAGCGGAAGTTGTCACAAAGAGTGCTTTTGTGTCTTTAACTAAGATATGTTTGACCTCTTTGGTACAATACGGCGCTTACCTAGCTAAGAATCTACATAGATACCGAATATTTTGAATCATAAAGTTTTGGCGGGTTTTCGCATCTGCTAATGTTAATAACTTCAGTACATATCAACTAGATATAGTTTTTTTTTTATAGCTGTGTGCATATGGCATAGGTGTTCAAATATACATTAACAAAACGTCGGTCCTAAATAAATATTTCAATCGTAGCGGTTAACGCGTCCCTGGCTGTTTTATGCCTCACCAGCAACACAGCACAGCATTGTCAAAGCTTTAATATGATGTATTTAAGCAAATCTGTATAAGTGGTTTCAAATTTTTGCACTCAAGTTATCGTTAAAAGCGATGAATTTCAAGTACTTAACTTTATGTCGGATTCAGATAAGCGAGAGGTCATTGAGCAATAGCTTTATCGGGCGTTTCCTCCACTGGGACATACTTGACACTGTTCTTCGGTTCACGCGCATTCCGAGAAACTGCCAAGCAAAAGCGGCTTGCGAGGCTGGCGCCTATGTTCTTCATCGTAACAAGCGAGTGGCTGGTATGTTAGCACAGTCTCGTACACGTTAATAGGGGTGCCATGGCGCCCCCGACGTACTTTCTTTTTGTCACCGCAAGTAATGAAACCGAATAATTGTTTAAGTGTAATTATATTATTTTAGGTAGAAAGCTAGACTACTATTATACGGACTCTAGTTGTTCTATAGAGCCGTTGATATGTAGCGCTATCTGTTGTTTGTAATATTTATATAGGATAAAGCTAAAGAACACAACAAAATGATTGATGAGGAAGAAGAGCTGCTTACTAATCTTTCGAGTGGACCGATTAACGCCATCCATGATATCTAAATGTACATTTTTTGCCTATTATAAATTATTTGTGTGCTTAACTTACTCTTATACAAAACTTCAGCAAGTGCAAACCTTCGGAACCTTGTTCTTCTTAATCTAATCAGAAAGCCAGCTGCAGTTACCCTAGATTAGTGCTACTTGTGCAATAAAACAGGCTTGCGCATGATATGTAGGGGCGCATAACTACGAAGATGAATTCGCCAACAAACTGGTTCGACCTTGCTATCAATAGCTTTTTGTTCCTTATATAAATTAGAAAAGTGTTCTGCTAAAGTAATCATCTCCTGCTATTCGTTAACCGTCAATACACGAATTTTTTGGGATCCCTAAGAAAAAGTTCCCTAATTTGCTTCTTCAAGCAGCAAAACTTCTCTGGGATTGAGAGCGTTCCCAATCAAAAAATTGCCAAGCTCATTTATGTATAGGTTCAGATCAGTTTGTAACGTTCGTTGCATTACATGTGTGATAAAATCAAAACGAAATCAATTTATCTTCGAATAACACAGTTTTTTTTTTATATAAATATATAAACGCCCCGTATCTATCGAGCATACATGCTATTTCTATTTTTTTTTGCAACAAAACAGGGTTATTTCTTTTTAAGTATCTAAAAATTGTATTACATAAAACTTCAAAAATAGTGCTAAGTTTTATCTTCTTTAGTTAACTCAATAACTTTTGCGCATGCTTTCGCCTCGTACCAAGAGACACGCTCCTTATGCCCTCTATATGATTTTTATCTCAATTTTTCGTGCTGTTTACTATGAACAATTAAATGAGCCAAATGTCCTATCTGTCTGTCTAATCAATGCTTGTAGGGTTTCTGAAGGCGATTCGAGCCCACTTCAGTAAGACATCGAAACACTGGCCTGCTGCGATGCAAGGATTGCGTGGTGAGGTATGCGCTGATTTATACCAGGAGTGTGCACGGAACTTCATCATGGCTACACCTACAGCCGGAATGCAAAAACCGCAAGGCATAAAAAATCATACCGTGAAGAACGACGCTAAAAAATAGGATGACATCAGGAGCAACAGCAGCAGTAATAGCACAATCTAAAGGAACGCTTAGGTTTTCCCAAAGGCAATTTCCATATCAAAGCCAAGGTCACGCATTGAACTTGCTCTAGTTACGTGCTAACAAACCCCACAAACGAATAGTTTGCAAGTGTTATTTAAAAAATAATGTGTAAGAATCAGACACATATGACCACACCATCTGAAAGTAGGTCAGGGTACTTCTCCACGAAGATTTTGTGACTCTTGTGTCCCATTTTTATTCTTCCAGTTATGGGTTTGGGTGAAATTGTTCATTTGATTTTCATCGAATTCCACTTCGGTGCGAGCCTTTTGGGGCACCGAACATCATGTTTTCGGCGCACAGACTTGGTGTAAAGAGCAGCTACGGCGGTATAGCAATAAAAGAATCTAGTCAAATGCATTTTTTTGAGAACTGCCACGTTATTTGTGACAGCCGAAATGCCGTCGACTTGAAGAATGGATGTATGTAATGGTAAATTTGGTCATATTGTAAACTAGGAAAGCAACATCATCGCAGATTAGGTCTATTCTATTTACTCAGTGGGTTTAAGTTATTGCTAAACAATAAGCGTCGCTAAACAAATCATAAGTAAGTTTCGGTATACATAACATAACAAACTGGCCTAATAGTTAACGACGATAATAAAGGTAACAAACCGTGCAACAGCATAAACAAAACGTGCTGCAGCATGTTGTTACAGCATACTTAAAGATATAAGTTTTATACTGTTAATAGCTTTCTATGAATCATTTGCTAAAAATTGTTGCTAAATTAATACAACGAGTGTTATCTTTAGTTGAAATATTTTTTATTCAAGGTAAAAAAAATACCCAGTTACTGTATTAACTATGTACAAGCGTATTTGTTTACAGTTTTCACAAAATATGATACAACAAATATGTCGTGAACATAACAGGCGTGATAAACGCTTGGAAAATGTGAAGCTGTCTAGCATTCTTGTTGGTGTCAAATAATGACAAAAAAAAAAAAAAAAAGGATTCGATTTTGTAACTTACCAATTGAAGATAGAACGTTGCTCAGTACTTTGCGTTCGGGAGCTGAGATCGTCATGCTATTTGTATTGCGAAGCTGATTTAACGGAACCAGCAAAAGGTATCAAAATACGGATAGTAGTTTGATTCATGTATGATAGATGGCTAGTCAAGCTTGCTGCTTCAGTCCATGGCGTTTATTAAGCTCGCTCACTAAAGATAGCTTGTATTTCAGTTTGAAAATGTTTTTCTACTGTACGCTTGTCGATTTTGTGAATACACAAATCAAATATTCGTACGCCTGCCTAACTTAAGAAGGATATGTTGAAAATCATTACTATGGCAGATCCGCTAGCAGACGAAATTAACACTTATTATTACAATATAATGTCGCGTATTATTTAATATAAATCAAAGTTATTAATAATATTGATAAGTGATTCTGAATCCATGCCACAGATTAGCAATATGAAATACGTTTCGCCAGCCTTTTGCATACGCACGCTTAGTTCGGATGAACCAATGTAAATACTCTAACAATAATAATAATAAATTATAAATAAATAAATAAATATATATAATAAATATTGCCTATGATCTGTTAATAAACGTGTCGCACTGTCACAGTAATGTACATTCGCTGACCAGCTAATCAGTCGCCTTCAATCTACAGTAGATGTTCACAATTGAGTAAATGAATCGTGGCACTCTTTATACATGTATACAATTCTATATTCGCATACAATGTTTGGCAGAAGATGAAGCTCATATCAACTGATTAGTGAGGTTCCATCAAACGCTGATCCCTGCTCACTAACGCCTGAATTCTCATTGGTGACGTTCTCGGTCTGTTAAACGAAATTTTTAACGAATGTCACAAAGCAAGATTTTTGCAACGAGGTAGACCGCTTCCTGGGAACGCCGAAGTGCCGACGAACCACAGGTCCGAAATACACCGCTTCTGAACTTTACTATACTGAACTTTGACTACAGTTCTCAATCTCTGTCTAAACAAGATTACAAGTCAACCGTGGCCGCCTTTCCAACGAAATCTGCATATCCGTTTAACGTAAAACGCAACGTTGCCGCTTAACTAATTCATTACCAAAAATTTCAGAGGTTCATGTTCGTTATACGAGTTGCATACATTCGAAGCAGACAGTTCCCCTGGCCGCATGCAGCTCAATAACCAGTCCATTTATACGCTAACGACGACAATAAAAGAACTTCGTACGTCGTGTAAATCTATAAATTATTCCAAGATAGTTATTGACCTATTCATACTAACACCGGCAGTGAATGAATGATAAGTGACACCTCGCTCCGATATTAAGTATTTGCCTAGAATTCAGTTGTGCTATTGCATCGCAGGGAGTTTGAGTTTCATTTTTGCCCTCGTTTTCACTTTTGTAGTGTCGCCTTTATTAAGTGGTACTCTGAACGCCCCTGAGGTGCTTTGGGTCTCCCCATCCGTCGATTCCGACGAACTCGTAGTTACTTGTCCTAGTAATGAGCTCCTAACAATAGTTGTTTCAACAGTGATTTCTGGCAAAATAACAACTCCTGTTGGCGTCAGCGCCGAGCCTGGAGATGTCGTCCTGCACGAGGTTCTTTCTTCGGATATCGTCGATAATGAGTGTCGAGGGTATGGAAGTTGACATACTTCTGAGGACCCCCTGTCCGGATGAATCTGATAATTACTACCGAGGATTGAATGATGTTGAAAGGAATGCGTTGCCGGAGAGGAAGCTCGGAGCTCGAGCTCTGGCGATGATTGCATACTGGGAGTATCGATTTGGTTCGGGTTGTTGTGCGGGACCAATTCGCATGAAGGGCCAATCACGCTCAGGAGAACGGGCAGCACGACAAAACTGTTATACGCATAGATAGCGACTATAGCGGACAGCAGGCACGAAAAGTATGTAGAGACAAAATCGAATTCAGAAAACGCCAGCAGTATCACGCTGATAAGCTTGTTTATCGTTGAACATGTTAAAGGAGTAATCATGTATTCTAGTGCCATGGTTGTTCGGTGTTTTTTCGTAGAGCCGAGCGCTGTTAGGAACCCGACGCACAGGCAAAGCATTGACTCCATTCCTAGACCGGTACTAACGACGGCTAGCACTGCAGGAACTGCGTTCAATGCTATACCCAGGGCATGCATTGCACCAAACACTTGAACAAGACTAACACCCAGCAAGAGGACGATAAGAAGTGTCGTCCAGACATTAAGTAATACCGTCACCAAGACGACGGAGATCGCCACAAAGATAAACGCAACTGCGGACGCTAAATAGAAGCGCAAATGTAGATACTGCTCCCAGTAAATAAACGGCAGGCCCGAGGGGAAATTGGGCAAGCCTCGTTCCTGAAACTTATCAGAGATCGATCGAACTCTTGCGACTGCAGCCGTAATCGTCGAAGTTGAACAGAGATCGTGTAAGTAAAATGGCATCTGAGCGAATTCAATAGCAGACGACTTGGCAATTGTGAGATCCTTGGTGTCTTTTGTGGTGGTTCTTGTGTCGCGCCAGTATCTCGGCTGAGGCACAAGTGAGCCACGGGATAATGTGTAGCCGAGCGCGTCATGGTTATACCATGCAGTGAGGTAGTTGTAGAACGGTTTGGGGTTAATAACCCCTTGAGAGTCGACAAGTCTATTACGAGGGAGAAGCTGTTTATCCACTGGTGTGTCAGCAAGGCCCGTTTGTACAAGCAGTTTATAAGCTAGGATGCCATCTTGTGATGCGTTAGCAGTCCAACCCTCTGCTGTTATGTGTCCACTTTTCCATTCCTTGTCAAATAACTCCTGCAGTTCGATAAGCCACTTTCTGAAATAGGTAAGCCAAAATCCCGGCAAATCACCATGTTCGTTTTTAACGATCTGCTTAACCTTCTTCAGCGCGTTATAATATTCGTACAGAAGACTTTGATTGGACGGGTAATCAAAGTCGGCTTGAGTGATTGCGAAAATGCGGTAGGTTCCAAAATATCGTTCGTGATAGCGAAGGTACTCGTATTCTTCAGTATGAGCGGGGATGACATCGGTAAGTTTGATACCATTCTCTATATAAAAAACTCCCCAGCATCCGAACATTAGCAGACCAACAAGCGATAAAATTAGCAGACTTCGCATTACGGGACGAAAGATCAAAAAGTTGTAGCCCTTTATAACGAATTGAGTCAGCGACCATCTACAGCATCTACTTTTCACAATACAAGGAGACTCCTCCCGCCTTACTTGTTCAATTTCGTGTCGCGGTATTTGGACGCTATCAAATCGAGAATGATCGCTCACTTGCGGCGTTTCATAAGCCGGAACTGCTGTACCTGCACTGCTTTCGGGTCTTGGTCGTCGGGCTGAATGAGCAGTCCGTTCGTGATGGACCGGCGATCTCTTCCTGTAGAGTTCAATACTACACGCCGCTGGAAAGAGAAAGAAAATTGAGGTCGCTGAACATGCATGAACGATGGCACCTTGCCACGAAAAATGCCGCAAAGCTGAGATCGGTATGACGGACGCAGCAGCGAAGGCCAGAATAACCGACGCATTCGAAATGACGATTACCATGCCCGTACGCTTCATACACTCGCCTATCTGCCGGTCAACGGGAACCGCGCCGCTGGTTATGATCCTATTCAGCGTGTGCACTAATAAAAACATACTGTTGCCCCCGAAGCTGAGCGCTAAAAATGGCAAAACCCGCGTCGTTGTCGCGTTGAAGGCCAATTGCAGCACACCACACAGGCCGAGTCCTGCCGAGATGCTGAACCCATGGAGAACAACACCGAAAAGACCGACATAGAGACGCCACCAACCTCCTGACTGTTTCACGAAAACCACTGCGGCGCACTCGTGCGCAAGAATGACGACACTTCCTGTGACTAAATGATAAACGTCTGGTATGGTAAATCTGTGTAGGGCATTTGTGAGGGCGTTGAATGTGAACGTAGTGAAACGGTATGTTTGAGCTTCGGGTAAGAGGTTTGACAGACGTTTCATTTCACTGTTAAACTGGTTTTGCCAAGCTTCGATGACTTTGCCCGCACTTTCAATGCTCCAGCCAATATCGTGCGAATAATGTGTGTCCCGATGAAATTCAAACATTTCCTTGTTATCCATGATCTGCACGATGGTTCGCAATGCCGCAGCACTGACCACTACTCCTGAGCGATCTCTTTGAATGCCACCAATGGTTAAGGCTTCCGGCCAGTGAATATACTTACTTGCGAAACCATAACAGCCTCCTGTTAGAGTCGCACCAATATCTGGTAGGCTACGAGATTTCTTATTCGGGGTGGTATCGGGACACAAATCATCATAAGGATTAAGGCACGGTTTTTCTTGGTATGCTGTGGTGATGCCTGCCCGGGACATAAAATTATCCATACGTTCAAATGGGAAGTCAGGAGCGTTCATGCTCTTTTTCATGATTTTTGATAGATTAACTGGGTTGAGGTTAAGCCAGCTAAGATTCTCGATTCCGAGAGTGTCCGAATTCATCGAGTACCATGGGTTCGTCAGTTTCGAGCCTTCCCAGAAGCAGCTAAGTGGAGTCACAATTTCGCAAGGCATTATATTTTCAAATAGTTTATCGACGAAACTCGGCCCAAAACTTGGTGCAGTGGGCTTTACGCAAATATCTGCGAGGCCCCATTTGTAATCGAAAAGCTCCACTTCAACCTGAAGAGCTTGCCGTAACAACTCGACGTGTGCGAGAAGCCCTTCGTGATGAAGCAGGTTCCCACCTGAACTTGCCGTCTGTATAATAACTTGTTCGTTTCCTGAGGCCGAAAATTCGAGTTGGTCTTGCAGCTGCTTCAGCTCTCGTTGAATACGCCCACCCTCCTCAGTCCAAACCTTGTCCAACTCATACTCGAGCCCAACGGATTTCAATCCGACGCTAAGAACTGTCAAGGTGAGCAGTCCAACAAAAAGAATTTTGCCAGGATGCTTTTGAATCGTACATCCTAGGCGAAAAAGGATATCTTGAAGGTGTTGCCTTACCCATAGCGATGCTAGGTTTCCTTCGGCTCTGCCATTTTGTATTTCTCTGTAGGCGGTACAAGCATCAGTCCAACTTGTTCGCGTAAGCAGGTCACGTTCGACTTTTTGTAACGAGGAAAACCCGTTCGAATCATGTTCAGGCATGTCGTTTCTATAGGTAAGAATCCGTCGCCTCCTTTGCTGGGTTCACCTGTATAAATGGACAAAGCAACAAAAAACAGTGAAGTACGAATCACTCAAAATCAAGTTTAGAGGATTATACTAAATGAAAAAGCATCGAATCTGACCTAGCTGTTCTAACTTTAATTTATAAAATTCTAAACGCTGCAGTAACCATTCTTCTTGCCAGACTTTAGGTTTAGTACGGGCTGCTTTTATCCATTGGAAAATAGGCCGACTGCTGTAAACGCAACAGTTACACTTCATTCATACTGTCATATTATAACTTTGCCTATCATCTTAGCAAGTCAATACCGACCCCATATATTTGCGTTGAGAACAATAACGTAACACTTATGATCCAAGACATTTCATATATTTCATTGGAATAGGAATGAAGATCTTTTTTAGACGGCTTACTTAAGCCAAAAAAAATTGCAACAATCTATAAATTTCATTTTAGCAAGTCTCAGGTGCGGTATTTTCCCTATAGCTTTAAAATCGCATTTTCAAATTTGTCCAAGGAACCTTAACTCGACCTGACTCCGAAGAGACGCCAGGCTAAAAGCAGGATCACTGGCCTGCCTTTTGCTCAAGCAAAATTTGGTAAATATTTGAATTGAATAATAAAATAGATCTGTGTCAGTGTAGCTTGAACGCAAAATTTGCATCTTTGGAAACTAACAGTTATAATGTATATGCGCAATACTGTTTGCTATATCATGCGCCTATTATATCATCTATGTCACACTGCAAGAACAGCATTTATTCTGTTCTAATGGTATCAACAGGAATCGGATTGATGACTTTTACTTTGGCGCTATTGCTATATCGGCTTAAGCCGCTACACCGACAGATATTTTCTTTAACTTTTATAGAAACTGATGTTTCTGAATCGGGAGCTCGGCTGCATGCGGAAATCTCATCTATTGAAAGTAAACTACTGTAGCTGTTGCGTCCATCACTGTTCGGAAATGGCCTTTTTGCTTTCAGCTATATCTACGCGTGCTCAACCGTTACACGAACTATACTGTTTAAATAACAGTTATCTATCTTATAAAATAAGTATCATACTATATATGTTAAGCGATTTTCTATTTGGCTACGGAGAGAATCATGACGATTTGTAAATCTCATTAATAGGGTTAATACTAAATTTCGTCCTTTCTTGACCTGCTATGCTCAATATCAAGTGGGTCTAGAAATAATTAAGGCTACTGAAGCTTTGTCCTAACTACTCTGTGAAAAGCTAAATTACACTGCCTTTTCTATTTAATTCACCTCTATGTAATGATACTCATGTCATGAAGAGCCGCTGCACCGCTTGTCATATATATATATATACACATATAGAAATTTGATTAATGAAATTTGGCGAATTTTTTAATTACACTCGACGTTCTATTTCAGGCAATAGAATCTAAAACGGGCAACTCGCAACGGCGTAAACAAGCTGATTTTGCACGCCTCTTAAAGCACTCAACGTAAAAAGTCTGATAAAGAGATCGCCGGCTACAGTTAGGCGCTTAGTTACAATAAGAATTCAACTATCGTCTATTAATAGCAATCATCCAACATGACCCCTTCCCCTTACCACCCTCCCTCCCCCCTCCCCCCGCCGCCCAACAAAGTTTTTTCCTTCCCTATAATTCGAATAGCGTTTGTATACCGCGAGTCGTGAAGTTCGGAGGAGTGCGAACGGATTAGCATTCCAGTGAACGGCCGCTTAACCTAACGAAGTCACTGCCCTGCGTCAGAAACTTGCACCAGAAATTTGCACCAGAATCCTGCATTCCCCGTACATGCGCCGCGATGAAGTACACTACAGGCCGCACACAGAATAACATCTCCCGTCATCTTTGGTGCACAGATCTCGGTATCCGGGGTAGATCGGGCCGCCATAGCATCTTGGCTCGTACAAAGGCTGATACGTATACACCACGGGCCTCACAAGAAGACAACAGGAGTTTCAGAATCGAGAAGAACGATACATCAGCTGATGTCATAGGAATCGCGGGAAATTTAAATATGTACTACATTCACACTGTCGGCAGTCTTGGAGAAGAGGTCGGTTCCTAGTAACAGAAACAAATTTAACGTTCTTATTCTAGTTAGAAATTCTGGCCCTATCTCCGAAGATGGCATCTACTGCAGTCCGAGATGTCTTGCATTAAAATCGTGATCATAAACTCCTAGAATAAAGCAGATACACAGCCCCGTATTATGGATGCGCAACTGTAATTATTTGCTTTTCCGCCGCAGAGCGATCCTGCTCGGGCCACCCAATGTTCTCCCGTAAACGAACCGACCGTGAGGAATTTATGCCAAAAATCGAACTCGTTCACTCGATTTTTACACATTTCATTTAGTCAAACATATGTTGATGTAGGACTATGTATGATCGCTTACATCAAAGCTCACAACAACACACTGCATGTTTATGTTATACGTAATGAAATTGTCTAACATTACAGCATATTTTTTCTTCTCATTGTTCGGCATGCAAGCCTTACGATGTGGGAGAGGAATAATTCCGTGCGTCTATGCCATTCGTCCTTACAGGTGTCGGAACACGACAAGTAGCCATCTTAAACGCTTTTTCACAGAGTGAAAATTGCCAGTTAAATTTTCATTCGAACAACTGAAAACAGGCCTACGATCCTCGTCCAGTCTGGGTTAACTGCCATTGATGTAAGATACGCCTGAACCATTAGAATAAGCGCACTGCAGTGTCGAGCCTGGAATGGTCAAAGGCAACTTGTACATAATTAGTAAGCCGGGCAGATGCACAGTAACCCTGTTATAATGCTGGAAATACATATATATATATGCACGCGTTTCTATCGAGTGTTAGATTTTCAATCACTAAAACAAATTGCGAAAGGGTGGTAAATCCTCTTCGGCAGCCGTTCTTGTCGTTTGAAAAAAATGTTATGTGAACGTAAAACTTTTCGATAAGTTGTATGTTTTACACCGTGATATACTCACCATGAATTTGAATTCAAGTGTAGATTGTAATGCGCCAAGCAAAAATCCTCATCTGTTAACCGTATTTCAAAGAGTGTCTTCTATTGATAATAATACAGATTATTATTATATGGACTAAAAAATATATAATGAGAAAAATAGTTGTTATATAAACTTGTACTTATCGTCGTCAACGGCTCATGCTAATTCGATTCGTATACACATTCACAAACTTCATACGTATGCAAATGAATGAAGTTCATGATGTTTTGAAGTGCCTGTGCTATATAGTACTTAAATCGAGAACTCGATGTGACTAAAATAATGGTACATAGTCGTTCGTACATAGTCAGTTTGTCGAGTACACGTTCTTTCGCAGAATAACATCTAACTTTTGTTTGTTAGTAACAAAAAAATCGCTTGGAAACTACTATTGATTGATGAAGGCGTAGAACGAATTGGATTAAATCAGGACTAGCAGCATTATACGGTGTAGGTGGACCAATTAGCAACATCACATAAATAATATAGATCATCCTTATTCATTTTATGAATGTCGTTCGTCTGTAGAATTTGTAGAACACACAAACTTTATTCGTTTTTACTTAAAGTGTTAAAACTTTTTTGTTTTACTAAATAACTTTCTCTCACTCGTAGTCGTATTGGCTTTGTATGGCTCTGGAAGGCTTTTGAAGCGTGAGGTGCGGCTTTTCTATAGTAATAACGGATACTGTATAATTATTACAAACAAAAAAATAATAAATAAATATTTGAGTTTAAGATCAAGATTTGATTGGCTGCTGCCAAACGTCAAGCGGGGGAACCACTGAGGCCAGTTCTACTAAAAAAAGATCATAACTGAATATATTTTTGAATGATTCCTAAGACCACTGTAAAGGGTCCGTGACCTTGCATACTATTATGCACTTATTTATTGATCAGTGCAAAAGTGAGAAAACAACGAACGGAAAATTTCTGCGAAGTTATTTTCTTGTCACCAATGACACAATTTTGACCCAGATCTCTCTGTGTTATGTGCCAAGCTAACTAGGTGTTTTATCCATGATTCTTACAAGCGACTAGTAAGTTAAGTTCGTCCACTTCTATCGATATCACCTACGTACAGAAGAAATCAAATAAGGAAAATGTTTATGGTAGCAATTTTCGGCAGTTTTTTGCAGTCTCGTCGTTGTTTGACAGTTGACTTTGGCGATCAGCACACAATCAAAATAAGTAGAATAAGAGCCCACAAGTTACCCACGTGTCCATCAGTGTAGATCGGTTAGGTCCATAGGCCGCCTGAGGGACTCAGCACTGGTCGTGGTTTCCATTGTTAGTGATGCGTTCATCACTGGCGCAAATTGGGTGCCGCGTTTAAAGTCAGCTGATTGGCGCAGCGGGAAGTCTTCCGTCTCTAAGGGGTAAAGTGGAGTGAGCATAGACTTTCACTAGAGCTTTTTCTGTCGACGTTTGCCTTTCTCGCCATCATCAGTGTTCGCCATTGCCGGTCGTTCAGTGTTCAACAGCGCCAATCTGTCGTAATAGTTTACTCAAGGATGGCACTCATGTAACGAAAAAAGAACGAATTGAAGCTAACTGTCACTCTACAAAAAAGCAACAAATAGTCCGCTGGTCTTCACTGTTCGTAGCGAAACACAAAAAAAAAACAAAGAGAAACGTAAAAGATCATAATTGGACAATGTGAAAGAAACAAAGATACATTTCAGACCTGGGTGATAGTGTGTCTCCGATAGTTTCCGTACGACGTTTGTCGTCACAGGATTCGAAGGCAGTGAAAACGTTTCTAGTCAGGTGCTAAGATAAGCTTCGCGAGGACACCAACTCGATGTGGTTAATGAAAAACTGGCACAAATATGACGCAGATAGCGTTTCTCATTGATATTTCCTGGCTACAGGACGAAGAGATTACGGCCGCTGTCAGGTAGGTGTATAACCGTATTCCACTTGTATGGTGAGATGAAAACTTGGGTAACTAATAGTTTCCGATGTAGCTAATATCTAAATATCACACCATGATTATTTCTGTTGATTGTTTCTGTGTAAGAACTATGCATTTCTTTAACGTTGCGTATAAAAATATCGCATTTTTTTAATATTAACAGACGACAAATTTCTCAAATAGGAACGATGACATTTATCAATATTTAATATCTCCGATCATGCCCTTTTCATGCTCATGTCTATTGTTAACCCTGTTACGTTTAGCATCATAGTACTTCGTTTTGTTCTAGTACGTAATGTGTCACGTAGTTTAGCTGCAAAAATTCTTTTCGAATGGCCTTTTTTTGCGCACCCGAACGATAAGCATGTGATTGAGCTTGTAAATAGTATCCGCACGATACTTTTGATGGGGCAATTTCAGGGCTACGAAGTTTGATTCCACCTACACATAGCTACTAGTTGACGTTAATGAACGATAAAGGAAAACCGTAAACGTTTTTCCCGTACAGTTTCATTGACTTTGCCTCTTTTATCGCAGGTATTCTTGTCTACAATTGCTAACGGCGTGGCCGAGCAGTCGTTGTAAATTTGGCTACCTCTTATTCGACTCCGAGGGTCCTCGTTCGCAAAAGGTTCGCTTTAAATAAAAACTTCAGAGTTCAGAGTTTCTGAACGTGAGCATGGACCTTTCGGCTGGTCCAAGCTCACATAACATATTTACGAATATTTTTAATGCTAATCATTCTTGGTAGCATTTGGCCATTTTTCCAGTGTGTAGAACTATCTTCCCGCATTCAACGTATCGTTCCATACTGAAAATACTAAAATATCGGCTGAAAGAGTCATTTAGTCATTTCCAGGAACTATTAAATATTTTTTTAACCAACACAGTGGTGCAACTGTTTATAAATACATCAGTAATGTGCGTTTGTTAATACGTTGCATATTTTTCCCAAATTTTCCCAAACAGGTACAGCCTGTGGACTTTGCCGCGCCAAGTACGAACCTTTTCGAGGAATTTGAGGCTCAGCTTGGTCAAGGCGCGTCTGCTTCCGAGGATGGTAAACCATCGTCTTGCAATGCTGGATCCACTTCACGACTAGAAACCATTCGGTGGGCTGTTTCCCGCTCGATAACCGATTTTGCTTGGCACTCCGTAAGTGTCTGCTCTCCGGTGAAGGCAAGCAGGCACTTACGCAAACGACGCTGTTCGACTGTATCAGCGGTACTCTCCTCCCAACAAGCGCTCGCCAGTACCTCTGAATATGAGCATGGAAACCGCCTGTTCTTGTTTGCTCGTATGCCATGCGGTACGCTGGCAAGGATACGTGATGAGCTCGTCACTCCAAGCCTGAATAAATGCCTTCAGGAAAGCCGTATCGAACTTACGTGGGTGCACGATTCGCAGGGTGCGCTGCACACATCCTCGGGCGCTAACAATGCTAAATGTCTCTTCTTGCGGATGCGCGACCTTGTTCAGTTATGTGGCTTTTTCCCATCGGAGTGTGCGTACTATTCAACAATGATGGCACCGCCCTCTCTTGTGGTGACCCGCTTATTACAGAGTTGTTCCGGAACCCCTAAGTTCGATCGAATAACCGCTAATTGTTCGATTAGCTTCAACCGAACAGGTAGACTTAATGAACCGCTTAACGTTACCGTACTTCCAACAAGTGTTCGCTCCCGGATGCAGTTTGAGGCAGCGGATATGGAACTGATGATGGAGCAGGTCGTGGACGAACCGACCGTTACGTCAGTGCTACAACGGAGTCAAGCATTGTTTTTTGTTGTATCATCAGATGTTCATTTTCACCGAGTGCTAATAGAACTGAAATTATCGAGGAAAGTAGCACTTTTAACTTGTGGACGATCGACATTTATGCTCAAGTCTGTGGCGGACTCAATAGGTGCGCTAGTTACTCTTACAGACAGGAATTTAACAAAATTCGAATTTAGTGAAGTACCATCCGAGTTTCTATTTCACGGTGCTTTGCTTGAAAAATGTTACCACAAAGTACAACCGTCCGACGGCAAAAAAACCAGGACAAAAACTCTCGTTAACCGATTGGCATACATCTACGAGTTTGCCTCGGATGTACAAACAGCTACCGAACACGAGTTCGGTGAACTGGAAGTCGAACCATTGCCCGACACCGTTCAACAGGACCAAACGACTACGGGCATTTGTGGCCCACCGGAGAACTACAACTCTGAAGCGACTTTGCTCCAGGGTCTACGACACACGTACGAGAAGGCCATCGACAATAAGCTAAATGCAACCACCTCTGCCCAGAGTATTGTTTCGGCAAGCATGCACTTTTTCGAAAGTGACTTTGTGAAAACGATAGCGTTTATCGAAGAAAACTTCAAGCCACCGCTGCAGTCATGTCTAAACAAAGTTCAATGGGCTAACGAATGCAGGACTTATATTCTCATCTCGTTCGAGCTTGCCTGCCTCACTTCAGCTAATACCGACAAAATTAGGAAACACGTCATAGCCACAATGAGAAAGCTATTGTTTCTTACGTCGCCACGGGATCTATTTGATTTTATTCGAGAAACCCTCAAAGCTCTTTACCTAGAGGCGGTGCGACCACTACTTGAGGATCTTGCTGAAGAGTTTGATTTGCCACTGTTTCCCGAATCAGACGAAGAGGAAGATATAAGCTCAATGGGATCGTTCGCTGAGCCAATGTCCGGAATTTCTTCTTTGGGCGGAAGCTCAGTTATCAATTCGATGCCTCGTTCAGCTCCGATGGGTACCAATTCACATAAAGCCACTGTCCTTCGGAAATTATCGTCGGCCAATATCTCCCAACAGCAACTGAACCAACAGCGTCAAATCGAAATACCCCGTCGGCGATCCGTACGCATTACGAAACCAGAAACATCGACAAATCCCTTGGCTACGTCGTTATCTCCACAGAAGCGGCAGTCTTCCTCTCGCAATATACCCACAACGCCCAAGGGCAAACGAATCTTGAAAACGCAAGTTGTGCCGGAAACGCCCGTTACCAAACAGGCACCCAATCGCGTTCACCGGCATCAGGAACGCCTCCGCAGAAGATCCTCAATTTTGAACGGTTCCCAGGGTGGTGCTTCAGCAGGTGATGAGGACGACGTTGACGAGATTGCCGAGTCGCCCGTGAAACAATCCGCAACAATGGCGACCCAAAACAAGTCTTTAAGCGTTAGCCCGACAAAGCGCAGCAAGGCAAACATGTCACCAAGCAAAGAAAATGTCGTTATCGATAGGGAGCACCTACTTGGACCCGCGATTGCTCCATCGCCTGCAACAGAACCGAGTCCAACACGAAAGGGTCCTCGAGTGACACCTCGTAAACGACTCACCAGACAACTGAAGTTCTCTCCGCCTAAAAAACAGGCGTTCACGTCACCAACAGCCATTTCACTACTGCATTTAACTACATCGCCAGTTTTGTTCAGGCCAAGCAAAAAACGGTCGGCTCCACTTGAATAAATGTCATCTCAATGAATTAGCTTGAATATATCTAAATAATTGTAATACATTGACAGAAAAGAGCGTTTTGTCTAGTAGATAAGTCAGTCTGATGTGTGCGCGTATTTGTCGTTCCTGATGTACCCTATCCATTTACCGAACCATGTAACGTAAACGGGATAATCATTGTTTACTACATTGTGAGTATGCTTTATCTCAATAAGTACATTGCTTAGCCTGACTTTATGCACCGAAATATTAACTGATCAATCGCTGATAAAATTGCAGCTTATATATAGCTACTGGTATAGCTATGATATAGACACGTATATATACATATAGATAAAAGGCGATGATGGCGTTTATTTATTTTTGTAGCATCTATCAAATGCTTTATTCGCGCATGCAGCGCAATGATGTAGTAGTAACGAATAAATAGCACAAAGTAAACACTATATACAGTGTTTGACATACGTATATATATACACACACATATATATATATTGTACCATTCTAATTATGTACAGGTTTCTTTTTCTCTAGCCTCTGAAACGTTTTCAATGCGTTCCTAAATAATTCCTCTGTCGCCTAGAAAGTCGATAATGGCCGCCGTGCTTCCGAGGAGGTTGATTTGATGACGATCGGCTCGCGGCAGTAAATCCTTGACCATGTAGGAGACGTGGTGTTGAAAATGCGAGAATTGAGTCCCGTATTTTGTAGCTACGTCCAAGAACTTGCTCACACAGCTTTCCGGGGTATGTGGGTGCCTTAAGTGGGTAGAGGTTGGTAGAAAAACTTAGTTCTTAGGCAGATGACTGTTAATATTCTCAAAAAAGAAATCGGGTTTAAGAGATCAAGATAACTTCAAGACAGGCCTACGTTCGAAGATACTTATGCTAATCTAACATTTTACAGAACGCTCGACTCTATTCAGAGACATACACAGATATGTTGATTACGTTTATTGGCTTAGGTCTTAGCTTTAAAGGGGAAAAATCTTGCGTTGTTTTTGTCCAATACACCAAGCCTTTCGAACTTAACTCGCCGTTCGTGCACATTAAGCGGCACCGCATATCCTTTGTAGGGAATCGATAACTAGCGTTAGCTGGGGCTTAGTTGAATCCTGTCAGTAGGAGCCTACCAATTTATCTTACCCGTCGAACAAAGCAGGATTGTTAAGGAGACCTTGCGCAACCATTATTCCTGCGACCCCTGTGAAGCTCCAAGTATCTTCAGCCTCTTGCAGCGTATTTATGCCACCTGCAACGTACATGTAATCGTTATAAATAGACAACAAAAGATTTTATATGACGTTCCAGAATATGATCAAATACAATAGCTCTAGTTGCTGAAATTAATCCTTTAGTTGATAACGCGGCGTCCCTGGCTGTACTAGAATTCAACTAACCAAAATCCATACGTGAAACTGGATAGGTCCTGCTGTTCCCTTTTTTTACTATTGATTTTTTCTCTATTACTGATTTCCTTGCCGCCCTTTTTACGGCAAGCCTCAAGACAAGCATCAAACCTCGAGAACTTTCAAATTGCTGACTCGCATCGGTGCTCTATTCTGATGAAAATATTAATTCGTTATTGTTATTGTGGCAACGTATATAAATATATTTGTATGTATATATATGCACCATTGTGTACGACCGGGATGTTTACACTTTCTCGTAAGAGTTTCACCGCTTCCAAATTCGGAGGCTCGACCCGTTGTTGCTGCGTTCGGCCATGAACCGTAAGAAAGCTCACGCCAGCTGCCTCCATTCGCCGTACGAATTCCACAGTTTGCCGAAGATCTTCTTTTAGACGTATTTTTATGGAAACGGTAAAGCGAGACGGTAGCCTTCGTCTTGCCGTTGATATCATGTCTGCAACGAGATCGGGCTGCGACAACATCCAGCAGCCTGTAATGGGACGCATATTTATGGGTTGAATATCACGCGGAACATCCTACGACTAAATGTTAGATGCTATGAAGTTATTATCGTAAAAAACGACACTTCTATAGAAATAGTTTGCCCTTTAGAAGCTTTGTAGTAGTTAGAACCTTCAAATTGTCAGGTAGAACTGTTAGACTATATTTTTAGCCATGGCTATAAGCAGAGGAGTGTGTGTGATACCAAGTAGATAAGCAGAACAAATATATACACACATTAGCAACTGACCGTAATGCTCCTGAACGGCCCACCGTTGAGGGCAGCCGCAGTTTATATCTATTCCATCCGAAAGAGGGGTCACCATTTCTGCTGCCAAAGCGAACTCTTCGGAACAATTGGAAGCAACCTGTACAATGAGAGGGCGATCTGTTGAGGACGTGGAGAAATCAGCATTCCTGTAAGCGACAACAAAATGCAGACAGTGAATACTATGACTGACGTGTCAGTAGAATTTTAAACTGTGCTAAAAATGTCTACGACACAAGTATTTGTGTTCATCGCATTGAGCTAGAAGGCATAAAAGAGCTATGGTATCGATATTTTCCTTCGCTAGCAGAAATCAAGAAGCGTTATTCGACAAGGTACATAATACCAGAAGCATAGTTTACCTGGCTTTTGCGCTCTTAGTAAAGCTGTCTGCCAATATCATTGGGGTATATGCCACATCAACGCCATAGAGACGTACTAGCTGCCGAAATGACTGCTTCGAATAACGTACCATGGGAGCACATATTCGTGTCATAGGCTGGCTCCTTAATAACGAAAGCACCGGAGATGTGTCAGGATCGCAGTAACCCTCAGAGCTGGCCATTCTCCCGAGCGGAGTTGTAAGCATGATAGATCAGTGTCGACACCCGAGTAGAGCCTATGGCCAATCTCAGTTCTGAAATTTGTAATGTGTCTGTAGAGTTGCGGTTTGAACTCAGTATCGTTAGGTAATAAACAGATGTTTATTACTCGCGTATTTTGGCGCGACTGTTTCACATTTCATTTTGTTTATACTTGATAACAGTAGCGTCGATGTTTCTAACTATTGTCACTACGGCTGCTATTGTATATTATAATGAAATACAATGCTAGGTCACCGGTTATCTAAGCCTATGTGTCAATTCAGTAAGAGTTTTTCTTATGAGCACCGCAATCGATAGACCCTAAAAAAGAAAACCTCAACAGGTAGGTAAAAACATTGCTTTTGATTCTATGTTACGATGCGTCACTTTACACTCATTTCTACCATGTAAATCCGCTTAAGAGTTTATTCAGTAATTCGAGTAAATATCAAGTTATATCTTTGTTTATAGCACAATTGTTTACTAAATGTCTAAAACATGCACATATTTCGATCGGGAACAAGGAAATATATCGTTATAGCTCATAATAGTAGCATGAGGACGTAGACGATGTTACGAATCTTCTATTGGCTCTATTGACTGTTCATATTTGATAGATTTCGTAAAATTTACTTCTTCGCATACCTGAGAAGCTGCGCTACGGTACAGACGTTGGTATTGAGGACTCGCGGGTAGTCAACCATGTGGTCGGTCTAGTCGCGCCTGCGAACTCCAAACATTAGCCCTCTCTCCACTTTGACCCCCGCCTCCCCCTCACCCTTCTCGCGTCCGCTAAATCAACGGCAAGTAGTAAAGATTGTCGAAAGTTAATGACGCCACGAACTGTCCGATTAAGCTGTTTCACTAAACTTTGCCAAATGAACCGCATATGAACAGGACGTTTCAATGAGAAGATGATTATGTTTGAAGATATAGACGTTTGATGTCGTTTGCCTGAGCAGTCAGACTGCTACTCACATCGCACAGAGCAAACTTATTGCTTACATGTAAAATATATAGACCATTAAACTATATGCAATAGAGCGCAATCATTAGCTTTTCGATGTTGTAGCCGAACGGAAACTTCAAGTTGTCCTCTCTACACGTTCTATACGAACAGTCTATTTTCATTTTTTCTATTTCAATTCCTTTACAAACATTGTGTCGCTTCATATTATAATGAGCAAAAGAGTTCACATTTACTCCCGACATGTTTCTACCGTTTTATAGATGGAAGAAATTGTATTAATTATTTATACTATGTACTTATCATGTAGTAGTTACTTCGATCAATTAGTTTGATTTGAACGACGAATTGCTCTATTTCAGCTGGATTCTTGGGCTACATCTAGTCTTGTCAAGACTAAATACACAAATCCGACCAAGTTTGCGCACGCATTACACTGAATAGCTGGCGGCTACCTTTGCCAGGCGAGGGAATGGACAATCTGCCGTAGATCTCACTGCGTCCCACTCGCTGCTGTCACCATCAGCAGTGATGGCCTTTGCAGTTCGTCAATGAGGACAGCAGCTCCGTTTGGCTCATCGCACCTAGCCATCGTCCAACGTTAGCGTCAGTGCGGTAATGGTCGTAATGGTAGTGTTTTTTTTTTACGTATAACATCACCCGTAGGCAATATAGATACTACGGATCTTGTCTACCGATCACGCATAGACAAGGGTGGCCAAACGTGAAAAAATTCTGTATTTACCTACTACAGTTTTCACCGTATAGCTGTCGCTGCTATTTACTGCATTCGTACAATTGCGGCAGTGCGGTAGCGTACGTGTCAGATGCATGCCACTAATCGCTTATTCGATGCCCAGACAAAACGCACTATCAGTTAAGGAGTCAGCCAGCGAAGTGCTAGTTCGACGAGGTGGGGGTGTACTCGGGTTGTTGCTTGTCACTCAGTCTTGTGCTTCTCACTGCTGTTGGGCACAGTAGCGTTTATACGTCGTTCGGTCTGCGGTGAGCGCTGACTAGTGTGTGACTGACCGTTGCGGTGGCTCTTCCTGCAGACGGCGACTGCAACGACGTTACTGGTGCGTATGTGGCAAAGCGCCGAAGGGGGCAAACGTCATAAGAAGTGATAGCCAGCTCCTTAAGTCAAAAGCTGTTTCTCTCATTGGCTGTCGGTGTATATGAGCGGGCGTGACTGTGTATATGTCATCTGCTGTAAGAATTCTGTAAGAATTTCTTCTTACTTCTCCTGCCCACCACCGCTGGTACCCAGCTGACCGCGATGAGTAGCGAACTACAACGGGTGATGCCGTTGCCTGATGCTAATATTGGCCGGCGGCGAGTCTAGTTAGCATTGCAATGCATAGCACTTCAAACTACTGAAAAGTACTATCGAATTGATTATCAATGGTGGCAACAATAGTGCAAAGCGTGTCGTATAGGACAAGTGCACGCGTTTCAACAGAGCAAAAGACCCATAAGGATACAACGACGACTTTGAAGTTTAGAGTACGTACATTTCGGGACACTCTTCGCTGGGAAGTCGTGTCAACTGTTGCCTGCTCTCTTACTTGGTGCTCATCTTTTCACTTCTCTAACTTGATCTTCATCGAAGAGCAGTACGGCCCGCGTCGTTTTGGCCTAGTTGGGTCGACGCCAAGCCTGCTATCCAGTGCGGGGTCTCTCGCTCGACTGATAGGAGAATCACAAAATTAACTAGCCAAGATAAGGCTAAGGAGGAGCGTTCTTAGAGAAACAACGCGCCGACAAGAAGTAAGCTGGTCACTGGAGCAACCAGCTAATTCGTGTCTTTCCACAAGCGGTAACGGTGCTTTTTGTAATGCTAATGGAGGCCTTCTCCTATGCTCAGTGATTCGTGGACCGACTGCGTGGCTCATCTTGTCAGCTGTACTCAGTATCCTTTTCGATTCGGTGAGTGTCAACCGTCGAACGGTGAAATGGCTAATGCTCGATGTTGGGCCAAGGAAGGCGTGGTTTTTCGTGTTAGAATCTTTTGTATCTGGGCCTGTCGCTGCTGTTCCCAGTTGTTATGGTTGCCATTGGAACGATTGTCGCATCGTGAAGTTTTAACTTCAACGTTAAAGCTTCGCAGCTATTCGGTCTAGTTGTGTTACGACTATCAGTTCCGAGATATAGTCATTCGGTTCTAGATGTCGTATTGTTTCTGAGTAAGCTAGTCGAATAAATCTGTTATCATCGGTGTACCTGACGTTTGTTAATGTGCGTGCATTTCTCGTATATGAAGTTGAGCTTGTGATCACACTTAGGGTATTCTAGCTAGCCCGCTGATCGGTTAGCCGCTAATGGACGCTTGTCCATGTGGGGCAGTGCAGTGGCTAGATGAGACTCCACCCCAACACAGCACAGGGCAATCTGTATAGATGCTTATTATTGGGGTATAGCAACCATCATTCCATAATGTCTGTCGTTTTAGTGTCGACAGCGCCGCCGCTGGTTTTGAATCGTAATGGATTGATCATTGGCCAATCATGACAATATTGTCGATTAATTGCTGAACATCGCCTAACGACGCCGACCCTTGCAAACAGAAAATATAGAGGAACATTGGCCGGTTGGTGAGTGTGGCGAAATTGCTTTGACTTTTATCTTTGTTTAGAAAAATTTCTAGGGCAATTAATCGATGCGCAAAAACAATGAAATTAGGCACCTAAATCAGGTGTTATCCTAAACGTTCGACCGGCAGCGGTTGATGTGAGAGTTGTGAAAATAAGCATATTAGACACGTATGGAAACAGTGCATATGGGCCTTTGTCCAACATCAGTAAGGCACAAACAATGTAGCCAGGCGTTATATTAAAATCCGAGTTTGCTGGTGCGGTCTTTTATAACAGGGCCACTCCATTGTTGTGTATGATCTATGTAGAATATGTTTGCGGTTCGACATAACCTAATATATATGCTACATTTGGTTCGCATATGAATAGGCAGTGTTTCGAACGTTCGACATGTCCAATTGTGCCCGTGCATTGCTGCTACATATTGTTTAACACATGTACTAACTAACCATTAAATGTGTATCTACTGTCGTACGGCCAGCGTTGTTGATACTTTTCGGCTCAAACTCCGATGCCCTGGCAATTTTTAATCCATAGTAAATTACAAAACGAACCTCTGAACGGTCTGCTATCTAATCGAAATTTGAAAAATTATTATGTAACATTCAATTACGAAACCAAAAATGTTTGGCAAGGAGCTACATCATGAACATATTTATCATCATCTGATGATTGTAAAGGAGGTCTAATCAATAGCTTTCAATAAATACGTATTATAGTAACATCTGATACTAAACACTGCCATCGGCCCTTGTTCCTCATACAAACTGACATCAGTCGAGGTAATCAACGTCAACATAGCAACTCGTTGGCGATACTTCATACGAAATCAGCTAGTAAGAGCGTCGCTTGAGCTTCGTCGTCGTTCTTTCGAACGTGTGCTGGCTTGCACGGCTGCCACTGCAGCCGTTTGCGCTCATACCATCTCACCCGACGCAAATGTGTCTCCGGTGTGCAACGATTAGTAGCAATGTACCGTGCAGCTCCCGTACAACCGAACAAACGTTATAGGACGCGTCTACGCAGAAAGCAATGAGATACGATAGAAACATTATGTAAATAGATTAGTACGTTTATTTGGTAATATGTGTCTGTCGGTGCGCGTACCACAGAAAGCGGAATGCTCGTTTCTATAGATTTCGGCATCTAGCTTGGCTCATCTCAATGATGAGTTGTTTTGGTAAACTCGATTATTTTCACGCAGTAGCTGCGCGCGCGCCAACGACAGCGGCAGCTGGGCGTTACTCGGTCGACTGTAGTGGTAGTGCCATTTCTAGTACGATGAAAAAGGAGATAAAATGGGAAAACGTCTCTGGTTTTCTGTAGCTGGGAGTAGACTGGCGTATGATACATACTGACGCGAGGAAACAGAAAGAAACCGCTGCTGAAGATAGTCTAGTTATAACTAATCCCTAGCGGCACGGTACGGACACTGGTGATTAGGGCACTGCTGCTGCTGATAATGGTGGCAATGACCACAACAATGTCAGAAAGATCGAATTAGTATCAGAGCTTTGGTAAGCACGAGGATGGCGTTCTAAACGATACAATGCTACACACAATGTGATGAACAAATTAGGGAAACGCTACGCAGTGGAAAACCGAACAAATAATGACAAATGGAGAATTTAAAACATGGACGCTAACATGGCATAGCACATATGATAGACAGAATTAGCTTTATGCACATGAATGCACAAACAAAACAATAGGCACAATTAATTGTAAGTCAACAAATTTTTATTTTTCGATATCTTAGATTAGAAAGCTGCCATCTTTGGGCTCACACCTTCCTTTCAACACCTCTCACATCTTTGAGCTTCTCTAGATAGGTATAAGGTTACTGTGTGCGCACAACATATTTCTTTATAGTTTTTACTCCGGTACAAATTTTGTTAATTTGGAAAAAAAACATGAATATATTTTGCAATATTGTTTTTTACGCGAAAAACAATATTATATAGTATAGAAGAGACAGGTATGCGGAATACATAGGGGCGCGGTGATGACGTCATGTCAGTACAGCGCACTGCCTACAGGCTGTGCTATGTTATACCTAAGGCTTCTTCTTGGACGAAGCATGTTTATGGTGGGTGGCCGGCTGATGAAGACCAACCTCAGATGAAACTGATCCTTCAGTTTGTGGTCGGGAGTCAATTGTGGTTATGACGCAAAGATCGTACCTTTTTAGGTTGGATACGGCTATTACCTAATTCAATCAAAACGTTCGAGAAGAACCTAAGCGAATATTTTTAATCTGAGCAACGTTTGCTTAGACTCTTACACCAAATTCATCTATTGGATTCGAGACGCCGTATATGTTGGGTGTCCTAAAATAGCGAATTCTACTAAGGAACACTAAGGCGAAGTGAATACTGGCTCCCGATATAGAACGACATTTTTTTATAGATGGAAAAACTTGAATTTTTAATGAAACTAATTTTACAGTTAACTCGTTTTCATATTATAGGAGACATTCCGTTGCGGAATCACCTATATCAAACTAGAGCATTGAACCAGAGGATAAAACCTCATACTTCAACTGTTTGACCGTAATGCTTTTAAACGCCATTTTCTCGACGTTCCTATGCGTTTTCTTAGGTAGTCCAATGCAGATAGTCAAACATTTAATACCTGGTGATACTGGCAGGCTTAATATTTGTTTCCTGCTATTAAAATCGGACATCTATCATAGACTATCCCTAATGATTTAATTTGTTTCCAACAAGTTCGGTCTTAGGTCTTAGAGCACATTATTTTTTCCCTTTTCGTTAATATGTATCATCCATCTTCCACTTCAGTAGCTTACATCTATGACCGATTCACAATAATAATATCCTAAAAATAACAATGCTTCCAGCTTTAAATAGTTTAAACACATCTGATTACATGTGGTGAGGACAGGGCGGAAATGGCCGGCAAAGCAGTATGTAAGACTTTAGGAACTCGTGAGGCTAACAAATGCTACCGTAAAAAAGCTTTTAGCTTCTGGCTAGCAGATCAGTCTTGGCTTCGTGTTTCCTTCTCCTACGGTCTTTTTTAGTCAGTCTCGTTAAAGCACGAACGGTGTAGGCTACTTTCGTGAAGCGGTGTACTGCAGAGCTGGTTCAAAAAAGTGGTCATCGATTTTTTGCCTTGTCTTTTTGACTCTACTTCATATTGAAGGTAGATTGGGTCGATTTGTCGTTCGCTTGCTTAGACATGCAACAGATGGATCTTAAACACACACAAGCACAGACAGATGCACACCGCCACACATTGGCAAAATCTGGGAATACGGAAAAGCGTCAGCAACATAAGCCTTCAAATACAGCAAATTTGTAATGCTTTCTTTTGCCCACAGATAGCAACTGCTTGTGCTCTGGTAAAAGATTGCGAGTTTTCTTTATGCTTTCGGGTCGGCTGCGCCATCATTATTGTCGGCGATAGCGCCTGTACCCACGTGACGTCAGCTTGGCCTGTTGCCATTGTTACGATTATGACCGGCCACTCTGGGTCGCTGGCTTATTTGATGGTTGGTTTTAGCTTTCAAGTTGCCTGATATATCCTTCATGATGTTGCCTTCTTTAGCTTTCCACTTTCAAACTTTTTTATTGACACTCTTTTTTTTTATTTCTCCCTTTTTCCCCTACCGCCATACCCACTATATTCGAGTCTAAAGTAGCCACAAAAACCAGCCGCTGTATTGCGGGTCCGGACCGTCGAAGAACACCGTTGTTAGTGTCCCATGGAAATCCAATGCGGCACGCGGGAAATGAAAATCTTTATATCATGGATTACTAGGTACATTTCTGCAGGATAAAACAAAGATAGCCTTATAGACTAAGAAAATCAAACGGCTTCCGTTTCAAGCACACCAGCAGTTTCCAGGTTACACAGATATTTTTTTATTTGTTACGAGTCTCTCGCTTGCTGTCAATTTATCTCTGTTCCATCCTGAACACCTATAATGCTGTTGCTACTGCCGAACGGGTATAGCTCGGGCCGTTACAGCTTCTCCGTATTTTTTAACGATCACAAAACTTGGCCAGTAACAATAACGTCGCATTTCCTCATATCACGGTGTTATACCTAGTTTTCGATTTCGTTATTCCTACTGTTGTGAACCTGTATGTATATCTATATTGCGAAGGCAAAAAAGCTAGCTGCGATAATTATCGATGCAACGCTTTGGCAACTGCGGCAAGAATAAGTTAGCCTAGTAGACCTGCGGCGCGTCGCCAGCAACGTTGCCCCTAATCTATCTCAGGCGGTGTTGGCTACATCTGCCCTACCTCTGGCAGGACGGGCGGGCGGGCGGGCGGGCGTAATCGAAAACGCACAAGAATTTTGCCACAAGGCCATAAATGTTCCAAACTCATGGCTTGGTCCTATCCAAGTCCTTTCTTAATGCTCGCCGGACGATTAACTAGGGACACAGGAAGCGATCTGAATCAGGCCACACGATAACAAAAGTTAACAATTTTGTTCGGCAGTGATAACACTTGGGTAGCACTATTTCGGGATAACATATCTTGTTCTGAAAATGCTTATGTTAGGTAGCGATGGTGCCACCATGTTTCTGGGAAATGATGCTACTCTAAACGATGACCTGTCGGTTTTGGTGCATTTGTAAGCTGTCTTGCCACTACTTCAGTGCATCTTCTGTCCAAGGTGAACACTGCAATGAAGTGTAGGTGGGTGGGAATTAGCGTAGCTGATTCGCGCAACAAGTGCCCGTTGTTAGTTGTACACGTATGGCAGTACGATGCAGAATGTGTTGCCACAAGCAGACCCTGGTTATTCAAATTACTGGCGCGACGAACTTGTAGTTTGTGCTTCGAAACGACAACGAAAAAAATCTACCATTGGCGGTCGAAGTGTTAACTGTCGCGAAATATACTAGCGTAAGACCGCTAGTTCCTGCCTATCATACGGCTATGGTTAGAACAACTTGCAGGATGATTACGCTTCTGGCCGACTGCTTTTAGATATATTAAAAAGCAATGGCAAAAATGGCGAAAAGGTACCAGGATCTTGGTGAGGGTAGAAGTGTTTAGTACAGTTAATTATCTTCGATATGTTCATTATTCTAGTAAATATATACAATATAACCTGCACCAAATAACTGGTAAATAGTTATTTGGTTCAGCTTATATTGTGTATTGGCAGTACCCGTCAAACATGAACCGTGGCACAAAAGGTAGCTGAAAAATGGTGAGATAGTGTTATTGTGTCTTGTGTTGTTGAAACAGTCGATTAGTTATAAGGGGCGCGTGTGGGAGCTTATTATTTCACGCTCCCAATAATTAAAAGCGATATCCTAAAAATAGTTTTATTACAAGATGGACTTGGGCAGAAGACACTTTGCTCGGTAGATGTTACTATAGAATAGTAAAAAAAAAAGGTGATAAAAGGAAGCTTATAATACGATGCATTGTGGAATGGGGGGACAGAACGAAATAGGTAATAGTTGATTTCCGTTTTGGTAACTTTTGCCGTTTGCAACAGAAATAGGCACATAGGCATCATGGCCTATGGATTAATTTTCGCCTGGATATTTTATGATCTAATTGTTCTAATGCGGTCTAATGCTCTAAAGTGTAACATTTCACGCAGCAGATTAAGTGGGCAATGAGGTCATAAATTTGATACTGAACTTTCTATAGCATTATCTCTTACATTACGAAAACGTCTCTGTTCGTCTGGGCTGGGTTGTCAAATACCACACTCGTTAGAAACTTAACATCATCAAAGTTTCAAAAGGCATAGTAAAACACATCAAGACCCTACTAGATAATCAATGCTTTTCACAATGTTGTACGTAATTGCCTCAACGTGCAGCAAATTTCATTGCGTTTCTCACGCACTTTGCAATGCTGACTTACACATTATCTCTATCCGTTTACTCCTACGATCCAACAAACGGTAACTTGATTGTTATTTTTTCAGCATATCCTATATGGTTAAGAACGATGTAGAATAAGGAGCCTGCCGTAAAACGTGGCCTGAAATTCAAGCACTATATATATATATATGATGGAGATGCGAACTCGTACTAAACCTACCGCTCTCGATCGTTTAGGCCGTTTTCGAAGAAGAATCTTCTCACATCGCCATTAAACTTTATGCCGTCGAAAATCTAAGTCGAACTTGACTAGGCTCATGGGGCACAGTAGGCAGAACGCATACCAGATACGTGATCTACGGACAGGGCGGGATTGTAAAGCTCGTTGGCCCGTTATTCAACGATCAGATTTTTTTTTTTATAAACAGGCGATTTGTATCAGTGACTACAGCTTATATCTAGCTACTCAATGGATTATACTGCCAAACAGTGGCGGCTACTCATGGGACAGTATTCGTGGGGAAATGTACATTACCGTTAAGCAACATCAAGAGGAGGAATGAGATTGCGTTTGAAACTCGTTCATCGAACCGTTCAAATCGACTGCTCTCGTCTATAATCTGGCCGATTTCGTATGGTCGGCAGGACTAAATCGAAATGATGACTCTGCGTCTGTGAACAACGTCTACGATGTAACTTTCGTTCCTGCAATAATGACGTTCACGTAGAAGTTCACGTTAGTATGCACTATATATTGATAGTATATCTGTATGATGAATGGAATTGCTCGCCGTAGATCGCGGTTTGTCAAGATTGACTTTTTAAATGACAACAGGCATCTATTTTTCGTTTGCCGGATCAACAAGAATTTTCCACAAATTATTTTCTCAATTGCGTAAATTTCCAATAAACATAGAGAAATTCCTACCGAAGCGCAAAAAGTTATCGAGCCACCGGCTGGACTAACTAGCAGACGAGATCTACGACAGAGCGGCGATGATTCGGAGAACAGGACTCACATGGTACAAATCGCAGATCTCTATGGCCACCGTTGTTCTACTTATCCTAGGCGAGATTTCTGATCCATTGACATGCTTTGATCTACGTAGTCATCAAACCGACTCACTCTAATGGCCGTATGGTCATTTTTTTTCTTATTTTCGTGTCGTTAAAGCATGTGCTGATTGTTCGAGGGATGATCGATTATCGCCTTTATCTGCTACTAATTTTTCTACGGCTATATGCTTTAGGAAGCGATGCGGCAACGGCGGCCTGGTCGCTTGCGCTGCCGACAATCAACAGTAAACTCTCGCAGAATTATAGGGGGAGATGCAATTTATCTACACGACGATGACTATATCACCGTTATCATTATCCTAAGGATACGGCTCTTAGCCTACTGGAAACTACCAATAAGTTTTGCTCATTTTGAAAACAACAAGCTCAGAGGTACATACGATTGGATACAGCATCTGTTAAATGTAGCACACAAATCGATGGAATTACGAAGGGGGTGTTTGATGCTCGCTGCGACCCTGATGATGACGATCGAGTTTGAACTCAGTCGTGTCCTGCTGGAAAGTCGGGGAGGGGCAATAGAGTAGTCGTGCGGTGCTTCACTCCGATGTGTCCTAAAGAGTACGGTAGTTAATCAGTCAAATGAATTTGTGGAACTTTTCGCAGTAGTTTTTTATTCGTCACTATAGCTGTATGGTGACAAGGAGCGCTGTTCTGTGATTTGTCTGCAGGCCACTACCAAGCTAGTAAATATGAAATAATGCCTACTAGTCACTATTCCAGTTATGCATGTGTCCTTCATGCGGCCTCACTACCGAAAACTACACGGAACTAGCTTGGTAATACGTATTATTATTCTTCGATGTTATTTACTTCGTGATTTGATTATCAAGGCGTGGTAGTTTTGAGACTAATTTTCGCTTACAACGAAGATGGCGCACTTCGCCCCATAGCCATCGAATAAATGTAAGTCTACTGGAAGTATGGTGCCAGTACGTAATTGATTCAAACTTTTATATGAGACAGCGAGGGGGGATCGATTCGCCCCGTACGCCCTACGAACCGTCAAGGTATTTTAGGGAGTGTGCCAATAAAATTAGCCGTTTAGTGACGACTGCTTCTGCTTACATAAAGGTACGCATACCATCCATATGTTTTTGTGGATGGATGCATGCTGATCAATGGACTCCCCGACAAGGGTGACTTTGCTGTTTATGTTATCGAACGACTATCATTAAACTTAAGAGATTATTGGCTTAGGAAATCTTTCTTCACGAATAGTTTCCTGTTGCTGCGCCACCCGTTGCCTGAACGTCGAGGGCGCTACGGAGGCAGTCATCAACAGAAAGTAGTGCTCCAGGCACTCTGCGTGTTTCTAGTCCGTAGGTAGCTGCGCGCCAGAGACTCAGTCGCCAGTCCGGTCGTAAACCGACTTGGCATATAATATATAGCATAAGAAACATGAAATGACACGAAACAGAACAGTCATTTAGGTAGTCTATATATATTCGTTTCACGCAATCACTGCCGTCGTTTGTTGCGAATATTGGCATTGCGCTGTTATCAGATTGTAGAGTATTTCGAACTACGGTATTAAATCGTCTGACTGACTGACTGACCGACCGGCCGGCCGGCTGAGCCGAACCCTAACCCATAGTTGTGCCGTTGAACTGCTGTTAGCTTAATCTTGCGGTAACTTGTTTATCCCTTCAAGTTTGGACTTCGAAGCACGCGTCTACCTATTACGGAATCTATCGCAGCTCAAATATATTCGCGGTGTTTATTTCGAAGTCTGTAAATAAGGGTAGATATGAACTCGATATCGGTCATCACCGTTTGCGGTTTCCGTGAGAATCTAGTATATTTTCATCTAATTTTAATGGCAATCGTCAGCTTCTACTCTGTAATATGTTGTGTGCAGTATAACAGCCTATTGCAGTGAATGCTTTGTCTGTTCCACAATCTATTTTTCCCTTTTCGTCTCGCGAACTTTAATTCCCTCTGTACAGAGTAAAGCTGTCAGTTTCATTTGCCCCTCCTTCGTTCACCGTTTCGGAATCAGTCGCTGTTTTTTTATAATTCAATCCACCTTCCTTCTTGGTCAAAGGTGATCTGATCAAAGGTCGATTCAGCGGCGATGATCGTGGCAGAAAATCGTTGCCACGGTATTTGCCGTGAAGGATCTCCGCAATGATCAGGCGTGAAGCCAACTCTGAGACGCAACGAATGATCATGCATCAGTGCTTTTGGGAAGCTAAATCACGAATCGTAATAGATTAAGCGATGCAATAGCAGAAGGCAACGAAGGCTTCTAGGCTCTTGTAACTAATTGTTATATTATAGGTACCCGCCTTAAGTTGAAATGCGTACAGCTTCGTTGGTGACGAAGATAACAATAAAGGCAATGACACATCAAACAAGAAAAACAACCAAATTGAAACGTTCCGCAAATCAACTGGATTGGAGCCTGTGGAGAAGCTACGCTAACCAAACAAATGATAGACATTAATTGGCCATATTGGTAATTGTTCTTACGAAGTAAATGGCACAAAATAGTATGGAGACAAATTGTCCTACAATAGTTTAGGTGATCTTTGGCTAGAGTGTAACGGTGATTACTGAAAATTTTAACGGAATGACTGACACCACTGGTCCTGTCTATGAAAGTTTATTTACTATGTTGGCAATTTTGTGCTTCACATAGCCGGCTAGTGTTTGTTGTCGTAATAGGCTTTCTATCGATGAAAACAATGGTTCTATCGAAATTTCTTGTCGTGAGTTCTCAAACCGAGAGGTAGATATCGAATGCTTATCGTCTTCGTTAGAGCTAGGGCATCAGAAGTAAAGGCAACCGTTGTCGTAGGAAACGTACTACTTACGTACAAAATCTCGTACTTCCTCATAAATGACTGATTTCGAGGCGTGTGGCAAAACGTATCATTACATTACATCTATTACAACCTGACATTATTTAAATATTTAGACGTGTGGCATTGAAATGTATAGATGTCATTTGTGTAAGATAGCTTGAAAATGAAGATATCCTAAAGTAAATCTACCGAATCCTTTAAAGCAAATGTATACCGCATTCAAATAAATTCGACTCTTCTTGCTATCTAATAAACGTTTTATTAATTACTTTAATCTTCGTACTACGTAAAAGTCGATTAACGTTCGGTGCGCCGTTATCTCCTGCTCAGTACCTGCAATAGATGTACCGATGCGTCTATGTGGCTGTTTGTCGCCCACGGTTAAAACTGCCCAGTTATTACGATGTTGAACTGACGACTGAAGACTGGGACAGTTAGAAAACGAAGACGCGTAGTAATGGAAAGCGAAGAAGAGTATCAGTGGAGTACTCGTGAATGATCGTGTCTCTGTGTGTACCACAGTGATTTTGATTAAGTTTTTATAGCCTTATTTAAAAGTAACCGAAAAAGATACGTCAGAATGGCTGTCTGTCTATTAACAACGACCGGACAGGAAACCGCGTTTGTTGCGTTTTTCTTCTTTTTTTTCCGCGAAGCGTGCCAGACTGACAATGGTACCATTCAATTTTATCTTTGCCATTGATAATTTTCTATTTATAATTATATAATATGTACATCAACTAGCTGATGACGACTGAAGTACTTTTTATCTGCATGTATCGATTAGTACAAAAATGTTTCATGTTATTGTTGGTCATATGATTTGTGTTAGTTTATTCCCTCATTCAGAGTTTCCGTATGAAGCTCGCTATATCTTGTGTACCCACTCGAAGGTAGAAGTAAGTAGATTTCATTGACAACGGGTAAATTCATATAATGAATTCCGATGTATACTTCGCGTCGATAGAAACGTCAATGTGGCTTACTATTAATCTAAGAGCGTTCAATGGAGAAAATGTTTTTTTCTTAGTTAATATTAAGCATTACGGTGAAGTAGACACCCGCAAAGCGTTTTTGCAAGTGTATAACGAATGATTTCCTTTTCGTAACATTCTACGATTGTCTACGAACGTTTCACCGTGCATTGTATGTATTACGTGCAGATGCTGACATACCTATTATTCGTTCTAGTTTCCTCAGATTTAAACCACCTGGAGAATCTATCTTATTCCTCAGATGTTGTCTTGACATTTTTTTAAACTCGAGGATCTCGAGTCGTTGGAACTATACGTCCTTGACCAAGAGCTTCGGCCAAGTTGGTATTAGAGTACAAACCTGTCCCGTACGCACCTGATGATCGAATATAACAAATACGTCCTTTTTCCAAATCGACAGATTTATTTTTATCGGTAGAGAAACATATAATGAAACAGGCGAACGGGATCTACGCGCGGTTACTGTCACAATGGTGAATACGTCGAAAATATCGATTGCGACGTTTTCTGGTGGACGTTTTCGACGTCCGCAGGGCATACAACATTTACAGAACTATTCGCTATACATATTTCTACACTACCTTTCAAATAAGCCAGCTTGCCATGCCCAATCTTTGGGTCTTGTTTTTGATGTTCATTCCCATGTTCGCTGCAATCTAAATTAGCGCCATAATGTATTTGCCAACCGTCGGCACAACAAAATGAAACGAGGGCTACTAGCAAACCTAATTGATAATAGATAATGTCTCAGGCAGCGAGAGCATTAGCGGCTTTTGCCGTTCCTAATAACAATCATCATCATCATAATCAAAGCCGCGCCAAAAAACAGATTTCTTTTTACGTCTGAAATTACCTTTCACGCTCGATGGAGAGAGAGCGTGGCATGTTTATTTGGATGACCCTACGGTGGGACAGCTTTCTGTCATTTTAGTTATCGTTTCTAGCGGTAACTTCCGATAAAGCGAAACGTAAGCTAGAAACGCTTATCGGACGCGTACAACAAACCAGTGTGAAGGAATCCACACCATATGTACACCTTTCTTTAGTTCTGATGCTACTGCATTTTTGGGGATGGAAAGTAGTGCGCTTGTGTCTGCATCGCCTCGTGTGTTGTGAAGCTTGCAATTATAACGATTCAAAATGCCTCGTACGATCACGTCAAAGATACACGCGTCCGTCATGGACAGCAAGGCTTTTTCTAAGGTGACTGTTGCATACAAGTCTAACTAGATAATGGAACCTCAGTTGCCTTTGCGTTGGCCAGCCGTATCGAGCCTTAGGCATACGGGAACGTCATTAGCTCATTTGCAGCGTCCAAGCTGATTCAACTTCAAATAAACGATAAAGATGTTATCGATGATGATGATGGTGATGATGAGGTCAGGCAGAGATCTGGTCAGTTGATGTTGGAATGTCTATGATACCTTCAACGATTCGTCCGTTTCACTAACATCGTCTGTCAGTTATCCGAGTTGTTTTCTTTGTAGCGATTTCATTGTCAGTTTGTTACTTGGTTTTGATCAGACATTATATGAGACGTGCAGTGGCACAGTTTGGCTCTGACCATCAAAGGCTCGTCGCGCCTTAGAGCACAAGTCTCACATTCAGCGCAATGCAATTGATTTTAAAAAAATCCTAACCTAAAAAGGCTCGAAAGAGGTTTCGTCACGCTACGGTTGTTCCCCACAAATTTGTTGCCAAAACATTTTCGATTCATTGCATTGGCGAAATGCAGCATTGGCGAAAGCGACAGAACCATATTCAAGAGTAGCCATCGAGTGTTCGCTATTACTGTTTAAGCTTTGGTCTCTGGAAAGTCGTGTCAAACAAAACAGCCGCAAAAAACTGTGTACCATTACAAGGTCAGCGACAATTCCACGCAGCATCACCCTAATACGCGAATATTTTCGCCAATTCTATATACATATATAAGTGATCCGTTATCGTGCCAAACGAAAAATGCGCGCCAGCTTTTCGAAGAAACGCCTGCGTTCGCTAATCGATTTATAGCATGTTATAAGGCGTTAGAATTAATTGAGGCGAACGGCGCAACAGATAGCAGAATAGAAAAAAGCCACGCCGAAATTTTGCCTGTTCCCTATTCTTTAGACCTGGCGGAACCACCGCCTCGTAACGTCAATTTCCTGCAAAATGCAGCAAGCTATGGTGTAACTAGGGGGTACGTACGAACTGCGATAACTTGAGACGGGAGCAGATCTAGTGGCTATAGAATTTTTGCTTTTATGCGAAGTGCTATTTTTGAACTATCAGTTCAGATCGACTGGATAAGATATCCTGCCAAATAGAATAGGTAAAATATTTATGAATTTGCCATAAAAGCGCATTATTGGCTCGACTGAGCGGACTGTCTATGGGGGACTTGGCACGCGAGACGACGAACGATAGAAAATCCACTCAGCTTTATTGAGTAGGGCCGGTTGCAAAGAATCGCTCATATATATGGATACATCGACGCCTCTTTGGTGAGTCAAACGGTGGCGAGCCTAAACGTATCGATCATTACTGTTAGCCTACACTACTTTTAAATACTTACGCGTTAACTTGTTGTTGTTGCTATCTTACTTCGGCACAACTTTGTTTTTGAATGAAGCTGTTATCTATATAAATGTGTATTTCGTTAAAACTAATAAAATATACTTCTTTTATATATTGTATTCTACTAGATCAATGGAGTAGCCTTTCCGCGTTAGCGTGCGAACGCTCATTTAAAGTAATCCGCATTAAGGCAATACACTAGTTCCGTAAACTTTAAGCTAATGAAAGGGCAAGTAAGATAACTTAATCAATACTTCTTCTGTATTTTTTCATTGTGCACCTATAAGAGTTAGGTACGGTAATGTCGGCTATGGTGGAGGCTCGTGTTCAAGCCTTACTCCAAGCGCCATCCTCACCCCCTCGTCGGGTACCAATGCTCCCGACATCTGGCGGTGCCCAGCTCAATGTCGACTGGGAGCCTCAGAAAAAGCGATTCGCCTTGTCGCTTCAGTCGAAACGATCGCACCGGGCCCAGCTATCAGCCACGGAACTCCATGCCGCCCATCGAGATTTGCGAAAAGCCCAGCCCAGCCTTGACGAACTGTTTCCAGCAAAGCTTGCTCCAAGAACATGCTCAGAGGCCCAGCCGGTTTGCGCTGAACTCAAACGGTACCTCAAGGCAGTGCTCGAAGGTGAGTGCACAAACACCAAGTACGATTATTTCGAAGTCGATAGGAGTTTTATATTGAAGTTCAGTTCCGTACATAGTGAACTCATTTTCATAGGTTAAAGGCTCAAAGGTATACGATGGACCCAATTTTACACAATGAAAAATGTTTATGGTTATTAATACTAGACGTAAGATCGACCGTATGTGGCTGAATGATTCAAAGAAGTTAACCGATATCTATAATCGTCACTTTAGAATCCTAGTTAAACAGTATCTTGAGGGAATCTATTATGGTTTAACCAGTGGTCGTCGTCAAGTGCCATCCGTTTAGCAGAATTTGGCGGTACTACAAAGATAACTGTTGGAAAAGTTCATTAGCCTTTGTAGTTCTATTATAAGTACTTTTACACCGTATTATCGATATAACGGAAAACGTATTGAGTCTTCGATAGTTTCAGTTCCCGCTTAGTAATAGATGAAGTAACAGAAAACAGCATTTTTATAATGTGCCCACCTATCACGAGAGCACACAACGATAGGCAAGGCACACTCTGCAAAACCCAAATCTATGGTATATAGTCGTTTATGTCCAAGAGCGACAAGACCATAGAATATGTAACGTCTGTCTTCTAAGAGCATATCATTTCTTGGGTGAAGACACCGCTATATATATATAATATATATATGTTTTTTCTTAGAAAAATTATCAAACATGGCCACAGTGCAGTCTAGATCTGGAGAAAACTGTCATCATCTAACAACAGCAACTAAATCCCCACCAAAAGAATAGCGTACATATATTAACAATAGCAGGATCGGAAAGAACAACACAACTGATCGATCGCAGTGCGCGATCATGTTAGTTACTACGATGGCAATCGCATGTACCGCCTCCAGCTACGATCTGCTGTTTATTACAATGGACAATGAACTCTGTTCGTGTGTGTTCGTCCTAGACGAAGCATGAAATAACATGCATAGCTCGAGGGGTGGATAGCCACATGTAAAGTACCCACACACACGAAGTGTCAATACCGTTGGAAAAAAACACGTGATCCGCGCAGTCGTTCAAGCAACGAATGTATATGCTACAAAATATCCACGGGAAAAAAATCAGGAAATCGCGCCATCTGCCAAAATGTTCAATATCAAAGTAGAAGAGATAGTTATAAGACGACTGGGACTATAGGAAAACACAATCTGAAGTGCTACCAGTCCTCTAGTAGAAACGAAGCCACCAAACTGGACGGAAGATTCATCATTCCCTGTTAGCTATAATATGACAATGACAGTACTATTATTAATGGTAAATGCCGGCAAGGTAAGCGACTCGTCAAAAGAAGCAACCCCCCGCAAACGCATCGGAAGAACAAGACGCAGGATGTCGGGACCTTAGTATAATCGTATCCGATAGTACGATTCTCCATCGTAAATGACATACGTATGCGGCCGTAGCTCGATGTTACCTTGTGGCATTATATGGTATGGAATATATACGTAAAGCATATGAAGACACGATGGGCATGAGAAGCTTGTCGCCTTACGTAGTTTAGCCCCTAACAGATGAGGCTAGCGACTCCGGTCGACGGTACGCGTCCAAAATAGGACCACTGTCGATGCAGCTATTCGCTGGGGCGCAGCGAGGCGTCACTTTGCGCCCTGGGCGCAGACACGCTAAATCCACCGATGCAAGCGATTCAAGCCCCAAATCTGGTCGTCCCCCCGCGTCGCAGTTTACTGTCAGGTCACTGCTACTGCTGGCCACGAAGGTTCATCGAAAGAACTGATTTACCAATGGCAAAGCAGCTATACCGTCAGCAGCCAGGCCTGCTGCTGATGTTAGTCCCGTGTTCACGTTTGTTTTCTGGTCGTTAGCTGGAACGTCACGAACAAATAGAACGAACCAAGCAGCTGAGACGCAATGCGACCGACGGTATCGGTCAACTTGGTCAGCTGACTGACTGACTGACTGACTGAACAACCGTTTGTCAAGCAGCCTTTATCGTAAGATGCGGCAGTAAACTGGAATGCGATAGTTTGCAGGGGTTTCGCGTGTTTTTGTGGATGCCGGTGGCCATACTCTACGAGCGTTTTGCTAAGCGGGCGCGCGATAATTGCCGCGGCTGATGTCGGCTACCTGACCGCTAACGGTGTCGGAAGACTCTGCTCTATGATAATATGGTCTTCTCGTTGTCTTCGTTTTCCGCTTGGCAGCGCGCAACCGCACATGCGGATGCACCGTATTTTCAGGCGTTTCATTGGCTCATGCAATGTTTGCTGCTGAAACAAAAGATCTGTGATGAAGAACGGAGGGGGAAACGAAGTAGGAAGATTCGCATTGATGGAAAACAGAAATTTACTAACTACCGAAAATTCTATCGATGGCGTTGTATGGAGCAAATTGCCAGTGGTTATTGTACCAAAGGGGTGGGGTACTATTGAAAGCTGTGGTCGGTGTCTTACGCTGCCAGTTTAGGTAACAGCTTGTATAGGTGTGAATGGCTTTTGAAGATTGTATATGCGTGCTTATGTATACACGTCTGCGTGCCGATGATAAGCCTACAGTCAGAAAAAATGCAGCAAGCAGCTATCCACTTATTCAACTCATTTGGCTCGAAACACATTGAATGCACTGTGTTTCCTGCTGATTACGTTAAAAGCAAACAAACGCGGCATTTTTGAAAACAGAAGCAAGAGTGCGCACGGACGCCATAGGTCTATATCGTATCATCCTTTACCGGCAGATGATCAATTTTCGAAATTGGTCTGCTGTTTTGTCAGACACTGCGAAATATCATGTTTCTTTTTTTTTAGTTAATTAGATAATTAATAAAAATTCTATTGCGGATCTCGGGCATTGTACGTAGGCTGTCCCAGTGATAGCTTAGCGCGTAACGTGGTTGCGTGCAATATTGATTGCTGACTCGTAGTGGTCTAGGTTCGAATCCGGGCGTACGTACACTTCGTTGTGTACTCTAGGTTCGCCGTAAGATAATATGAAGCGCTTAATGGCGGTGGCGGACTCCGAACATTTAGCTTCAGCGGCAATAGCCGGCAATGTTTAAAAATGATGAAACTCTTTACGGTTTCTTAACTTAGTTTAAAGCAATAGTTACTGGCGATACCGAACGTCAGGCTGGAAACGTTGGCTTTTAGTAATAAAAAGCTTGCTAATACAGTATTATTTGTATACATATCTACATTAAATGTCTCCATGTTTTAGAAAGCTGGTTCCTGTTAACGTGGATTCGAATTCAAAGCATCTCGTATCTTTAAGTTTACTGGGCAACAAGTTACCGCTGCACAGTATCTATACTAATTCACTTGACGTTTTCAGAACTGTAGTTTGTTCTGCCTACTATACGCTAACTAAGCAATAATCGGTAATTATTTTCGGTTTCTCATGGTGGTAGGTTGCGGCGCGACGTTAGTTGCGTGGGTGTTTTTTTCGGCCGAAGATGTTCCGTATGCAGAACTGGACCCAGCGGTGGATGATCTTCAGCGAAGGATCCTGGAGGATGAACTTCGGAGAGGTCGCGAGGAGATGGCGCGGGTACTTGAGGCCAAAGAAACGCTTGGCCTTGATACAGCTTACACAATGGAGGACGAGGTAGTATATTACAAAAGTGATAAGAGAATACGTTGACGATTATAACGATCGCAATAACAGTACAATATATCGCTGTGGCCAAGGTCAACGGGCCTACTCTCCTCAAGGCACTTCCCTGCGCATCTAATGCGATTCTATTACATCTGGAATATCTGTTAGTGGTTAAATACCTCTGTTTCGACCTAGGATCTGTATTTTAGATACCAGGCCTAATGAGCTGTACTCCGCCAAATCAACTGTTAGCGCTAATTTAGCGATTTAAGATGTTGTTAGAGAGATGCCTGTTTACAAATCTAATTTCTCTTTATTCTTATTTTGTCATTTTCGTTGCGCTCTGCGACTTGCCATATCGTCAGGTCGTGACAAATATTAGTTTGGCGTTAGGAGAGCTCTTTAACTTTCGCATGTCGACGTTCGCTGAAATGCACGACCTCGCCACAGGAGGGCGAAGTACCCAGTGGAGAGAGAGAGCCGACTCAGCTCAACAGTCGGTGGACGAACTCACCATTGTCTATCACGCGGCCTGCCTGGAACTACTTGGAGGTAACAAAAACAGAAACATAATATAGGTATATTATCTTGTAGGTCTACTATCGGGGTGCTAGTAGGTTGGCTGTAACGAGATTTAGGGATAACCCTTTAATGTGATAAAGATAAATCGAATTTTCGTACTTAGGAACACTTAATGTGGAGAGCTATTATCCAGTTTATTTTTGAGAGATACAGTAATGAATTTATGAAGTAAATTTATTTTTCCCTTTCTGCAATTTATTGTTAAGTGTTCTACGATTTTCTGCATCTTGTGGCTGGGTGCAAAAAGTTGGTTCTTGTAGACGCCAAAGAAACTCAGAACCGTATCAGTCATAATTGTTTATATTAAACGCCTCTGAATAAAACTAGTGACCTGATTAGGTCTATTTAATAAGTGATAAAATAATCTGGATCGCAAAGAGCCCAGTTACTTGGCTCGGCGAATCGTATCCCATTTGGCCTACTTTCCTATTGTGAAATAATGTTTTCGTAATATCGTTCGATGTATTGTCAACTGGAGCACTATGCAGCATCTCCTCTCGCAGGTAGTGGCTTGATCATGCCGTAAGCCCTTTTCTCGGAAGGGCACACATATCTACATATGGGCGGTTATATATTTAGCCAATGTAATAGACTTACGTAATACGAACGTAATACTTACGAATACGTAATCGATCTAAGTATAAATTAACCAATACGTAATTTTGTCACATTTGCATTTATTTAACGGTTGCGACAGAAGAGCGTCATTGAGGATCATCATGAACATTGTCATAAAAGCCATACGAGTTATGCCATACGAGTTATGACAATCAAAGAATTATCGCGAACTCTTGTCATTTCCCATAGGCTACTGTAGAAACTATAAAAATAGCAATGCCCAGGTAAGTGGGTTTCTCTACGAGAGAGTCAAACGGCAATTACTGGGCGTACGTATGGGCTGTTTTAAGTGGGAATACGTTAGAAGTATGAACTTGTCACACAAGCATTCGCTAGACGAACATGTAACTTGCTTAAAAACTATACACTAGAAAATAATTGATTTAGTTAAATGTATTAGTTTTTACATCCTGAACATTAGGTCAGCCCGAAGACAGGTGATATCTATCGACGTATGAGCGATTACAGATGCATTGTCATCGATCTAAGAACCATAGCGACGTGGGCTCCGCCAAAAAGAGTTGTCCTCATATATTATATAAGGACATATTTTCTATTAAATAACAGTTGATAACAAACCCTCTAATCAGGATGAAGGATGAAGGACATACGACTATGTGAAATAAGTGTCGCTGAATTCAATCAAGCACCAAAGTGGCCATTTTGGTGTTTTCGAGCTGGGACTTTCGACGCAAAGTATCCATTGAGCGTGTCGATTTGTCAGTAACTGGTGATACAATGAATGGCAGGTATCATTCGTCAGACAAAAAATATATTGAAATGTGCGAGCGAGGTAGGAATAGTCGTTAGAACGAAAAGAGATTGATAGCAAAGCGATATTTAGTTGAAGTTTTTAGAATTTGTTGTGGTGGTTGCTGTTGCTGTTTCTGTTAACGGTGTTCACACAGGCCAGCGAGACCGGATGAAGCGAGATCTGAGAGCACTGGAGTTCAGCCGCTGGAGTGAATCACAGCAAAATCGTTTTCTGAAGCTGAGCGCGTTTGTGAGCCAAGAGCGACTTCGATGGATGATCGCCGTACGGACAAATAAACGGAGGTTGAAAATTTTTTATTAGGTCTTTTCTAATATTTTCCGTTGAGAGAGGACGACGACGAAAACCGAAAAGATCATCTATTTCTAGATTCTTCTGTTTAGAAGATGGCCGATGAAATAGAACAAGCGATTCGAAATACTATAAATAGAAAAGGTTTGAACTTAACTAAAATGTAGACCTTTCGAATTTTCTCGTGAATTTCGCTCCAACTAATGCACAGAGAATACGACCGCTTAGCAGCAGGCAGCAGTCCAAAGAAACAGGATCGAAGTTTAATTGAAGCCAAAAAAGAAATCTATGAACACCTTCTGAAGATTCTTCAAGAAGAGGAAAACCTTCTTAAGAAACAGAAGGCGATTATGGAGAAAATCGCAACGGGTGAGTTGACACTTAGGATACGGGTCCTATTATATTTTACTCATTCACATCCATATATCCCAGCCAGGCCGATCGTTTTGATCCTTACAACAGTACAGCCAGGAGAACAAACACGCCGAAACAACGTGATACATGAAATGAGACCGTGTAATGTATATAGTGAAAAATCATGCCACGTCATTGTTATCGCACGCGTTTATTGTATGCCCACTGTTGCCCATCGCTTCCAGGCAATGCTGATCCAGAAGATTTCGGCGATGCGACGGAAGATGTCGAGGAGCTTGAACTTATCTATGGCAAGCGAAACCTTCTCAATATGTCAGAAGTAGCGGTGCGTCTGTCGTCGATCTATCAGCGAAGAGCGATCCTGCGAAATAAAGTGCAGACATGTCAGAATATCCTGAACAAGGGGGGCTTCAGAGATTCTAGTGTTTCGTTTACTGGCAGACTTAGCGGTGATTCGTCGGTACGTTGAAAACGATGGAGCAGAATGGACAGGAGATCATAAATATCCTGAAAAACGATCATCAACGAACGAATTCGGCTTCTCCGTACTTTTTATATTTGCTTACGATAATGGATCTATGTATGAAAATGTCTTGCCTTCAGGGATGACTAGAATAAACCAGTAATTAACTTAAATAAATATTTAGTTTGTTTCCATGTAATAGCATTAACGATATAGATTTAACGAGAATTGTTTTATACGAGGTTAATCGTCATTACCCATTTCTGGTTCGCCTTGAGTTCGAAACACCTCCTAGACATTGAAACTAGATCGAATCTATAACTTAACTGTAAAATTACATGTTTGATTCGTTCTTATCATGACAGGGTTGTATGTCTTTAGCAACGCCTTCAGAAGAGGCACTTGAGGCTGCACGACGCAACACGTTGGCTGCACTTCGGGAATACCATCGAGGGGGTCATGGCTCCGTTAGTGCAACCCCAATGCTACGCTTGGACACAACCTCCCGTGGTCTCACCCATATGCATAACAACAATAACAACAACAACAACAACATAAGCGATACATGCATTAACCAGGTCAAGGCAGCGTCACTGAGCTGAGGTCGGCCCGAAATGAGGCTGGGGAGACGCTACAGACGAAGGCTGATCTCGATCGGTTCTTTAGGCTAATCCACAGAAACAGATGCGAATATTGAATAGATGATGATATTCCCTCCGAGAAAGCGACAAACCTCCTAACGGGTCGCAGAGACCTCCAATGACGGGGGATGGGCGTTAATGGCTGAGCCTGATCGTCAACGGCTCCGTTTGGGTATCCCACCCGATGAATTAGCGGTACTTCAAATGGCTACGGAAAATGGATAAAACCGTTAGGCGTCGTGGGCATTGCAATTCGCAGAGAACTTTTTTAGTCGTAGGTTTGTGTGTGACATTGGCACACCGATACGAACTGGACGCGTCTATTCGATAGCCGAGGTGCTTTGCCTAAGGTTCATGAATGGTTTGACCGACCTACGCGAAGTAGGCAGAATGCTAGCATTCAGTTGATATAGCTGACAGCTTCCGTCCTTAGAAACCTAAATGACTCAAAGAACGACGAGCAAGATGGAAAAAAGACTATGAAAAATAGTTTGTCGACAACAGGCAGGACAGCAAATTACTGATCCTACGCACATACTTTTTGCCCAGCATGTGTCTACACCCCCCTCTTTCTACATGTATCATAGAAATGATGTTAGTAAAGCGACGACGACGACGACGACGACGACGAAGACGACGACGACGACGACGACGACGACGACGACGACGACGACGACGACGAAGTTAAGTAGGGAAAAAAGTCCATCATTTTTTTCTAGTACGATAAAAACAACCTAGTCTATGAAGGTTTAAATAGCTAGATCGTTATTGAATTTTATCACATAAAACGTAAATTCATTGGTTAATACTTTCAGTCAGAGCTGTCATTTGCCGCCGGCTGGGTTCGGCACGAATAGTTATCTGAAGAATCTAATTACATACAGAAACAGATGCAAAGGTATCGCTGAGACAAAAGTTTTAACTGGGCTAAACTCGCAAAAGATCCCTAGATAGACGGATGGCAGACGCGCAGCTCGAGCGGGTTCGGGAAGCCGGAGCTAACTTTAAAGCCAAAAGCTGGTTGTGACGAGAAATGTAAATGATCATATCAGATTTGCATGGGCATAACTGAATAGAATAAACCAAGTAACAATGGCACTATGACGAGAAAAAATTGACGTAAGCAGCAGTGTTTGAGTAATCGATAGCTGCCTGCTTACGTCCGGCCGACAAAGGAGAATGGATGCACGTTTAATATTCAAGACATGTCAGTCTGTTTGGTACAAGCTAGAATGTGATGCAAATAGGAGTGGATAGGGCGATCAATAGGTCGACCTGTTTCTTTTTTGCCGACATAAACAATGTCAACGCGGTCGGCTACGATAATCACTTTGTAATGGCTGAAGTTCTTCTGAAGAACAAAATTTTCATTGTCGGGTGTGTTTTTTTCGGGCGTCATTATAACGATGCACACCATGAACCTATGCATCACTTAACGACTAAGTGCGAAAATAACCGAACGAAGTCCTGTAACCCGAATAATGTGGAGACCCTTATCAAAAAAAATCAGTGAGTGAAGGTGACGACTATACCCACATAGTTCTGTCATTATATGTAAGCTTGACACGTTCACGTCTCAGCGAGAATACTGCCTCTTCTTTACGTTATGGTAAAAGTCGGGAATGATAAGAACCCATCCTGACGGGTGACACAAATCTCATGTTGACTAAGAATTGGCCTGAAAAAGAGATAGACAGACAGATCTGATTGAACCCGTTTTTTTTTTTGTTTTTTTATTGTTATTACCATTAAGAAACAAACAAATGCAGCGAATTGTTATCACGGTTAGCCACTAAAATGTCAAATTATGGCTAATGTAAGAGAGCATTTTTTGTATTTTCGGTGCTCATCTGGACTAACCAGCGGTGCTATTCCAATGTTGCATTCTGCATCGGAGGAATCTTACAGCGAGGACTGTTTAGTATAGATAATATTGCCGATCAACCGCCTGTATATAAAATACATAGACATAATTTCATTACCTATATATATATATATATAAGGAAGAATATATATGATCCATAACAAATTGTATAGCTTTGTTTAACAGCATTTTTTGGGACAGTGAGAAGACAGAGATTTTTCCAGGTGAAGTTGTTGCTACGCACTTTCTTTCAGCTTTTAATATATTTTGTATAATACACCTGTATCTTTCTGTATGTATGATGTTTTTACCAGAGTGGCATGTTAGTATTATTTTTTAATTTTAATAAATAAACATATTTTTCAACATGTTGACATTGCCTTTTATATGGCGTTAAATAAGTCACCCGATTTATTTACCTTTTCTTTTTCACTGGTGATGAATCCTCTCCTGTATTTAGGCATATGTAGATTTCTTGGACGTTCTTTTTTAGCAGAGAATTAATTTAGAAAATTTACAGGCTCAGATGGAGACGTAAATCAGTACCGAGTACGTTCACGAACACACATCCACGCACAAAAAGCAAATCCAAGATGTAAGAAATTGACTAAATAAAGTTTATTTACAGTAAGAAAAAAGATCTACTTAAGTCAGCTGTTTCTTCATTTCGATCTTAAGGTTGTTTAAAAAAAAAAAAAAGTAGTTGTGACTACAGTATAACTCGGAAAGAAGCTACGTACTGTTCTTGGCCGCAGGGCAAGATCTTTATTTCTATCTTGCCAATATCGCCGTTCGAATAGCCGACACGAACCTAGTCTTGCTTAATTACGAGGCGTCTCTTATGATCTGCACGGCGTTCATCACGGACAATCATCTCCCGTCATAGTAGTAAATTTAATTCGATGTTTTTATTCTGTTCAGGGCGGAAAACCGCCGTTTTCTATAGGGATATAGCGTGCATTATGGGGTGTCTGACCACAGCTGTTATCTGAAACGACGCACAGATGGACATATGGATTGATGAGAAATCCGATGGTTCTGTGAGAGAAAACAGAATTAATTCTGATAGTGTAATTCTAGTGAACCCGTACGAATAAGAAACGTTGAATGAGGTGACGGTTTCGGCCGAAAACATCTTTCACTTTAGGATGTTTTTTAGGGTTTGCACAAGTTCAGCTTGAGACTAGAGAACGTTCGCTGACGTACTCGGTTGACATAGACGGCTGTATACCTGTCTTCTGTCTTTCGTTGTTTTTCTCTTCTACATATACCATTATAATACGGAATCAAGATCCGTATGTAAGTAGAGAAAACGACTTTATATCAATTAGATGCCAAACTTATATCGATGGCTGATAGGAGATTCTGTGGTGTTTGTGTACCATTGTAAAATAAAAGGCCAACGTAGGTTCATGCATACTCGACCCTTTGAAGATACGTAAATTAACAGACAAAGGTTACGATCTGGTCGAATGGTGTTCAGAGTTTAACAGATGGGTTTGGGATGCCAACCAAATTCGCTGGTTACGTCCCAAAAGCAATCTTCAATTATTTCGGCTACACGCCTTCGGTTGGATTATCCATAAATTCGATCAATTTCATTTATAAGAATTTCCTAGGGAACGAGCTAGGTGTCGTACATAGGATACAGGGCGGAAAATGCGAACAACTAAGAGTATGGATAACGATATAGTAAGGTTTCAATAATTTATTGCGTACATTGTACGCCTTGTACGTATGCCTAATCAGGGCGAACGATTAGGTTTGCCATAGGACAGGCTGAAACGTGTCTTTGTCCTTAAACGATAGTTTAAGCATCCTGTAGTCTAGTGATACTATGACATCCTTCAGATACGGCCCGTCGAGGCTGAATACAAGCGTAATCTTTCCACGCTAATTCAAACTGAACTTCTAGACGATCTGGATAAAAATAGACTTTCTGTAAAAACAAAAACTTTGTATCAGCATGTTGTTCCTACTTACGCTGTCTCTAAGGCAGTTCTGAATACTAATGGCGTCTGCTATGTTGATCGAATTGGACGAATAAGTTCGGTTCCAGAACAAGTAGCAAATCTAGATTTCTCTTACTTGGGTTGCTTGCTGTCGCGTAAATGTCCCTCCCTGCTAAATTAAGTTGTTGAGCTAAAGCTGTTGTTGAATCCGTGACCTGTTGCAGGCATTTCTACGATCACCTGCTGAAGAAGAGATATATATTGTTCTGGTTGTATCGCATAAAAAGAGGAAAAGCACTGATCCAGTTAGTAAGCATCTGTGCTCCTTTATCGCCGTGAGCGGCAACGCATTGAACGGGGGCACTGTGATCATCTTGACGAAGATTTTCAACGAAGAATATAACTTAATTTCATTGCGATGATTCCCATAGAGACAACACCATTCTATATCAATGATTAATTTGTTAGCTGTTCGACTTAGTAGTAGATAGAACCTGTCTTCGGGAATAGTGTACCGGTATTTGTCATTTGCGGAGGTTTCGTTCGACAACGTATTCGAGAGGATGCCACAGGAAGTCATTTTGTAGGTTCTGCCCCTAAGAGGCGGCGGGAAGCTGGTTAGATGGATTCCGTCTTGTTCTTACGAGAGCATTTAAAATAAAAATTAGAAAGACTCACTTTTAAAATCGAATGCCCTCAATGGTTTATTACGGGCAGTATTTCGTTTTTGCTATTTATCGGCTCAGTTGAGCCTTCGTTGAGGGACCCGATGTAAGCATTACGCCTGCACAGAGTAAAAGAATGTAACACCTGTTCGGAGTAATTTGCTACGAGAGGCAACTAGGCACACTTTGGCCAGAACAAATGGCGAGAAAGTTTCGCCGAGAAGAGTTCTTCATTTTTATAGCAAGATCCTAGAGCAGCTATTGATTGCGAAATTATATTTTGGCCAAAACTGAAGCTTCTCAGTCAGTATATATTTATACTTGTACCGTAGAAAATCCGATCGGGATGAAGAAAATCAATCGCTTCAAGGAATATTGAAAAAATAATCCTGCGTAGGATCGGAACAAAAAACGTAATTTGAACAGGAACATAATTAAGGTTATATCAGCGTAATATCAAGCTTGCCCCAACGATTCTCAGGACTTTCCTTTCAAATATAGTGAGGACGTAACGGATTAGCCTTCATATGTAACCTCGTAACAAGCTGCTTTATTCCATTTACAATGTTGCCAGAAAAAAACCGGACTTCAAAATCCTTCCTTTGAATATAATTCCGATTATGCCTTAATTTGCATATAGTGCATTTTTCAGCTTTTCCTGATCGTAGGCATAATCCATGGTAGGAATTCCTTGACGTTAGAATAAACGCCTGGATAGCCTTCCCGTGCGCATTGATAGCCGAAAGAGACTACACCAACCAAGAGTTTCCGTCCGATTTGGTCGTCGTTAACCAGTGGGCCGCCAGAGTCATTTTGACAGGCATCTTTGGAGCCATCTCTTGCACCTGCGCAAAGATGCGTCTTAATTATGCCCTGAGGTAAGGCCGTGTCCATTTTCGACGAGTAGTTAGCTTGACAAGCGGCGTTGTCGAACACTTCGAGGCTGGCTACCTGCAGTGTTTGGCTAGCATGCTCGCCAAATGCCAGCGATCCGAAGCCAAGCACTTCGACGCCTGCTGAAGGCTCATCTACCCCAATGGGATCTTCAATTGGTAAACAAACTGGCTTAGCGTTTGGTACGGATCTAACTAACGTGACGATCGCCACATCATTATAAAATTTTCCGGGTTGATAGTCGGAATGCATAATGATCTTTTCGATGTCGACAACGGTCTCTGGCTGTTGAAGGTTATGAACACGAATCAATGCACTGAACGTCGTTGGGTCCTGTCGAATATCAAAGCAATGAGCAGCAGTTAACAAGTGGCGTTCGGTCACAAGCGAAGCTCCACACCAAATAACGTAGGGGCCATCTTCGAGGCCTTTCGCAACAATCGGTACCATCCAAGGGTAGATTTTTTCGGCGTTGTTGCCCCCAACGACGCCCGGAGCAAAGTCTTCCCTCTTGGATCGACTTTTTGCAAAGTTACTACTCAACCCGTTTCCTACATTTATTTCACCGCTGTTATTAATCACATTCGAGCCTTCCGCAGCGTAATAGCCTCTGTCCCGCTTTTGCCGCTCTAAGACCAAGCTATCACCGTTTCCCAGAGTGATCACGTGAGGCGTATTGATAAACTGTCTGCGGTAAATCACCAGCTGGCTTTGTGACGGTGACCCATTAGCATATCCGTTATTATAGCCATTGTTGTAGTTATTATTGCCATAGCGATCTTCACTGTTGACGTTTCTGTTATTCGAGTAATCACCACTACCTTGGCCGTAAGCAGCATTATCGTTAGAAATATAGCTGTTTTGTGAATAGCCATTTCTGAAATAGGTGCTACCAAAACGTTGGTACGACTGCTGCTGTTGTTGTTGTTGTTGTTGTTGTTGTTGTTTCAGTTTATTATGGAAACTCTCGGCACCAGTCTGGAAGTACCCGTTGCCACTGTACGGGTATCCTCGTTGACGGAGGATCTGCGCATTTATGGCGTCTTGCCGAGCGATATTACGTGCCTCTTCATCTTCGCTAGGGAACCTAATCGATAGTCCCTGCGTATTCAGTTGTCGCCCATGGCTGCTGTTGTTAACCGGGGGTTTGTAGTTAGTATCCTCACTGTTGTGTGGTGGTAGTGTCGATCCAGCGGGGATGTTTGGAGGGAAAATGTTTGGAGGCGGGAACAATGTAGGTGGCACATGGGGATTAGGAGTTTGTTGCCGTTCGCCACCGGACGGAATTTTCTGATCTACCCTTGGACCGCCGTAGCTTTTCACTGGATAATTGCCTTGTCTTATATCGTCTTTACTTGGTGGCCGTTTAGGATGACTAAGCGGCCTTGATTCTAACAGGCCACAATTACCCCAGTAGGTGTCTCGGTACCACTTGTAAATGGCAGGATCTACCTGACGGATCTGCTCGACGAAGGAATCCCTAAACTTGTTTATGTTGGTCAGTCCGTTATGTTTCTGCCTTTCAGGAGTTGCCGGCAAATGGGGCGGCGTATCCAGACCATGCAGGACATCTATGGTCAGCACTGTCAATGCAACTAGTGGCTGGGACGAGACACGTAACATTATGGAATCCTTTTATTTCTGAACGCTCAGTAGACAGAATCACCTGATCCTATAAGATCACTTCTTTCAGCGTATCTTTATTCCTCTATATTGCGACTTTGTAACCTGGATCCTGCGCAGCGCTACGATACTCTGGCAGAAGTTCGCCAGAAGTTTACGAGACAACTTAAAGTGATTACCGATTAGCCTTATTGCTTTTGCAAGGTTTAGATTACAACACTTTTACGCTCTATGTACAGCCACCTTAGTGGCTAAGAACTGCCTTAGTGCAATCCTTGCCTTCGCTGGTGTCTAGCGTATAGCGGAATTTACTAACACGAGACGACTCAGTCGCGATCCGCCACGCTTCAAACCAAAGCCAACACTACTGACAAACAGACAGATTCACACAACTCCAGATGTCGTTGATATACGTATCTCTTTGTGTCTTCTGGAGGTCGTTACGATTGAACACCGCATTGCGGTCACCACACGGCGGCAAATGATAGCCAACGGCGATGGCAAGCAATTATTCGAAATAAGGAATTGCTCGAGCCCTTGACGTTTGATGCTTGGTGTTTGCCGCTCACTAATAGAACTGGTGCAGCTGAAAAATTAGTTTACCGTATGCTTCTTACCCACGCTTTGCTACCGATATCGCTACTACTTCGAACGTTAGATTCGTCGAATAGAACAAACACGAAACGCAACGCAGCAGCTTAACCGGTGACACAGGCGTATGAGAAAAATCACTACCCGACCACAAATGATCGACGATAGCGGCGACGAGCGCTCTTCGACACGAGCAACGACATGGTCAAAAAGACGGAAAGAGAAACAAACTCACGATTACCCCTTACAGGGAAACTGCGTATACGTACAGGCCCCCATCAGCAACGGCGTTCTATGAGAGGTCTGCCATCCGCTGCTGTACGGGGAAGTGCGGTGGCAACGAACAATTGGCCGGCCGCCCAACCAAAAAGGTACTGCAGCGGACGTCACACTGTTGTTATCCACTGCCGCCGCAGGTAATGCACCGACTGCTTCTGTTGTGGTGGTAAAAATAAGCGAAGGGGCATCCGATTCGCGCAACAGTCGCAGACGTTCTTAAGCGTCAGTAAGCGAACGATTCATTTGATTTGGTTACGAAACTGCGGAGTTCGAATGGTTTCCGCCCAACAACGTTTTTGGTGTTTTCGCCAGTGGAATATTATGCAGCAATTAAACGAGCGGCGAGTGCAAAAAAGAGGATATAGCTGAAGAGAGGGACGTGGCCGGCAGCGCAGATACCATATTATCTCACGCTGTGACATCGACTTTAAGCTCAATGGGCCTATTCAATCGTCACCGCCAGAGAAGACGCGAGGCATGCACCATAACCAAGCCAAAGCCGAATAAAAGGCCTCAGTAAAACATGGTGTTTTTTGCTTTTATCGGGATATGATGTTGCAAAAAGCCAAACGGGAAAGAATGAGTCGTATTCAAATAGAGAGAGCGCCAGCAGCGATCACGATTAACAACAGAAACATGTCTCAAACGCACAGAATGGACGCAGAACCCCTCAACCCTGTTTTTCGTCGTACTCGAGTGTCTGTCTTGGCATAGATATAACAGTGATGTAATCAGAATTGCAGTCCGTCATTGGTAAACTCAGCTAAATCCAAGAGCTGGGAGACGAATGAAGTGAGGAGATTAGATAGCTACATGATCAAAGCCAATCTGTCTCCTCAGCAAAAACAGCTCCACGCGGCATGTAGCAAAGCTTTAGCTAGGGGCAGGCCGGTAAATCGATCAGTGGTATGAAACGTAGGTTATCTTCTTACTCTAATTACTATTAATTTAGTGGTTACAACAGATTTCTATTTTCTAAACTGTGAAAAGCTAGGGCTAAACGGACCGTAGATTAAAACGGAAACATGTTAGACAATTGCAACAAGCAACCATATTTCGTCTCGCTAAAGTCATATATGTCAGGTAGGATACAAGACGACAATAGGATGTCAGGTACACGACCTTTTTCTGTCCTTCATAACTGTCGTCTATACCCAAAGTTGTCTTGGACGACAGTGCTTCTCTCTGTATCTAGGTGCTTTATTTTTCTATGAATTTTTCCTGTAGCTGAATTGCAATATGTTATAGTTATGTGTCACTAAAATTCAATAGCTATATACCCAACAGATCAAAATCACCATACGATTTCCCCATCGGGTAATCGAACCCCGACCGCCCGCGTTAACCAATAATTAACCATAGTGGCGTAACCTAAATGACATATAATACAATACAAAACATGACCACTATAGAGAAATGCATTCTATCTAAACACTAATTGAATTGATGGATACATTCATGCCATAATTGTTGCAACATAACAAGTTTCTATTCTAATAAAGCGTTTCTTCATTGAAGTCTATGCGATTATTTCTACATTCTGGCTCCATCTTGCCTAGCTGAAATGTTCATCATAGCCCAATCGACGCCAGCGCCACTGAAGAGATTTATCTAGACGATTAATTTACCGAATAGTCCTTGTAGATCGGAAGCCGTCATTCAAGACTCCACTAAAAGTAGGCTGCTTCAATCAATTTTCGGTAAATCAAGACCGAGCTCATTGGATAGTCGGGCACACAACATCGTGAGCTGGGCATACGATGTTATTGTGACAGCGGCGCACCCATGGACAGGACCATTGTTTTGGCGAGCAAATATTCGTGACTTGATTCGAAGCTAGGGTAGTTGCTTTACTCGGTCGATCTAATCGAGATAGTATCAATGAGGACGTCATTTATTCGCCAGCTTTCGTCATATACAATTACACTATGCTAGATTTCTAATTTCGCAGTTATTTTTGCTAAAAAGGACTCAAAAATGTCGAAAAATCGTAAGGCATTGTTTGACATATCGACGATGCCGATAAAAGCCGATTAGAATAAAACCTTAAGTTCTGCTAATCGGATTGATATTGTGGAAAGCGGCGCTTCACTCTGAAGGTGATGAGAGTAGGCGCAAGAAGGGCCGCGCAGTCATCGGCAAGGCGTATCCGCAAACTGTCCTTCGAGAAGCTATGCGTGCTGCTTAGATTTCTTCAGCGTTAACGGAAACAGGCCGAGCGGGCTTTGCTTCATACATGCAGTGTACGGGCTGCCGATTACCCTGGATAGTTTTACTACGAAGTCAAATTGGTGGCCTTTTATCTCGAACGGTACCAGCCTTCTGCTCCTTTCGGTCTTACGTGTGCCATGTGGTGAAGTATGACTTTGCGTCAAACTCAAATGCTTACGGAAGCTGTAGCGCTAGATTCGCAGGCTGTGGAGTCGAGTTCAGACAAGCTAGTCGAACCCATGTCCACATCAGGTAAACTTGCCATTCCGATGAGAAATGCTTGTGGAATGATCACACGAATAGCAGCGCCAGTTGCGCCAGAAACATATCACAATGCCAATATAGGACGAGTCGTTCTCCACTCGTGTCAAAGTCGATTAAGGCGGGAAATACAGACGAGCCTATACTTTTCGTCTTCTATTCATTATTTCGTTCATTCTGTCTTGGATAGTTACAAAAAGCCGATCTCTAACATGATGGTGAGTTTTGCTTTGATCGATAGCCGTACGTTAGGATAATCGATTTCGCTAATCCGCTAAATGTTAAAGGCGGAAGAACTTGCAAAACTTCGTAAGAACTTCGTAAATTGCCTCCTTCGAGGCTCACACCTCCGAGCACACTTGATTCTGATGGTGTTGCGAAGTCACTATTTTCTGATGTTCTTTAGTGGGAAGGGTTGCATGGGACACGAGAAAGCTTCATTGATTACAACTCCACTAGTGAAACTCGTCCTCGAGCTTTTCGTGGTGGGCGGATACTTTGCCGAAAAACCAAGCGGATGTAAAGCGAGCAGCTAAAAGGACATGAATGAGTATGGAGCTTCTGGAAAGAGCTCGCGGTCTCTCTGCTTACTCTATCTAACAAGGGGTCAAAACCCTCGATAGATGAATAGGATGCTTGTGGTGGTATTCTTGAGAAACGACACTGCTTGTATCTTGGCTATTTCAAAGGGAACTACTGCCTTTGCCGGACAAAAATGCCTAGCTGTTCTAAGAATCAAGAGTTCTAGGCGACCTTGTAATAGCCTTGAAAGGTTTGCATATTTGAAAAGTCCAGAACAAATAGTACATTTTCGTTTAATTTTGTACTTTTACTTGCAAAGCCTGCGCAACATCTGAAGTTGATACGTAGATTGGATACGAGACGCGAACATGACGCGTCAACACATGGTGACATTGTACATTTGTGCAAGAAAGCCTGTGCGATTTTACGAATCTTGCCGGCGCTGTTAATTAACGAATTAATTAAGGCTGACAACTGTTTTAGCCAGAAATTTGCTTTATGGACGAGTGATGCAATCATTTTCTGTACTGCTTGTACTATTCTACATGTAGGAGCAAACAACGTCGCGAATCAGTTCAGGACCCCATTATGATTTTCCTTCGCTGCATAAAAATCAAAGTCATCCACTGACAGCGTCGAAAAAAAAAAGTAGGTTGAGCTGGGATCCTGTCCCTCAGGACAAAAGACTTCACTATGATTTATCTATGTTTTCAGCATTAGCTAAAAGTGTGGTTGGGCTGAAGTAGAAGCACTGGAATTTAGCTCGATGATAAAACTAACACAATAAGCTTCATTCATTGGGTTATTCTAGAATGCAGACCTTCTGCTAACTGCACAGATTTACGTTCGACACAATACAGCGTCTTTTATATATACATATGTATATGTATACAATAAACGAACAGGAAATAGGTACGTAATAAAACGAAAATAATAGCGTATTGTTTAAATTGTCTTGCAACTGTAAAATTAACTTATCTCAACACCCCCCTTCTCTCTCAGCTCTGTTTCTTCGTTTTTGCCCCTTGCACCCCTACCCCTCGTGTTCTGCCGGCATAAAGACAAATCGTTGTAGAAGGTCAGAAACGACCGACATTCTGCGAAAACAACGAAAGATAACTTCAGACGTTACGACTTTAACGTTATTGCGAGAGGCTACCGTAGATTTAGATTGATTTCGCTTTTTGTCCCTAGGTCCAGAATGAAGTAATCGAGAAGGCTGAAACCCTAGGAGAATACTGCTGCGCCATAAAAACACCTGGTTGTATTTGTTGGCGGAAATTGTTACCCTGGTTAGGAATGGCCGGTGGTTGATTCAGTTGTTCTTTATCTATTAAGTTTGGAGGGTGGCAACCATTTTTGTATTTTATTCATTTATTCTCTAATTGACAGGTAGCGTTAAATGCACAAGCATTCATCATCAGCCGTTAGAAGCTATTCGAGGGACATTTGGGAGTGTGACTTAGCATTATAACGCTACAATATAGTTATTCGGCCAGGTTCGAATTGTCTGTAATCTTTTTAATACCCCATAACGGGTTGGGGATTATGGGGTATTAGAAAGTCCCTTTTTGCCAACCAATATGCATTAGTTTCAGGAAAGCGGCAATTTATTTCCTCGTTCAAACTCTAATTGCCACATGAATTGCGAGCCAAGAAAACGATGATGCGGCTGCAATAAAAGAGAGGAGCAAACGACATATTAACTCACTCACCTGTGATTCACGTCTAATCTGTAGAACGGAGCTGATGACCATAGTAGGTTATTAAGCATAGGCGTATGAATTGTATAGCGTTCGTATGCTCGAGCCTGAATGGATAAATTTCCAACAGCATCGTTGTCAATTGATGAGTCATGAACTCGGGACCTGTGTGAAGCGAGGAAATCCAAGGCTTTTGTCCTGCAGCAAGTCGGCTTCCGAATAAACCCCCATTATCGCATCGAGGCTTTCGAACCCCCTATAGAATCCTTTAGCGTTCCTCAATTGAAGTTCCTGCAACGACCAATCTAAACGTCTCTCGCTGAGTGAATGCAAACACCATGCAGGGTAATTCATGCATCTGGCACACCAGTCTGTGGCAGGTCCCCGTCTGTCTGTCTACCTCCCTTTAGATCTCTCTCAGGCTCCAAGGGGTTTTTGATAAGACTGGTGCCACACCGGTTCCTAGTTCAGCATCGCCCCCGATACTTTCTCACCCGACCACAGAACCTCAACGCTCCTCGAACAGTTCGCGGCGGCTGGTTACCTCGCGGATTCTCCCTCATAAGCAACGCCAATATTCTTTCCGGTACCTCACTACCTGGCCTTCCCTGCGTAAGCCCGCAATACAACTTGCATATCGCTTGAGAGACAAAAAATTCGATGGTCGCTCGACGCTTCGGCCGACGCTCGTTACCTCGTTACTCAAATGCTACTGAATATTGCTCTATGACGAACCGACGTGAAGAAATGCTTAGAGCCGTTACAGCTTTTCCTTATAGTAGCCCTATGTTAGAGATGGGTAGTCACTCTGTGCTGCTAACGTAATTCTAAAACATTTTCGAGTCTTCTTTTCTTTCTGTCGCCGCCTAGCTCCAATTAACGGTGCAAGTAGAAAGCAGAATCGTAGCGAAGAAATGACTTCACTGAGGGGAAAAGTAATGAGTTTAATACGAAACGAACACCTTCGGACTGAGTCCCATGACATTGTTGCTTGTTTGGTCTTTTTTCTGATAAAATCCATCTTTTATTTCTACATAAAAATAAAATTCGTTAACCAATTGTATCGAAGTAATTTTTGTTTTACAGTTTCTAATAAACAGGTGATGCAGGCCAATATTGCTGTTGCATGTGAGATGGCCCTTCACGTATTTTGCACTAATAGATATATATTATTTTTGTCGATCGTGCATGATAGGAATCGTGGCGTTGATTGATTTCCGCCTTGGTAAAAAAAAATAATTTTTTTCAGGGATAGTTCAGACAACAAACACTTATACATTCGTTTGTCGTATCTTATTAATTATATCAATTATCTCGCACGAAATGTAGACGTAGATGTTTTTACTTATTATGGTTCTTATCTTCGATCCACCTAACAAAGAATAATTAAATTGTGATACGTAGCTGCAGCATAAGCCAAAGCCAAGCTCAACTTCATGGCCGTATATATATATATATATATATATATATATATATATATATATATATATATATATATCGGAAAGAATGAAAGAAGGTATAAAATTAGTCAATTTTGACATCGTTCCGGCGGAACAGTGATTCAGCATACGTCATATAGGAGACACCATACCAAAAAAAAATTTCGCACGGAAAACATCGGCAGAATTGTGTCATTGTTTTTAAGTGCAAAAACTTCGATTACAATGATTTTATTCGTTTTGCCTTCGCATACGAAAACCGTAAGC